TGGGAGAGCAGATTCTTCCTGATACTTGGCCTGCCTAGCAACTGACTACTAGGTTCGAATCTCTTGACAAGCGAACACTAGTCACTCTGAAGCACTTTCTCATACTTGTGGCCTCGACGGGAAAGAATACATTTGAAAGCGTTGCGACTCGCTCAAATTTGAAAATTCTACATCATGCTCGTCCAGCAGACCGTAGGTAGAGAGATGTCTCTGGTGACTGCCCAAATCTCATGCTGCGAGATCTTGCATTCGAAGTACCCAGGTAATTAGTGTGTATGTCAGGGATGGATTCGATAGCCTTCCGGCCTTTGGTAGACTCCAGACACAAGGAGACAGAGTGATATCTGCCTTCATCCATGAAGTCGTTGACAAAGCAGACTGGGTATTTCTTTAGGTCAGATAAGTATCACGCTACTATTGAAAAGACTCAGCAACAAGGGCTCTCTTTCACTGCTCCGATAATTATCTCGCAGCGATTGATGATGCAGCACAGCGCAAATGTAAAGGTTAAAACGGAGATATCATTGAAGGGAAGTGCTGCTGAAAAAGAAACAGATAGAAATGGCTGCAAAGGACGATGACCATCGAACAGTTCGACGTAAAAAATGGAGTAGTGTGTAACAAATATTGTAATGAAGTATTCAAGCAGCGGACTTTAAGTATTCAATGCTGGATATGCACACTAGCTCATAAAACTCATGATACTTGAGGAGATTGAATCCTGGAGAAAAGACAAGCTCAACTATCGGCACTTTCCAGATGTTCGTTTCGACCCAAGAGCTGAATAGCAGGTGGACAGATATTCAATGAGGACCAAAAATACTTTAGATCAGAGGCATCTCAACAGATCTTGTATCACTTCAATTTCCAATTGGCGGAAGAGCTTCGTCCGTCCGTATCAATCACGTGGTGGAGGGCTTGTCCATATCATGATCTGAGATACTCTCCTCGCGTTTTGATTCCCGGAAGCTTAAACAAGTCACTGCCGTAAGTAACTACTCATCGCCGCTATATATAACTTTACCTGCACCGCGGGCTCCAATGACGCAAGGCAAACGCAAAGGCTGGTCTGCATGCATTACGGACTTCTTCATTGGACACCATCTCCGAAGCAATGAAAGCTTGATTCTTATCACGGGAAATACGGTGATGCCGTGCTGACCAGCTGTATCAGCAAGGATCTACAGTTCCATTACCCCTCACTACCTCCGTTTGTTTTGCTGACACGATATTTCCCCTCCACCTTTCTTATCGCAATCGCATCCACTTTCCAGAGAGTATCGTGATCGTGTGTACGTAATAGGCTTTGTGGGGCGTTGATTGCAGATTTCCTTTTTGCTTGATAGGTTGATCATGTGCGTGCCTTGCGTGCTTACAACAGTATGTCTCACCTTCCTTTTCAAGATACATTGCGCGGTTTTCTCCCCACGAGAATGAGTAAATAAGCGAAGTACCCGCCCCCTGCCTCCCAACCTTGCATACATTCCATACAGACGTCCATGATCTTATGCCAGGGAACGGAACCAGTGCCATTCGTAATCCTTGAAAACTGACTTTAAAAGTCGGATGGCTCCCACCAGGGCGAAAATGGGGTACCGCCAAGAAAGCGAGTGTTCCGATTGTTTGGAACTTTCATGATGTTGACCTTTCGGTTCCAATGGGTTCTCTTGGCATGGACTGCTTTTCTTGCTGTAGCTTCTGGAAGATTACCACAGAGTGATAGAGTGCGGCGGACGCATCCGCCTGTGGAAGCTAGACACGAAGCTCCTGAAGCTCCCGTGGAGGATCGCTCTGAAAAATTCCGGTTCTTGACTGCTGAGACAAAACGTGAGAAGACATCTATTGGAAGGGACCAATGCTAATTCGATCCATAGCGTACCAAGTTACTTCGCTGCCGGAAGTTCCATTCGATATTGGGGAGCTGTACTCGGGCCTGGTCCCTATTGATTCGAAGAACAAATCAAATGCATTATTTTTCGTTTTCCAGCCTACGATTGGACCACCTGTCGATACCCTGACCATATGGCTGAATGGTGGACCAGGTAGGCTGTGTTTCAGCATTGAGATGTTAAGGCTAATAGAGCGTAGGTTGTAGCTCGCTGGAGGGCTTCTTTCAAGAGAATGGTAGATTCCTTTGGCAGCCTGGGCAGTATGCTCCTGCGATTAATGACTACGCTTGGGTGAAGTAAGTTACACTCCCCTTTTCAATGTAGATACAATTACTTACGAGTTGCAGCCTCACGAACATGCTTTGGTGAGCCTATTCCTTAGGTTGAGTGATTGGAGCAATTACTGATCTCTGTGAAGGGTAGAGCAACCAATTGGAACTGGGTTTTCCATTGGTGAAGTCACCGCGACTGGCGAAGAAGAAATTGCTCAGCAATTTGTCGGATTCTTCAAAAACTTTGAAGAACTCTTCGGCATCAAGCATTTCAAGATCTACGTGACTGGCGAATCATATGCGGGGAGGTGAGTTCCTTCCTTCCTCCTACAAGATAAATAAAAATGACATAATCAGATATGTTCCCTACATTTCTGCCGCAATGGTCGACGAGAAAGACACAACTTACTTTGATCTGGCGGGTAAGAATTCCCTCCACGAAGATGATTGAACAACGCTCACATTCCGAAGGAGTACTTGTCTACGACCCCTGCATCGGAGCCTACGACTACAGTCAACAAGAATTAGTCACCCTACCACTAGTCCAAAGAAACGCACCAATCTTCGGACTGAACGACTCATTCATCTCCCAACTCGAAGCCCTAGATGCCTCCTGTGGATACGCCGACTACCGCAACAAGTACCTAACCTTCCCACCTCCCGGCATCCAACCAGACGGCTATTTCAGCTACGAGACCGAAGCCAGTTGCGATGTCTGGGATCTCACCTTCTACGCCGCACTCGCCATAAACCCTTGCTTCAACATCTACCACATCGTCGATACGTGCCCGCTGCTACCCGACGTCTTAGGCTTCCCCGGCTCACTAATGTACACGACTCCCGGTCTAGGCATCTATTTCGAACGCGCAGACGTCAAGAAAGCAATGCACGCTCCAACCGACGTGACCTGGACCGAATGCTCGAACGGGCTAGTAATCATCGGTGCGTACGGCCCCGACGACGATTTCCAGAACGACACATCCCTCGACCCGATCCAATACGTTCTCCCCAAGGTAATCGAACACACCAACCGCGTTCTCGTCGCAAACGGCGATTGGGATATGATCATCATCACCGAAGGCACATTGCTCTCCATTCAGAACATGACTTGGAACGGGGCTTTAGGATTTCAAACCGAGCCTAGTACTCCGATTGTTATCACCGAGCCGGATTTACAGTACGAGGTATTATTTGATGAGAATGAGTTGAATGGAGTGGATGATATTCAGGGAACGATGGGGATTCAGCATTATGAGCGGGGATTGATGTGGGCGGAGACGTATCAATCCGGACATATGGAGCCTGAATATCAGCCTAGGATTAGTTATAGGCATCTGGAGTGGCTTTTGGGATATGTTGATGAGTTGTAATTGGATTCGAGCATAGGTCATTCGGTAATCATGAGAATTGATTTGGTCAGCTGATATACACGTATACCATCATTGTCGTCAGACTTTACATTACAACATACTCAATTGAAAGCTGGTCCCGCAGTAGAACATTCATAATCTAGGGTATCACAAATTGATCTACTCCCCATTCGACAGCTTACTGCTCAAAGGACGCCTCTCTCCACGGATCCAACATCAACAAACGACAGCAATCTCCGCTCCCCTCAAGTTATCGATCTCCTTCTTCAGCATCACCAAACAGCTCACTACAACTGTGACATCATCTATCAAAGGCCCATCACTACCCTCCAAGCACATCTCCAATTGCCCTCCATTCCCAGCACTATTTTTCGAGGTTCCAGGTGTCCTCGTACCTTCCCCCCTGACCAATTGCGCGACTTTGATCCTCTGTTCCATATGTCCATTTCCAACCACTTTCTCCAACACAAGAAGATTATTGATGGACTTGTTTCCCGATGTGTCAGCGATAGCACGTTCCTTACGGTCAGCGTACCGCCACTCGAAATGACCCCATCTCTGACTATCGAAGAAGACTGTTCGTTTGAACATGCTTTTGGAATGCAACTCGAATTCGTCGGTTTCGTGGTTGCTGAATCCTTGTACTTCCTTTTCTTCAACGGGTTGAAGTGTCTTGCTAATCCGGATCACAGGAGGTTTGCCAGGTCCCCACTTGTAAGTCGTACTCGCGACTTGCACTCCTTCTTGTCCATGCTTCCCACCTTGTACCAAGACACAATTCCCACTGTTCTTCTGCGCCCGGATGCTTGTGTACTTTGGTCCTATGTTCGCGTTGTTTGGATCGATAATTGGGGTCTCGAGTTCTTTCGCCGGAGACCCGATTGATGCATATGCGACTTTCCCTTGAGCCTGAATTTGAAGGATACTGGTAGGAATGAAACTTTGTTCTAAGGCCTGTGACTTCAGGAAAGACACATCTTTGGTTGTTGTATCGATAGACGAGTAATCCGGTGGAGAATCATAGTCTGGAAGGGTAGTTGTTGTATTTGTTGAAAAAAGAGACGATGTATACTTGAAGATTGAATTGCCGAACGCCATTTTGATATTTTTCTCATGAGATGAGGGCTTCAAAGTGGTTCTGTAACCTTCATATATCGTAGTTCTTTCAGCCTTGTGAGCCTTGGTGTGCCTGCGCCACTGCGTCAGATGCTCCTGAGGCTTGGCGAGATCGTCCACTTTTCCCAAACGGGGTCGGAATACGGAATACCTAATAGCAACGGCTTGAAGCGAACCAGTCCTGTGAAACATAGACATACTCGGAGCGGTGTAAGACGGCTAACGGTTCCACCTTGAAATTGTTGCTTTTGGTGAGAGAGGTCTCTCATTGGCGATGCCGTATTTCACAGCCTCGCAACTAGGATGTTCGTATCGGTACCATGATGATCGTGGAGAAACTCAAGAATTCGAAATTTGTTTTTGAAGCTACAATCCCATTTGGCAGTGCTTAGTTTCCAGCTTACTTTTTCGAAGGAAAAGAAGTAGCCCAAGTTTTTATCCCTCATCCAGAGCTCTCTCGATCATTCATATACACCATTGTATATTCTCCCCTTCTGCACTTCGTCATCAATCCATAAAGTCCACTCATAGTACTCGATGAGATGGAGTGGCATATTGTCATGTAATGTCTTCAGCCATCGACCTGTACTTCCATCGCCAACTTCATCCGATTCGCGAGCGGCAGATTCCCTGTCTTTCCATTCTGATTTCGTGATCGGAGTCATTATCAATTGCATAGCAACGAAGTGTGCCTGAAGAAGCTGGCAGACTTCATTTACCGGGTTGGTAAATTCGCGAAATTCGTCGTGTTGCATATCGTATGAGAACAGAGAATAAATCTTCCGCAGTTCTATGTATGCTAGAAGAGCCATGTGAGTCCACGTATTTGAGGCATAGGGTCAGAACATACCATCTCCAGATGAAGTGATCAAGCTGCGAGCCATATTTAGAAGCAAACGGAACATTGAAATTTCCACTTTCGTCTGACATAGATGCTCCATCTTTTCGAGAGACCTATTGGCTTTGGCGACAACTTCGGAATTGATCAGGGGTGCAGCATAAAGTTCATCTTTGATCATATCAAGCTGGTCATCGCCAAAAGCTTTCGTGAAAATGAACTTCATATTTCTCATGCCCATCTGCATTGCAACCGAAACACATCCTCTGATGTGCGAGAAATAATCGACAAGGGCTTCGTTGAGCATGACTGACTGGAACATGAGACAATAACAAGTCGCCAACATTGCATTGCCTATCTCGAATGACTCAATGCCAGCAGAAACTGCTCTGCTCAAGGATTCGACGGATTTTACTCGATATGCCAGCGCATTCAGATGGAGGTTCTTGTCCCTTGAGGGCTGGAGCACAAACATATCCTCGGCTGATAACGCCAACATTGCATTAAGGAGGAAGTCATACTGATGAAATCAGATTGTGTGCCACTAATTTGCATAAAATCTTACCTTAGACGCTATGGCTGGTATCTCATGTGTCCAAACAGAGTCGTTACCAAGCGGATGATGCGGGTAAGCATATTGGATGAAATGGTAGAACAAGCGGAAGTCTTGCGCAGAATACACTGGATCTCGGGTCTGGGGGTTGATAGGGACAGAAACCACAGGGGTCGGCTTTCGTATTAAGGTCCCAATCTGGTTGACGTGGATATCTGGCCACTCGCATTTCAGATTTCGATGTGCACAGTAATCACATGAAGGGCGATTCTCTTTGCACTATATATGTGAGTGAACAATCACCATGAAATATTCGCTCTTCATACCTTAATTCTAGCACGTTTACAATTTAAACAGCCGCTTCTCGACTTCGTGTGACCTTTTCTTCCACGCTTCTCGGCTTTTTTGCTCCGCTCTGGGGTGATCGAGGTGGATTGTGATGTCCGCTCCGGTAACGCTCTCAGAGTCATCAACTTGATTGTTGCAGACGATGCGTCAGAAGATGTACCAGAGAACAAAGTGCCATCGGATGAATCATTCGGCGGGGATATGAACTGTTCTGAGCCTAGATCCATGACTTGGATTACGTTCCCATCCTATCTCAACTATCGACATCGATAAGTGCGAGGCTGTCTTGCTTTAATCTTGCTGCCAGAAGTACAGGGCGGTATTCAACACTTCGAGGCTGTGTTGATCTAAGGGTGGTTGCCTAAGAAAAGGCTTGACCGCTTGGCACAGGTCATGGACACGTGATGACGGTCTGCAAAGAAACTTCATTGGATGGAAATCGAGACGCCACAACGGCGGGTCTGTCTCAGATGTAAAAGGTTGCGAAGAATAGCTTCAAGCTTCCCTTTCTACAAAGCAGAAGCAGTTCCTTTGTGCCAGAACTCAAGACGAATCGAGGGAGCCGACTTGATGAGCCGGCAGTAACAATTTTTGGGTGGCAATCATGATGATCAAGCAAAATGGCCATCAACATGGTGGGCAACAGCAGCCTCATCTCCTTGGAAATCACCACAAACAGGACAAGTGACTGTCGGCGATATAGTCGAGGAATCATCAGCGTTTTGAATGGTTCCGTTGTGTCCATTGTCCGGGCCTGTGGTTGCAGTGCTACCTCCTTTCAGTCCTTTACTCTTCCTCTTGTCTTTGACGACATAATCTGCAAGGCTTGCCTCTCTTTCTGGCTCCTCGGTTGCATCAGCTCTGAAGTCCGAATATCTGCTCCTTGAGAATGCGATTGTTTCAGCCGTCACTGTGCTAACTCCCATCTGTGCTCCGCCGTTTCTGCCTAGTCCGCTCAGCCCCGCGGATGCAGCGTCGGCTTCCTCTACAGATATCATTTTCTGGACTCTGCCAACTCTTCCATCTTGCAGTCGTACCTTGATTCCTCGCGGATGGTCACCTCGGGTCAGAAGCTCAGCGACGATTCCTTGTACTTGATGCCCAGTTGGCTGATCCACTTTCAAGACGATGGAAACAGGTGAACCAACATTGACCTGTCGAGTAGAGGGGACTGGTCCATAAGAGAGTGGACCTCGCTCGCTGTCACCGAATCCACCTCGTGGTCGGCCACTGCCTCTTTCCCTATCCGGTTGCTGAGGTCGACGAGATCTGTTTGCGTGGCGAGCAGACATGATGACAGAGCAGCGCCGAAGTTGAAGGTGGTGTAATGATTGCTCTCCAACGTTGGAGTGCGGTTGGGGTGTATTGCGTGCGCTGGCTGAAATTCTATGAAAGAAAGAAGAAAGGATTTGAAAGCGGTTTCGAGATGCTGCTCTACAACATAATTTTATTTTAGCGAGACGCTAGCTCGAGACACGTGGAAGAACTGCCATAAATAACACCACCTAGCATAGTTGCCCTTATGATCGCATCAATTCACCAAGGAGATGTCATTAGGAGAGAAGGTCTGAGACAAGGATCTCTTTCCAGATGATCACGCCGTATTGTCAACATTTGGAATTAAGTTACAGTCACGTGCATGAGCCAACCCTGAATGTCTGGCAGCCGCTTTCTGATAGCAGCTCGCAAGGAATCAATTATATGGCGTTGTAATTTCGTTCCCAACATTCAAGGATGTAGGCAAATATCAACTGCAGCACCCCTCTTCATAGGTGTATAAATGTGCAACATTTATGTAAGCCTCACTTCCAACACTGTGCCGTAGACTGCATACGAAGCAGCTGAGGACTCCTGATATAAACTTCTCTCCACACGTTAGCTCAGATTCTCTAGTTTAATTCTTAACAACAGCAACCATGAACATTCGATTCGCCATAGCAATCTTCACCAGCCTAGCCGTCACATCCTATGCCGCGACAGTAGCATGCAAACCTCCAATATCTACCTCCACTTGTATCACAAACTGTGATTGTTCATGTAGCGGCATCCAACTCTCCTGCCCCACAACCCAAAACACATGTCCAAACACCACAGCAGATACATGCACCGAGTACTGCTTCTGCACGACTCCCGCCACTCCACCACCAGCTCTCAACATCAATTGCAAACCTCCAATCTCTACCTCCACTTGCGCCCTCAAGTGCAACTGTTCCTGTACCTCCGGGGATCTATCCTGCACCACAAACAGATGGACCTGTACAAGAAATATGGCCGACACTTGTGTCGAGTTTTGTTCCTGCCCCGCTCTTCCTCCTGACCCGACTATCACTTGCGAGCCTCCAACCTCCGTCTCGTTCTGTTTTGGGGATTGTGGTTGTTCTTGCGGAGATGATGATGAGGTTATGCGATGTAATGGGGCTAAGAATCGATGTCCGAAGATTCTGGCGAGGCAGTGCGAGAAGAGTTGCGAGTGTCTGGGTTTGAAGGGATATGGGAAGGAATTTCTTTGAAGGACGTTGAGTAGGAGAGGTGATAGAGCTCTGAGGCTTCTTTCGATGAGTAGAGTCGAAACCAATAACTCAATTATCAATGTCAATTTTTCATGCACTGTACCATTTTCAATTATTCATTTTTTCAACTTCATCAATAGCCGTGGAATTTCTTGAAAAATACGTAGTATGTTAGCAGCACTTAGTTGTTACTTACCACCTCGGAATAGGCACGGATCTCCATGCAAAGCACATATTCTCCTTAAAGATTCCCAACGCTCAATTCTCTGGGCCACAGACCAGAGTTCCAACCGCTCATAGTTGCCATTAAACATAACCAGCCAATCAACTCGCTTAATCCTCGCTTCTCCGCCACAAAATAGGGGAACATCGACTGGACCACCAAGCTCCACAACTTGTACGAATGCATATGCATGTGCCCGCCTTTCCGCAGCTGCCAGCTCTTCTTTGTTCAAGTTCATAGACCAACGTGGGTCCACTCAGTCGCAGCGGAACCGAGCGCGGAATATTTGCGCTCCTTTTAACAGAGTCTGATTTGTTGAATCTCTGCTCCACAACGTACAACTTCCGTTTTCTCGAGCCAAGAAAGGCGATTTTGATATCTCTAGTTAAGATACGATAATTTTTGTTGAAATATGACCAGCGAGATATCTTGGTGGCGGTTAGGACCCTAGCCGACTGGACTGTGGCGGCTGTCAATCCTCGGCCACGAGTCTGAGGCTTGGTTTCGGAATGAAGATTGGTAGATCACCATGCAACTCCTATATGCAGCTCCAAGCTTCTCAAGCATCTTATCAATAAGTGCGGGGTGCTCAGAGCTGTACGACCCCTCCAGGAAAACAAGATATATCCATACCTCCCATTCCCTTCCCTTCTGCACTTAAAGTACTTGTCCCAAAACCCCATTCCAACCCACAACCCATCCCAGCCATCAACCATGTGGGGAGTAGACCTCCCCACCTCCCCCATAATCTACTCCATCTTCGGCATCCAACACCACACCCCCCACCACCAAACCCTAATCACCACCTTCACGACCCTCATCACCCCCTCCGCCCCCTCCGCACCCTACATCGAGCACCTCATCCAATCCTCCCCCTCATCCCCCACCCTCAAAACGACCCTCTTCCTCGCCTACTGGCCCTCCCTCCCCTCCTACCAAGCATGGTGGACCTCCGCCCCCGTAACCGCCTTCTGGGGCTCGCTCCCCCCCTCCGCCGGCATGTACCGCGAAATCCTGCTCATCTCTCCGCGTCGAACACAATCCGGGCTCGCGGGCCCGAAAAAAGAGGGCATGGCGCACGTAGGCACGATTGTAGAGCGCACAAGCGCGGAGGGCTATTGGGGCTGCTATCGCGATCGGTATGACGAGAATTCTGAGACGAATAGGATGGATAGTTCGTTGGCTGTGCCGCCGGAACCGAGGAGGGGGGTTGGGGATGGGGATGGGGATGGGGATGGGCGGATTAGGGAGGGGAGGGTGGTGATTGGGGGGTTTCCGGAGAATTTGTGTTTTGTGGTTGAGGGGCAGGATCATTCTGGGATTGGGGAGGAGGAGAAGCGGTATTGTGAGTCTTTAGCCCGTCGGTTTTTTTTTTATATAACTTTGAATGAAGGGAGAGGGTGTTGATTGAGGTGATATGATAGGGTTCGAGAATTTCGACGCCTCAGTAACGAACTGGATCACGGACCTGGCAAACGCACCGCCCTCATCCGGAATCCTAGACGCGCGCCTCTGCTACGTTCCAAGTAGCGGTACATACCGTGACTCTGTCCCCGAAGCCCTGAACTACAACCGCAAGATCCAACTGTTCTATTTCCTGGATCACGGATACATGGAGCGGATCGGCGTGCGGAACAAAGGCCATGTGGCGTTGAGGAATAACTTTCTGGCGAGTTATTGTCCGGCGGGGGCGATGGGGAGGATTGCTAAGTTGATGTTGTGGGTGGAGACGAGTGTTTTGAAGAAGGATGAGATTGAGTGTGAGTATGTGGGATGTTTGGAGGGGACGGGGTTCTTGGCTTTTGATCATTTGGAGGCGTTCAAGGGGAGCGGAGAGGTGGCGGGAACGGGGTGGGTGAATTCGTTGAAGGGGTGGATTCCTTGGGGTTCATAGGTTGGTGAGATTGGTTTGCGGAGATTTGAATGTTCGTATGGGAAAAGTATCAGATCGGAAGGCTGCTTGAAAGATGATTACATCTTGGAGTTGCCGTTACAGTCATTGTATTAGTGCTGCAGAAATCTTCTCGACAATACATAAAGAAGTAGTTGAAGTGAGCTGAGTGATTAGTGGTTCGACGACGCTAGTCTTAAGTAATTCCAACAAAATTTGCAAAGAGAAGTGCACTTTGAAGAGCGCAGATGCTCGATCAGGTAGACCTACCTCGAGGACCGTACATCATAGGCATTCTCAGAGAGAGTGTAGAATATGTTTGCAAGGAAACCGTTTTCTTGTTGATTTCCTGCAGCTCATAGCTCAATAGAAGTTAAATCAAAGACAACCTGGAAAACCCTTTTCTCACGTGATCCGCCCCCTTGACCCTCACCCTCAGGTAAGATTCCGTACCACACGAAGAGGCAACAATGATCCGGACCCCCTCAACGTGGACATATTTAAGAGGTTCATCACAATATAGCAAAGAGGTATCAACGATTTGATGATAACAGATTGTATTCTTTCTATGTACCACCAAGCCCAGCACTAAGCTGCTTCCACGTATCTTCGGGGAATAAATTGTTGCTTGCGCAACACCAGAGCTCAAAAAATCCGCTCTCAACCAAATTTTCCCAAACGCCTTGCCTGCCTCCCTCCCAACCCGCTGATGCTTTCAAAAAATACACCGAAAAGAAAAATCGTTCAATCATACCGCCACGTCCTCCATCTCACCTCACCACCCACCCCTCGTACTCCCACTATGCGAGCTCCCTCTCCCCCTCCACTCCGGCTCCGGAAACCTAACATGTTTGCTCAAAGGCTGGATGAAGCCCGACGGCTTATGGAACACGATCTTCGCGGCATCGAACGCGTTCTGCCACGCCGGGAGACCCTGCTCCTCGATCTCGACCCACGAGTTCTTCATGTGCGACATTAATTTTTCTAGATCTTTGTTCTTGACGATCATCTCGTCGGAGCGGGGCGCGACTTTGCGGTCAGGCACAGAGACGTAGTTTCTGATATCTGCTCGTCGGGCGAATTCTTCGGGTGAGAGTCCCGGTGGAATGGCTTTCATGCTAGACAGTCTTCGGCCAAGTTCGCTGAGGATGTCGAGGACATCCCGGATGATCTTCCACCATCTCTCGCGCAGCTTTTTGAATCCTGGGCTTTCTACTTGAACGTGGTCGTGGCGTCTCGGGCTGGCGATCTCAGCTAAGCGGGTCGAGACGGTGAGTTGGAGGTCCCGGATGCTGCGATTGAGTTGTGATCTTGCGGTCTCGTCACCGAGGTCCATGCGTGAACCGACTGAGGCTACTTCGGCGCGGTAGGCGTCTTCGATCTTGAGGGCCGAGGGCAGAATGTCTTTTTGGAAGAGGTCGATGCTTTCGTGGGTTGAACCGAGACTGCGGGTTCTTCTGATTTTTTGGCAGAGATCGTGGCACTCCTCTATCTCGGCGATGAGCTGGAGGAGTTGTTGCTTGAATGCCGTGGGAGACATTGTGAGGGGTGCGGTGGTGTAGTATTTGGTGGTTCTGTAAGTGGTCGACACTTTGGCTGATTTCAAGAGAAGACTTTGTGTGTGTGGTTGGTGATGAAGAGGAATTGAGTTGAGATCCAAGACGTTCTTTGTATGCAAGAATGTGGGAATATTTGAGAAGAAAGGAATTGGTCAATGGAGGGAGACATGTTTGCTTATATGTTTTCCTGATCGAAGTCCTGCAGTCCTGTGAGGCCACCCATGTAACCTTAAGTTGAGTTCCGATCAAAGGAGCATGGGTGCGGTGGTGGGGGAGTGATGGTCCAGTCTCAGCCACAAAAGGGCGGCATCCATGTCGCTCCCTGGTTGAGGTTACCGAAGAATCTCACAAAGCCGCCGCCTAACTGCTGGACTTGGATGGCGGCAGGCTGCCACCACCACAAAGAGCTTGCCGATGCATTATTTGGTGCATGACTCCAGAATGACTACTTACCGCCATACAGTCAGTCTTTGCGTTGGACAGACAATCTGGCATCAAGACCTGCAGGTCGTCAGAGTTAATCGCCAGCGGAGAGTTGCGGCCAAGAATGAGCAGAAACGGGAGTCATCGCATTCGCCAATTCAGAGTAATGGCGGCAGCACCGACTGTACAACCTGTGAGGAGTAGGGCTGATTACCTCCCTCCTAAGAGGGAAGGCGGCAAAAATGAATTACCCTTCGAGACGGGGTGCAAAGTCTTGGTCTTGCAGCAAGGCAGATTGAGTGCTTTGGTGGAAATGAGCTGAGGCTGTGCATGAATTCGAAAGGCAGATTTGGTGTCGCCGGCCATCAAATGACCCCATTTTGCGATCGTTCGCATTTGCTCTACGTAATGGCGTTTCCTCGGTGGTGTAGTGTAGTGTGATTGGCATTGAGGCAGTGTCGAGTGAGTGCGAGATGGCCAAGCCGGCGCAAGCAAAACTTCTCGATCGACCGCAGCTGATGCACAGATTGCAGGGAAGAATTTGCTCGTCTCCTCGTACAGACGGCAGAGTTGGTTGCGCATGAAACCAAAAGTGTCCCCACTCCTTGGCCAGCTGAGAATGGATAAGCAGAGAGCGACGCAGATCGTATTGGCCGTTACATCCGTCCGTCCGTCGAAGGATTCCCGCCGAGTCGAGGGTGTGATCATACGTGGCAGCACCTGATTGCTGACATTTGATGACGCGCGCAAGTATTTCCAGCGATAAGGTTACGACCGATCGTCGGAGCCAGAAACAGGAAATGATGCATTTGGTGGTGTGGATGAAGGGAAACTTGCTTTCGCGCGCAACCAACTTGGCTATGCAACACCTCCTCACTCAGAATAGCCGTCGCAAGCATAATCTCGCTCATGTCCGAGGGAAGAGCAAACCCTCGCCACCGACACCGAGTAGTGCTGACAATTGCTTGCGCGTTCTCTTGATGTCGCTCGCAAATCTGCTGACGATCATCCAACACTCTCAACTGCCCGAAACGAGGGCAGATTTCACAGTCAGATTCAGATGGTTTGGTAATCATCTGTCTCTTCTCATTTTTGTAGGCCCCCAACGAGGGCAGACTTTACAGTCAGATAGGTGGCTTGATAATCATCAATCTGTCTCTTTCATTTTCGTCGTCTCGCATTCGGGAGGGAAGTAACATAAACGGATGCGAAGACGGGAATGTGTTGAGAGTCCTTGGTGGCAATGATCGTGAAAAGGGCGATACAATGCCTTCTTGTACTACACACACCTGGATGAGGCTGTCTGCCTTCAGGTAGTAGCGCCACTGCATCCCCGGTGGTAATACAGGTAACATCGAAGTCTGGAGAGTTGGAGCCGCAGATAGCCAACCTGCAAGATGCACAGGCTTGGCCTCGGGCTCGGGTTCGCACTCCAGCAAGCTCATCACTCGATTCATCACAGCCTCGTGGGCAATCTTTTAAAGACTTTCAAGTGCCACCACAAATGCTACGATACTACAGTAACATATTCCAGAAGACAACGGTATGCCACGTTCCGTTCGGTGGCCAAGAGATGAAAGAAAAGCGATATTGTGGTGACTAAGCATGGAAAGTACTTGTGGCTCTTTTCCGCTGTCAGATCTCTTTCTCTTCCTCTTCATAACAACGACTTCCAAATAGTCTCAACTTTCCGTCGTTCGCTCAGCGGACAGAAACAAAGACAGATTTCGCTCCTGCTGACATTCGCTCGTGGGGACATTGGAGAAAGATGTTCTGAGAGATGGTCTTTCACGCACCGCTTTTCGCTGAATAGCTATGCGGACATTCCAACGAACACAGCCATCTCCTCTGAACGAAATCGCAAACGACATGGAGCTTTCCGAGCCTCGTATGCCACCCTCCTCGAAAATCTGCGAGCAGAAAATGTGCTGGGCGATCTGTTCAAGCGTATTGGGATTGCCACAGCCGGCGGAGGAGAATACTTCGGATCTCCCAACGTTGGAGTACACATACTACGCAAAACAGACTCCACTCTCCCAGTGGAACTAGTCGTGGTAATTCAGAGCGATTATGTGGCCGGATTGTGCGAGTGCTATCTGCAAGGGACAAAGCGCGGTGTTTGGTGCTGTTGAACTCTCTCCAGGCTGGACATGTCCCGTTGCATAAGTTTGATGTGACGGATTACCAGCTTGAGTCTCTGGCAAGACTGATGTCTATCATCGAGGAGAAGTTATATGGATATGACTTGGAAACAATACCCCTGGGAATCACTACTTTAGACCGGGTGCGAGCTAGTGCTTATATATATATATATGTGGTCTGGCCATGGAACGACCCTGAGAGGTTGTGTGGAACAGTCCATGAACATTGGAATCAATTGTTCCAATGCGGTAGTTCTATCTTGGATTCCAACACTGCCTCAGCCTTGAGTACTTCAAACACCATTGTTTGGGATTGATTTCAATCACATCCAAATGGACAGCCTCCACAAAACTCGCACATTTCCTTGATACAGTCGGGCTGAATCACATGAAGTCATGTACGAAAACCTGCTTGCGCATACTCGCTTCTTCATCAAGTAATAAATGTTTCTCCGCAGCCTCATCCAGAGGTGGATTTATGTGCATCTTCGTTCTTCATGATATCCAATCAGATCGTATCGCAGTCTGCCGCCTCGGGTCGCAAAAAACCGCTACCTTTCCCCAGAGCTTCACAGCCGCACAATCCAATGTGCTCAATCGATCAAGTGGCTTACAGAATTTCTTCTTCGCGGCCTCGACCGTGATCTGCAACGGCTGGAGGGCATTTTCGCGGCCCTAACATGTAAGACATCCAAACAGGCTGGGACCTGCGAGGTGTGCATAATGAGGCTGGCCGGGCGCATCACAGCCTCATGAACTATATGGCGAACAGCTCATATTATAATCCCATTCCCCTCAATTTTCCAATTTCCCCATTGATTCCCTCCTTCACTCATCCCCACTTCCCAATATCAAAATGACAACAACCCCACCAGACCTCAACCTAGGCCCCTTAACAACAGCCTTCGCAGCACCCCCACCCTGCTCCAGCATAACCGTCGAAGCAATCTCAAACACCTCCTATCTCCCCTGGATCTACCCACGACGCTTCCTCTCCCTCGCCTCAACCTGTTTCCCATCCGGCTACCCGCTCGGCACCGCCGCCCTGACAACCACCTACGGCGCCTATGGCTTCCACGACGAACACGTCTTCTTCTCCCCGGGCCTCTGTCCCAGCGGCTGGTCCAACAACACCGTTCCTACAACTTCTTCTTCTTCTTCTGGGGGCGAACTCACGGCTTTTTGCTGCGAACCCGGGTTCAGTGCCGCGACGACGAATGCGGTAGATGGGGGCAGTAGTTCGACGTTCTGCGCCAGTAAGGTGGGTGTTACGACTGTGACGACGGTTCCGTATACAGGTGATGGGGTACAGGATGGAGGGACGAAGACGTTTACTTTTAGTGGGGATCTTATCGCGGCGCCGGCTGTTTGGGTTAGGTGGCATGAGGGGGATTTTGCTGCTTCGACTACGGCTACGACGACAGGGTCCAGAAGTGGTGGAGGCAGTTCATCGACGGCTACTCCTTCTAAGACGAGCATGGCGCCAGCTTCTACTTCCTCTACTCCTGCTGCAGCAACGGGCGGAATGACCTCAAAAGCGAAGATAGGGGTAGGGATTGGTGTTCCGCTCGCGGCTTTGATTCTTTTATCAGCACTTCTTTTCTTTTTCTTGAGGAGGAGGGAGAGGAGGAGGATAAGGAAGGGTGATATCAGTGCGCCGTATAGGGCGGAAGGTGGGTATATAGAGAAGCCTCTGAGGGGTGCGCCGTATAGGCCGGCTGTTGATGAGGCAGAGGAAGAGGACCTGGGGATGAGGGGCGGCTTGAGGAGTGTTAGTGGCGTCGGAGATAGCGAGATAGGTGGAACAGAGGTGGGGGATGAGGATGGAGGACGAGTTTTGAGTGAGAGGGGACCGAGGATGGCTAGTGTGCCGGCGGAATAAGGAGAGTTTGCGGAGTTGGAGTATCGGTTGGGATGATGAGGACGATGTGTAGAGACTTTTTCGTTCCGAACATGTCATGTGGTGACGTTTTCTTGTTTATGCTTTCTTTGGAACAAGGGTCCATATAAAATGAGTGTGCTACGAGCGGTCATTAACACCAAAGTTCTCACAACTCCCCAGCACTCTTTGATTGTTTACCGTGCATATCCTTGTTACTTGTTTCCCAACTCTCACTCTGGCCATGATAAACATACGCCTTTCTATAATTATTATCCAAACAGCATTACGAACGCTCAGATTTACATGCCACATTCCCCCAAAAATACAAAACCCAACCAACAACTCAAACACCTAGAACCTTCACTGTGAAATATATTTCTGCTTCTCATCATCCCCACCACCAACCTCATAACTCTCAGGCACAACCACAAAATCAACACAAGATTCATAAGTCTGCTTCACCACCCTCCCAAACCACGTCCACTGCAACACCTAATTGCCCATCAGCATATTCCGTATTCCCTTTCAATTCCACTCATGATCGACTTACACAATCACCGGGAACAGCACACCTAGGAAAGACCTTCGGAATCACAACCTCGATCTCAAAATCAACCATCATATTTGCCTCCACCTTCGTTCTCTCCATCTCTCCATACTCATCGACCTCATACCCACTAAAACTCCCCGTCTCCCCGGTCTTCACTACCAAAAGTCAGCAACTCGCCACCAAACCCCCCCAACACAACACGCAGCCCAAGACAAGGAACCCCCACACGCTTCCCCCCCCAACAAGCAACAAACTCCCCGCATCCACAATCCCGACACTCCACCACCCCACATGCGGAATCCTCGTCCAAACCTTCAACACGACCTCCTCGCCCGGGCTCCACGTCTGCACATTCTTCTCATTATCCTCTAGCTGTAGACCTTTGCAGAGTAAGAGGTTGCATTTATCAGCATGGTAGTCTTTGGAGGTGACGGATGCTTTGTGCAGCGCCTCGATGCCGGATTGGTTGTCTGCTTTTATTATTCCGGTGATGGATTCGCCGCAGTAGGAGAGGGAGGCTGGGCCTGGGGCGCGGGTTGGGGGGGAGATTAGGATGCCGTGGGAGAGGAGGAGGGTTGGGAGGGAAAAGAGGAGGAGGAGGAGGGAATGCATTGTTGGTTTTTGAGGGGTTGGATTTACAGAAGAAGTGAGATGGGGAAGAGATGGAAGATGAGAGTATGGTGTTGCGGGAGGGGCTTTTCAAGGGTTCCTTAGTGCTGACGGTGACGCCGCTCTTTTGCAGAATGTTGGAGATAAGGTTTGGAGTTGGGTTCGTATGCGCTGCCAATCATTTTGCGTGTTGTAATGTTGGCGAACAACGATTTGGGTGCTATCAATTATGGAGGGCTGTACCTTACCATAGCCAGAGTGAGAGTTGAGTAGAAGGTATTCGGAGATAGGTCCGCAGACATCCCAAAAGGATAATGGAGTTGTGAGGCTAAGTTTCTGCAATGCTATGATACAGAGTACAAATACAGTAATGGGTACAAATACAATAATAGCGTACAAATACAGTGCTGTAAAGAGTAGCTTTCACTCTTCATCGTTGGAGATGAGTAAGTACTTACCAGGAAGTCGACACCACGGGTTCGTCTCCCATGAGCTATCTTTTCATCTTCCTCTGTATATTGGCTCCATGCCTCAATCTCTTAATACGAGCCGCTCTATTGCGGGAGATGACGAGAATTTCATCTGTGGCAAGAATGAATCATCACTCTAGAGGTAGTTGACGCCATACCCTTGCCGAATGCTGCTGTTATTCTCGGAGCCGATCTGTTTATTTGCGTTATAGAAGACCATCTTCAGACCCTATTACAGCGTCAATATAACCACCCGACTCTGGTTCCGCGACAAGTCCTTACCTCTTGTTCTTAGTGTTGTTCCTGGCGTTAGGGAGGATTCCGCGAAGCTGTCGAATCGACACCACGGAAGCATTTGTGGCTCTTAATCTCGTCTGCTCCATCCTCCCTGATATCAATTGTTATCCAATTCAGGGCGGAGCTGGGAGATAGTCGAAGCGGAAGTGGACTTTGACGATGTCTGGCAAGCCACTGTTCTTTAGCATGGAACAGTCGTGCAGCATGCTCGAAAGCTCAACATTTCGATTCGGTTGTTGTCGAATTGCTCAATTCCTCCCTTAAACAGTTGGTCGATGTTCCTCTCCACCTCAGCCTGAACATCTGCTTCGAATCTAGCGTTGTAAACTGGTTTTAAACACCAGTTATTTGTAGCAGCTGTATTCGCACGCTCGAGTAGAAACGATGGTTGAGCGAATAGGCAGGCGTGGAGGTTTGTGCCGAAGCCTTGGGAGATTTCGTTAGCTTTCAAGACTTTTTGCGGAGATGAACAGACGAGGAAGCTCCTACCTTTGACCTGTCTGCTTGTAGAAGCAGTAAAAGTTTCGGATCAGTTGATCGACTCCGGCGGTTGCAATGACAGTGTCACGGTATTTGTTCCACTCGTGAGTAAGAATCTCAGCTGGCTCATAGCTTGGGCGTTGAGGCCCACCTTGTACCGAAGTCGGTTCAGGTGGTGGTGGAGGAGCATTCCTGAGGAAGTCCGCCAAGCTCTCCTCATTCACTGAGGTGTCTTTGTGGAGCAAGAGCAGTGAAAATCAGACCAACGATCAATTTTCCATCTTCCTCTTCCAACTCCAATAGGTCTTCCAACTCTACGTCCCCAAGGTCCGTTCCGTCTAATTGAACAGCATCATCGATCTCGCCATCCTTCAGACCTCCTCCTCCTCCTCCTTCGACCGTTGTAGCATCGGTCGACTCCCAATGTCCTGGTAGCTTGACTTGAGGTCGGGCTGAGGTCGGGTGTTCGATCGGACCGGCAAAATCTTCACGATTGCGAACCTCTTCAACCGGGTTGTTCTCATAGTACCCCAGAACGCTTCTCCCCAAGCATGCTTTCCAGCTCAAGTCATTCGCTTCAGTGCCTTCAAGATGATTGGAGCCGCTAGGTTAACTTTGGCTGGTCGCCAGCTACTTAGAGGGACTATCGGCTCAAGCCAAGGGAGGGTCGAAAGGTAATGCAGAAAGGTGTTCTTCGAGAGAAAAATACCCAACCAAGCAAATCGAGGTGTGATCATTCCTCGTACCGTTACATCGTAAAGATCATGTCGTCGTTACAAAATGGTCTCTACAACCAATTGTGTACGGCCAGCCGCACATGCAGCCACAGGGACTACACGCAGATACCGTCGTAGTCTTAACCATAAACTATGCCGACTAGGGATCGGGCGAAGAAGTCGAGTAGAAAGCTAGCAGAGCTTATGAGTCCTAAACAATCCTTAGCCTTGTACATGTGCCTAGTTGCCCAAGCACCGTTGTACTTGTAGTAGACAACCCAGGAATGGGTACGTACAAGAAACGCTTGAAGCTAGGCTTCGAAAGCTAGGAGTGTTTCGGGTGATGTCCAATTTATGAGCCGCGGGTGGTGACGGGAGAAGAAACAACCCATTGGTGCCTCTCTAAGATGTGACTGAAATCAAAGTGTTTTGAAAAGGTCAGAGCACTAGAAGCACTTGTGGGCACTAATCTCCTCGTCAATAATCAATACTTGTTCCATAGGCTTCGCCTTCAAGTTCTCAAGCGCAGCAGGGCACTCACCTCCACTCTAAAGTCAAGCTTTGTGCCGAATACCACCCAATCGGCACTTGTTCTCCTTTGCTATCTTTTAGCTTTCAGACTCGACGCGAAGTGGAAGCGCGGTGTATCTGGCAGCCATCGAAGTGTATGATCCTTTCAGTGGAAATATCAAGGCGCGAAGAGTTTCGTACTAGAAAGGAGTGTCAGCAAGGTCTGGTACTTGTCCAGCAAGGTTGGCATACAATGATCCTTTTCTGATTGAAGGACGAGTCAGTGGCGCGGGAATTTGTATTCTTGGCTATGATTGATGAAATGGTGTGTCTGGATGTGTTTTCTGTGCAGATACAGAGTGATGATCGGCATTACTGAGCGTCTCGAGTGAGAATTCGGTTTAGTTGTAGGTATTTCGAGGTGCAAAGGATAGTCTGCTTGGAGCTTGAGCTGCACTAATGATGGCGACAAGGACTCGATCTTGGACCTGCTTTCAGTCAAATAATCGAATCAGCCGCTGCCCCTTGTTGAATCTCAAGTCCTGGATATTCCCTTACCTTGCCTCCATCTTGCGGCGATTGATTGAGTGTGCTGCGTGAATATTTGTTGACTTGGGCAATTTTGGAGAAAGGATGAAGCGTGTGGGGCAAAGGAGATACCTTGCGCGTTGCAACTACCCTAGCTCGACGTCCTGAGGCCGTCGAGGCAACAATCCTCAGCAGACGTGAAGTCATGTTGTATGAAAGCCCTTAGATGTACTTCAAAGCCGACTTAAATGCGCTAGGTCGTGCCTGCGATTTACGGAAAACCACCTGGGATTCATAATCTTCACGATCAGGCCAAAGATGACTTCAGCAGAAGGCTTCGTGACAACCTAAGTATGTCTTTAAATATACCCTAAAAGCATGAGTCGATTGGGTCGTACCTTCGATTTATGGAAGATGACCTAGGATTCACGCTCAAGACAGCAAGCCCAAAGAACATTTCAGCGAGGCTGATTTATGAGTAGAATACACCTTTGAATATACCATAAAAGCATTAAAGTCAAGCTAAGTCGTGCCTGCGTTTTTCGCATGACAACTGCTCCAACATAACAGGATCGAACAAGATGTCAGCGTGTATTATGTTTGGTCTAGAACATCCCAAAAGTTGATGAGATGATTAGGTCGTACCTGCGTTTTACGGAAGACTACCTCAGATTCACGCCCATTACATCAAAGCCGTGGATGAGTACAGCATGAATTCTTTGTGAGCAGAACCATACCTTTGGACAGAACGAAGAGTCATATGAGATGATCTGGCCCGTGCTTGCTAGCTTGGAAGGACCGTCTGTTAACGACATTGGTCACAACAAGACCTGAGAGGGCTTCGACATGAAATCATTGTAAACAAGATTACCGAAAGCAGTTCCCTCTTCTGGCTGTCAATAACACAACCACTGTCAAATCACCTATTTGTTTCTTCCCAGCATCTCTTACTTAAATCCTACACCGCCTATCATACAAGATTGTGGGCAATATGCTTACACTTAACCAGAGCCATCAGTGATACCTTCACACCACACCCAACCCTCGGAAGACTGAGCCTTCATGGAAAGTTACGCCTTTCCGAAAGGCGTTAGATCCTGTATTTATATACCTGGAGAATTTGTTAGTGGGGAGTCAAGTTCACAATTATGGCCGCAATTCACCCGCTCCGACTGATTCACTCCTTAACAAGCCCATTTGTCGTCCCTAAGCCTTACAGAAGATAGCTAGCTGTATTTTCCACCGGATAACATGATTCACCCGGACTGCAACAAGACCAAAGATAATTCAGTCCAAATTCTTTGTGAGTGTGAATGCTATGTAGGAACAATTGACGAGACTTGAAAAGCTGAACAGACATTGCATTTCTGCTACGATTAAAGCTTGTCAGATATTACCAGGGGTACTCAATATACTCCTGCAGTAGGACAGCTCCAGCTTTCCGCCAGGCTCACGTCACCTACTCCATCATAAACTGGTATATTCGGCCATCTGCAGTATGGCCTGGTGAAGTTTATCCCAGCTGAAACCACATCCCCTACATATTTTGTACCGATCAGCTTTTGAGGACCAGAAGAGTTTTTGTTTTCCACCCAATTGATCAAAGAATACAACAACGAATACTCGGTGCTATTCTCCGCTGGAGTGTATCCCGACTGACTGGCTGATCCAGTAACCCATGCTGTAAGGTGTCAGAACGGTAAGCTCATAGGATTTGGGAAGAAGTACTTACCACCGTCACCGCCACTGCAATGCCGCATACCTGGTACCATGAAAAGTCGATAGAAGTCACTCAACTGACTGGCTTGCCCCAAATCGCAATAGAAACCATAGACTTTGTCATACCAAGTTCCACTTGAAAGAGAAGGAATGACAGGGTCTTGATACCCGTGATACTCGATCACTCTTCCTCCTCCAGCTTGGAAAGGTCTCAAGTCAGGATCATAAGCATTGATGCCACCCGGATTGATAGCATCAGCAAGCTCAATAGTTGAGCCATTGATTGTGATATAATCCCAAGCCGTATCGTTCAATACCGCATGCCTGAAGAAGTCGATTCCGAATTGCGGGGTCTCACTATTGAACAGAAATGTGTACCCCGCTTCGCCGCCATGAGAGAGACCATCAAAGATGAGAGTATTGTTAGCTGCCCACCACGGGGTATAAATCTGATGCAGATTCGATATCTGAGCTGGGTTGAGACATTGAGAAGAATTGCTTATACCGTTTCCACAGGCAAGGACTTCCGGATGGAAGTTGCATCTGCTAGGGTCACTGACCAACCCATCGACAACGCCGTCTAGAGCATCGCATTGAGAAACCACAGCCTCATGAATCACAGCCCACATCGTTGACGGGATGTAGCTTGGTTTCGCGTTGGGGAATTGTTCCAGTGCTACTCTGATGTCCCATCCTGGGAGGTGGGTCATCCAGATTGCTGGTGCGCCAACAAGGACTCCATCAAAGTCTTCTGGGTATCTTTGTACTTCGTTCCATCCTTGATGGCCACCAGTACTGCATCCTGAGTAGTAAGAGTAGCTCGCATTGAGGTTGTAGACAGTCTCAACGACCTCTTTTGCTGCGATGGTGGAGAGGTGAAGCGCACGATGGCCACTGGAACTTATCAGATTGCATGTCCACGGCCAAGGGTCGCAGAATCTTACAAGTCGATCATCTCTTCTGCGTTGCCAGTCCATGAAGCATCGTTTTGAGTCGAGTTGTGACTAGTGTTGGTACTCATGGTAGCGAACCCTGAAGTCATGTCAGAATCTGAAACATTTTGTACAGGGCATGAATCCTAATATCAGAACTCTGTTCCCATATTTAAATAAATAGGCGATTGAACTGCATAACAATTATTAATATCTCACGCACCTTCCTTCAAGCCAGTAACAATATCAGGGTAGTTGATCCCACCAGCCCAACCACCATTGCCAACGGCCAAGAATCTAGAGTTCCAGGCAGCCTTGGTTGGAAGCCAGACCTCAAATCTTGCAGTTGAGTTATCAGATGTTTCGATCTCGCAGGCCACGCGGCAAGCTGAAGGTAGGACAGTCTGCACAGCATTGTAGCTAGTTTCCGTCGAGTCTCCTGTGAAGTTTGACCCCGCGATGATTGGCGTGCTGAAACGAATCGTAGAGTGTTGCAAAGTGATATTGTTCAGAGTATTGTAAATTGGCAATGTGTAGTTGAGTGCCTGGACGTGATTGAACATCAGCAGGGAGCTGATAGTGAGGACAGATTGAGGTCTCATTGCCGGACGACCGGACAATGTAAGAAGGCACACGAAATGAAAGTTTGCACACCTGAACATGTCTAATCTTATAGTCCCATCACCCCGGTTCACGGAGTAGCTGATCAGGTACAATATGCATAGCTCAGGGCATGGGTGGGTGGTAATCTAGAAGAGAGTGAAGGTGGGATGAGCTGTGGAGATGATCGGACGGCGAGATGTTGAAGAGATTAGGTAGACTTTCGCAACTCCGAAGAACTAGTTCGGTGCGCCGAAAATTGACTTTTTTTTTATTCAACTCGAATAAAGAATCGCAAACCTCCACCATCTACTGTTATTGTCAACCATTTCCGTACCAGGCTAAAATAGATCTGTAGTGAAAGCTGCAGGTGGGAGTCAAAGTATGCCTCACGTGACCGTGACTTATCCTGTCTGTAGACTGCTTCGATGCCACTACTCTCTCGAGCTACCAGAAGACATTGAAATTGACATAGAGTTGACGTGAGACCTTGCATGTTACAATACTGCTAAAGATATAATTGAAGAAAGTTTAAGTGTGGCCATCTTGCTTCCGTGGGGAGAAGGGATGACAGCGGATACGCGAAAAGAAAGGCATACCACAAGGAAAAGGGCGCAGGAGACAGACTAGAGGATAAAACAGAAAGAAGAGCTGATGGAGTGGTGGACTGGTGAAGTCGTCAAAGTATGACTGATGGTTTGGAGCAGATGTAAGATGGATCGATCGATAACTTGTATCAAGAGGAAAGCTGCTGCTAACCACCCAGGACTTTGACATTGTACAACTTTTGAGAAGATCTCCAGCAAGAAAAATCGATGCCCTGTTCCAGTAAGCCAAATCATTCAGTCGATCGTGATTGTGTCGATGAGCACGGTATTGAGACTCCCTGCACCTGTACCAAGGCACTCAATATAAGCTTCAATCCTCGCACTTTCTTGTGTCCTACCAGTTTTCCAGCTAAACTGTGCTTTCGCAACCACGCCCTTCGTAGATAGTCGTACCTGGGTACCACACCTCGAGTTTGCGTTCTCTGCTTCGCAAAGTTGGATATAGCATGTTCCTTTGCCTACGAGGACTCCATAGAAAGAGACGCTATATGATGTTGACGGACATACAGGGACATCTTGGTATATCATCGCATCGGTGCCATCGTTAAGTGTTTGCGACCTTGAATTGTTAGCTAAAAAGGAGGAGTGAGAAGCGGGGGCATACTTACAAATAGTAAGACCCATTCAGAGGATTATGTGTACTGAAAACGACCGAGGGCGGGCCGGCACCGTCGTCGAAGTTGCTGATTTGTGCCCACGGAGCCAAAGCACCGGACTCGAAGCCAGAATTGATCAGTGTTGGAGTTGATGCACAACTCTTTGAAGTCAAAGTTGAGGCAGATGATGTAGAAGCATCTGTCGATGTGGTTTTAATAGCACTCGCGGACTCCGCAGAGAGGGATGGCGAAGGTGTAGAATTGACGGCTGGCAATGAGCATTCACTTCCAGATACCGTGGTGTATATCGTAACATTTAAGGTCGCCCACGACGAGAATACCGTTGAGCTGGTAGCAAATAAAGTTTCTGTGATTGTTGTCATGTTCGTTTGCGTGACGGTGGCAGTGCAAGATCTCGAAGGTAGAGGACATCCTGATCCGGAAACTGTTTCGTAGACTGTTGAAGTAGAAGGATTCATCGTCGCGTACAATGTAGCGACGGAAAGATATTCTGTCACTGTTGAGGAGTAGATATTCTCAGTGAGTGTAACGGAACAGGCTGGGTCGCGTGCATCCAAGTATGCGAAACTGGTACCACACACTGCCACCCAGACAAAGATTATCGATTTCATCAGACGAGAACTCATGATGAAGGAGAATAAGACGAATGACAACCTCCCCCCAAGTTTCTATGTCAACGTAGGAAATAGAACATCAGAAAAGGAAAGGAACCGAGTCGTGGATCTACTTGAGAAGAATGCAATATAACCACCAGACTAACCAATAGTGCAGTCAGTACCCCTTTCATGATTATTATGATAGATTAAGTGGGTCATATTGAGTGGCTGAACTCGATACATGACATTGAAGTCACAGCACAAGACGCGTTTATGCGATATGCTACCTGAAAGGACTTCTACGCCGCGCGAAAAACAACATATTCGCCCCAAGTACATTACACTTCTAACAATGGCGTTGTAATATGCATTACACAACAAGATACCGGTCACTTTGAATTGTTAGTCCAAATAAAAAAAATGATGCTAACAAAAGAAAAAGAAAACCAGAACCGAATTGTGATACATGACACAAAAAGTGGCACATTTTTACGATGTCTTGGGACATCCCATACAACTGCCTCTGACAGGAAAAACAAAATAGAATCCTCCCCAATTTACTCGCTTGATTGTCCCATTCTTGGATTGTAGGAAGCGGGAAGGATACTTCCTGGATCCGATGAAATTGCGGGGTAGGAGGGGTACCAGAGAACATATTGCGGGGCAGCATAAACTTTTGTGGAGATGATGTAGTCTTGCATCCTTCGCAAGAAGTGTAACTATTTTGCTGGAACCAATCTTGAAAGCCTTGGGTGAAGTAATGCAGTAGTGATGTTGATGATTTTCATCGGATGACTTTTGCCGGTAGCCAAGACTATACCACCAGACGACTTCTCGGTCCCGAAAGGAGTATATAGTGAGGCTCTCCTTCCAACCATGCCGGAAAGCTTGAATAATTATAAACGTAATTGAAAATGCAGAAAATATTCATCGTTGCGCTTCTCCTCATAAACTTCGCTTAAGCAAGGAATGGAGGGCAAAATGAAACCAAGAACGGCAATTTGACTGTCCACACTCGAACCGGTACCTTCGTTGGGAATCTGAATGACACGTACCCGGACGTGAGACAATTCAAGTATATCCCATATGCCAAGGTAAGGAAGATCATGTCTCTCCGCATTCAATCTCTGACAATGTCCAGCCTCCCGTGGATGACAAACGATGGACGTCTCCCGAAGCGCTTGACAACTCTTCGCGAATATACGACTCGACAGTATTCGGCCCATCATGCCCTCAATACGTGTCCGCAATCCCAACAGTATGGGCTCTCAACATCACTGGAAATCTCATCGTTAATTATGGCGAAAGTCTCCTCGCTGGTCTCGTTGCCCAGAATTCCGCTGAAGACTGCCTCACACTCGCGGTTTGGACTCCAGCCTCAGCAACTCCAAATTCTAAACTCCCGGTGATCCATTTCTTAACAGGAGGAGGCGACGTTACGGGTGGAATCAATATCCCGACTCAAATGCCAGCAAATTGGGTGCACCGCTCACAGAGCCACATCGTAGTCAAGATGAACTACCGCGTCAACATCTTTGGATACCCCAACGCCCGTGGTCTTAATGGTAATACCAATTTCGCACTTCAAGATCAGCGGAAAGCCGTTGAATGGGTTGCTGAGAACATAGCTGCGTTTGGTGGAGATCCGGAAAAGATCACACTCTGGGGACAATCTGCAGGAGCAGGCGCGATAGACCAGTATCTGTTTGCGTGGTATGAGGATCCCATCATTCGTGCGTCAATATCGAGTTCTGGTGTTGCAATTGGACGAACATCCAATTTGGATTATGCTGGGATGAACTTTACCTTCGTGGCAAAGTCACTGGCTTGCGATTTCGAGGATGCTGAGTTGGAGTTGGAGTGCATGCGGCGGGTACCTATGCCGCGGATCGAAAACTTCGTCGGGCAGTATCAGGTGAGTTGATTCGTTAGTTGAATGTTCACGAATATTCTGTATATTCATGGTTCGAGCTTCGAATGAACGAGGATACTGATCCAAGAATCTCGCAGGACAATTCAACACTTGTGAACACTTCACAGCCTGCGATAGCTTTCACACGTCAAAGTAGGCCATCTTCTCTGTTGGGAATTATCCTGCTAATATTGTCAGTCGATAATAAGTATGTCTTCGAAAACTACACACAGAAATACCAGAGTGGCCAAGTTGCCCAGCTACCGAAGATCATCGGGACAACAGCACGAGAAGCCTCAGCTCTCGTCCCATACCAATTCACAACTACTCAGCAGGGCCTTCCGAACAGCTGGTCTACACCCAGACACTTAATACTGTCTGCGCAGCTCACAATACGAGCGTTCTCCGTGACGAAGTCGGGCTTCCAACATTTCGGTATGAGTGGGCAGGAAATTTCAGTAACATTGCCCCTGTGCCTTGGCTTGGGGCTTACCATTATTCTGATCTGTACATGCTGTTTGGCACTTATAAGATTACCCCTGGTGTAATCACCGATCTGGAGATTCATACATCAGAGCAGATGCAGGATCATTTCCTGGATTTCGTGGCGGATCCAACTTCGCTGCCGCAGACTGGATGGCCTGAATATCAAACTTCTGCAAGTGGTGGAGGACAAATTGCTCAATTCGGTGCGGATGGACAGGTCGTCCAATACGTTTCTGGAGATTCTGTTGAGGGGGCGTGTCATATTCCTGGAGATGTGTATAACACCACGCCATAACCTCGCTTTGTGAGAGGATTGCTGAAGCTTAGGATCTCATGATGCTTACGTCTCTCAACTTGAAATGTAACGGATTGCATTTCGGTGCCACTAGGTACCGAGTTGGCCACAGGAAAGAAGTGAAAATGGAAAGAATTTAGTGAAATTACGAAACAACTGCTTTGCAGCACAAGACTGAAGGGGAGTGCAACTGAGGCTCAGAAGTAGAGAAGTATAATGCATCAAGTCTAATCCATCAAGTCTGATAGCAGCAAATTGAGAACGAGATTCTGCCCTCGCCTGCGAGAGCCGTATGCGGTCCATGAAATCAAGGCATTAAGGTTGTCGTCCAACACCACAAATCTGTCGACGCTGTTCATCCCACCGAGCTCGCCAAGCTAATTGTGTTAAACTGAAGGTTCTAGTTGGGAATCATGAGAACTTACTACCAGCGACTGTAAGTTGACGTGACGGTGCGGAATCAGAATCTTCTTGGCTGGGGCTGGCGGTCATCGTCGATGGAGCCAGAGTGGGAGATTCTCCAACTAATGATGACTCACCAAGAATGACGAGTTCGATGTCAGCAAGGTCAATAGAAGAAAGTCCGGAATCTGATCAAAGGCTCTCTGGCCAGGATGAATTAGACCCGAGATTTTCGCATGAATTGCCTTCCGAGTTGGAAGTCTGAGGGTCGTTATCTACATAACATGTTGAACTGTCTTCGCGTTCTTGCTGACATTCGATTTTACTCTTTGCTTGGATTGGACTGGGAGGCCAGACACCTTTATTGGTTTGAGTGGATATTGCACTGTCGTTGAAGGACCCGCCCGAGTTGCGCAGAGGAGAATAGTCTCTCTTAGGGGCGTTGGAGAGCATGAACGGTCGCGCCAGAGGATTTAACACGGAAGGCGGAAAGACCGGCGGAAGATTTCTGTGCACTGTAAGCTGATGTCAAGTCAACGCAAGGCATTATTACTTGCCTACAGCAGTATCTGACAAAAGCTGTTCGTCCTCTGGTTCCTTTTTTGAAACCGGGGCAGTCATGGCTATAGCTCCGAGTCGAGACGTTGAGACGACATTTCGTATTGGTGATCCGATTCTCTTTAGAAGTCTTTGATATGAGCCTCCATCGAGTCGATAGTCGAATCCGGACTTGGCATCATCAAATACCCGGAAGCGGGTAAATGGAAGGACGAATATATGATCAACTTGGATTTTGGTAGGCTTCCTCAAGGATTTCCCATTCTCAAGCCAATATCGAGCTCTTCCATCATCGTTCACGTCTTCACTTTCCGAGACGATTAGATTGACGCCAATCGGTGTGTAGTGCTTTCTTGGGTCATCACGAATTGTTGAAGCACACTATGTTTGTCAGTGTTTGACCGAGACTTTTAAATGACTTACCAGTAAGAAATGGACATCGCCCTGTCTGCCAGTTCTCCCCTGAAGATCAATCCACAACACAACAACAGGGTGACTGTATGCTCCTTCATCCACTGAAGTGGAAGGATAGCAACAGGTACACATGCAATCAGGATAGCGTGAGTCGAAAGGGGGTAGATATAAGACACAGCCGGCGCTGATATCGCCAAGCAATAGAGTAGGATGGGCTACAGTGGGGCCAGTCATGACGTGATGCAGTGCTGAAAGCTGATACAGAGGGAATACGAGGTAAAAAGTTGACAACTATCAAAGCTAGCAACCAGCATACACAGCGATGCTATATACTGCCATCAAAAATGTGCCCTTTGTAGAGCTGCACATCTTGTTCCATGATTGGAACATGTCTATTCGATGTCGAGGAACAATGGATAAGAGAAGTCTCCGGAGATGAGACCAACGCTTTGTTGATTGATGTTGCTGACGGGTGACAAGAACTCCTCATAAAACACTTGGGCATCACAATGCACACCCAGGGAGGAATATCTTACTCCATTGTTCAGACTTAGTGCTCGAAACAATTTGTATGAACAAGGAAAGAGAGACATGGGCTTCGCCTAAAAATAGCGAAATATCAAAGAATTTGTTTGATCTGAAGGAGTGATCCGGAACACAAGTTCTCAGTAGGCATCCTTTACTCACTGGAGTAACATGCCAGATCTGAAGGAGTGATCCGGAACACAAGTTCTCAGTAGGCATCCTTTACTCACTGGAGTAACATGCCAGCTCGAAGTATTCCCTGGTACTGCAGTTTGAAAGGAACGGCCCCGAGATGATTGGTCAGCCGTCACCACGTGAGATACATATCCTGCCAATCGCCGGGGATACTGAAGTTAATTCCGAACATTCATTCTGTGCGTTGACCCTTGCATAATGATCCATAGAGCCATGGATATCGCGGATTTGAATATGAAGGTGGAGCACACGACGACTAAGACGCATCTGGCGATACTCACGACGCGCATTGCCGAGCTTGCCTAATGAAGAATTATGAATCGACAATAGCGTCAGTTCAAGAGGGAGCTTCATCAGCAACATTAGAAATTGCAATGAGATGAAGATGTATAAAGAGCTCCTATTTCCTACTGTGAGAAGTACATCATCCTCTCATCATCCCAAAGACATCTCCTTGGAAAACGAAGAACATTCGAAAACATCTCTCAAATTTTGAATTTTCAGCCGAAACTTTCCAGATCATTATGTCTGCATTCAACAAATCCACAAGTGGAGCTGATGTCGTCGCAGCCTTTCCAGAAGCTGTCCAGGGCAAGACATGTAAGAGACCCATGTCCACTTGGACTTGGTGTCTACTGACCTGGGCAATAGTTGTCATTACCGGGCCATCAGCGGGTGGCCTTGGGGCCCAGACTGCCATTTTTCTGGCTGCAGGAAAGCCAGCGGAGATTCTCCTCCTCGGTCGCACTGAGTCCAAAGCTACTTCAGTCATGGAGGAGATACAAAAGATCAGCCCTTCAACCAAGGTATCCTTCATCCACTTAGACTTGACGCGCTTCGATTCCATCAAGTTTGCTGCAGCAGAGATTAAGAAACTCGTGAGCAAGATCGATGTACTCATTAACAACGCGGGTATCATGGGCGTCAAGGAGTACACTCTCACGCCAGAAGGTCTCGAGTCCCAGTTCGGATCCAACCACATTGGCCATTTTCTTCTTACCAACTTGCTCATGCCTAGTATTGAGACTGCTGGCAGAGGAGCTAGAATAGTCAACGTAAGCAGTAATGGATACCAGCTTTCCGAGGTTCGTTTCAGCGACTATGACTTTGACAACGGCAAGGCATATGATCCGTGGCATGCATATGGCCAATCGAAGACGGCGAACATACTTTTCACCGTTTCGTTGGCTTCCAAGCTCGCGCGAAAGGGGATCTCCTCTTTCGTGGTCCATCCAGGAGCCATATATACCAACCTTGGCGCTCATGTTGAGATGAGCGAGTGGGCCACGGTTGGAAAAATGTTTAACGATCGAGGTATGGTCGAAACAGAAGCTTGTGGTGTTTACTCACATGCCCAGGCTATCCGTCTGTCGGTATTAATAAAAATCTCGCTCAAGGTACCTCATGCATCCTTGTGGCAGCTTTGGATCCATCGATTGAGAGTAAGTTCGCATATTAATCAAGTCTGAAAATACAATGCTGAACAAGAGAACAGAACAATCTGGTAGCTATCTCAGCGATTGTGCCATAGAAGAGACACCCGATTATGCCCACAATACCGAGCTGGCGCAGAAATTGTGGGCCCTGAGCGAGGAGATCGTGGGCGAGAAATTCCAGCTATGAAGGAAGAATTTGAGAGTCTTGCGAGAAAGACGTGCACTCATCGAGATGTCAAGAAGTAGATCTTTTGTGCCAAATGGAAGATCTCCGCTATTATTGTTCCGTATTGTGATTCTGGTGCCCATGTGAAGGATTCAATGAACCTCTGCTTCAGGAACAGTCTGATGGGATTAACATCCTCCTAATATTGGAGCTGGCCATTTCCGTGGGTTTCCAGCTCAATATTTTCCCACCCCATGTGTAACTACATACATCCTCCTTTATATATCCATAGTCGGGTTCAGGTTTGAGGTGCGAGTAGAGATATCAACATTCAAGAGACAAGCTTCTGTGCAAGGCCTGTGTGATTCCATACCTCGAAGCCCTCGAGCCCTCTCTGACCTGCCCGTTTGAGAGATTCGCGAGGCAGACCTTGCACCGTCGAAATCTTGAAAGTTGGATTTCTTATACTCGACATGGAGGGGAGGTGAAGGAGGATTTCGAATTCTAGGTGTTCCATTCGCGCATGCCAAAATATTAAGAGCTTCACCAAACCAAGCTTCTTCTCTCTCGAAGTGTCTGCTGCCTCCCACCTTGCCTGCTGCTCGTCACGGAATTTCTCTACGAGGTGTAGCGCATCCTCTGTAGTCCACCGCGTCAGCCCATCCCATAAAATTATGGAGTCGAATTTGGCCTCGCTGGCTGGATAATGCAATGCTTTCGGGCTGCTTGACAGCGCGGGGTGTATAGTTCAATGCTATTGAGATCAGCAGATTCGAAGCAGAAGTTTGTGAGGGTATACAAGTCGGTGTCGTATCTTAAGATGTGGTGCCCATGAAGGAAGACACCTGCCGCTAGAACGCCGGAACCCGTGTTACATAAGCATTCCTTCTCCAAGACATCTTCCACGATCCCAGAACTAACATCCAAGTTTGTCTTCTTGATCGAAGTCAACATCATGAATGCGCTCAGAATGTATTTTCCATTCGCTAGAGAAGCGAAAGACATGCAGGTGCTGCAAGAGCTAAACATAGGTACCTAGCCTGGGATACTGCACAGCCTCGTCGTCTTCTCTCTTATCTTCCTCTCGTATTTGCAATTGCTCGTTTCGTGCTTCAATTCATATTTGGTCCTAGTAATTCTGTGTATGCTTCATTGTCCCATTCATTGATCGATCCTCTGCGAGCGTTTCGTGTCGATACCCCAAACTCAAGGCCCAAACCCATCTTCAGCCTGACTGCAAAAACGCTTTTCGCTTTTCAAGGTTTGTCCACGATGCGGCTCCTCAACTCCAAAACGCTCGAACTTCTCGAGTTCTTTGATCCTGATATCCCACCTTATGCGATACTTTCTCACACTTGGGGGGACGAGGAGGTTTCATATCAAGACATGCTTGGGGGCAATGCATCGACGAAGAAAGGCTACGAAAAAAATATCGAAATGCTGCGACATCGCACTCTCGGATGGTTTCGAGTATGTCTGGGTAGATACAAGTTGCATCGATAAGACGAGCAGCGCTGAGCTGTCCGAAGCCATCAACTCGATGTATCGATGGTGCCAGCATTCTCACGTCTGTTATGCCATACTATCCGATGTCCCTTCTGATGAAGATCCCGAGTTGGAAGAGTCCTCATTTTGCAGAAGCAGATAGTTTACGAGAGGGTGGACGCTCCAAGAGTTAATAGCACCTGCAACTTTGATATTTTATGGCAGAGAATGGAAAGAGATCGGTACCAAATCCAACTTGATAGATATCATCGTCCAAGTCAGCCGCGTACACAAAAAGGTCCTCTCTGGGGAGAAAGAGTTACGCCACTGCAGTATCGCCCAAAAGATGTCATGGGCATCAGCACGGCGTACAACAAGGCTCGAGGACATTGCGTATTGTTTAATGGGTATTTTCGACGTCAACATGCCATTGCTTTATGGAGAGGACAGTAAAGCATTTTTCAGACTCCAGGAGCAGATCCTAAATGCATCTCTGGACGACAGCATACTTGCTTGGACGTCACATCTTCCTGCCATCGGTAGGCCCATGTGTAGTACCCTTGGGGGTAGTTGCCTTGCCGTTTCACCAGCGTTCTTTTCCAGATGCAGTGGCATTGTATGGGACTATGATGGCATTCCAGGAACAGGTCACACTCTCACGAATGAGGGTTTATGCATGAGGTTCGAATCGATTGCAGAGAATGTGCATTCGCACGACATGACTGCCTGCAAGGTAACTGTCCTTCTAAGATGCAGAGACGAAGTTACAGGTGCCCGAATAGTCCTGAAGTTTCAACATGAGGGCGGCAATGCTAATGGCAGGAGAAGGATACTCGTGAGAGTTATGGATCATCTGGTGTTTACGGCCACTGAAAGAGAAATACGATTCAAATCAGGAACCAGGAAAAAAATCTCAACGAAGGTCAGATACTTGTATGTCGATCGCTCATCATCCTACCAGCAAATCCCTCTTTGGAACCACGCAGCGTGTATCGTATGGGCGAGGGGCTTAAGAGACAAAGGATTTGCCCTTACGAATATTTTCTGTTCTGATGTTCCTCACGGATGGACAATTTGGAGCAAAGCGACAAATACCCTTTATCTCTGGAGACATCTGGGTACAATTTTTATGGTTTTCCGGTTTGTTTATTCCGAGTCTGACTCTGATATGTATTTCGACGTCATTTTGAGGTTCCAAGATCGTGACGATCGACTCGCGATTGTTACAGCTGTCATCGAAGAATCGCGATCTCCTTTCGTGGAGAATATTACGAAGCAATTCTGCAAATATAAAGAACAGTGGACAAGCACAGATCGAATTTCATGGCACCACCCGGCCAAGGGCATCTCTATAAGTATGAGCATACGGCCTTACAACTCGGATAATGTCCCAAAGCACGAGATCTTTGGTGACTCGGTTGTTTCGCAAGCTTTCAACGTGAAGATTGAATGTGTACAGCCGGGGAACACCGCCCTGTATGAACCACTTGATCTCTCGATGGGGGACACCATAGCATAAGTAGCCAAAAAAGAAGGGGGAAAATAGATCGCAGAACGATGATAGAACTCTTCACTCTCTTTTCCCGCCTAAACACAACGAAGTTCACGTTTCCGAACGACGCTAGGTGCTGGATCTGCCTCCATCGAGAACAATCACTGGGCAAAATCCGTGGGCGATGAAACGGGTGCACCAGCTGCACCAGCACCATCACGGTAGGTTCGGAGGCATCTGTGCGCACGCATATTCTTCACTTTCTGATTTTCAATTAACGGAACCATAATCTAACTCTTGTCTTTTACAGCCCCAGGCGCATCTCCACCCTTCACACCACCAGTTGGTCTCTGTCCAACTCCCCACCCAATCTGGTTCGCCACCCTGACCTCAACACCCAGCTCAGCAGCCCAATCCCACACCAAACCCGGACTCTTCTGAAATCCTCTCGCCACAAGCACCGCATCGGCTTTGCCGTCTTGCAAAATCTCCTCAGCCTGAACACCACTGGTAATCATCCCTACAGTCCCAACCTTCGTCGCTTCTCCTCTTCCTGCCTCAACCAGCGCTTTCCTGATGGCATCCGCAAACGGCACTTGGTATCCAGGACCAGAGACGACTTTCTGCTCAACCATCAATGCAGCAGATGATACATCTAAGAAGTCGACACCAAGCTTAGTTAGTTCCAGAGACAATGCGATGGCTTGGTTGATCTCCCAACAGTTGGATTCTGGTGGCATCCAATCTGAGCCTGGAATTCGGACGAGGAGGGGCATCGACTCTGGGATCGCGGCGCGGACGAGAGTTGTGAGTTCGAGAAGGAGACGCATCCGGTTCTCCAGGGAGCCTGAATAAGGCGCTGGGAGCTTGTTAGTCGCGGCAGACAGGGTAGCATGAAGAAGGTAGCCATGAGCTGCGTGGATCTCGATCGCCTATATCATGAGTTAGGACTCACTTCCAAGCAAAGGGAGGGCAAAGGATTTATGTGTGACGACTAAATGAAAAGCTTACATCGACACCCGCTTTCAAAGCTCGATTAACAGAGTCGATAAAGGATTGCTTGAAGCTGGCGATGTCTTCAAGCGTCATAACCCTCGGCACAACGGTGTGAGGAGCATCGAATGCATCATTGCTCGCGCTAAGGACGTTATCTGGCCAGCCTCCAACCTAAGTCTCAGTTAACACACATCCTCAATTCAACGGACAGATTTTGACCTACATCAGCGGTAGCAACAGCCTTCCTATTAATCCACGGCGCAACCGTACTTGCCTTCCTGCCCGCATGCGCCAACTGAATCGCAATCTTCTGTCCCTGGCTATGCGCAAATTCCACAATCTTCTTCAAAGGCTCAATCTGGCTATCTTTCCACAATCCCGAGTCTTGAGGTGAGATTCTCCCCTCTGGTGTCACGGCCGTAGCCTCAATGATCGTAAGTCCCGGTCCTCGCTGCAGGATACCGCCCAGATGGGTAATGTGCCACATGGTGAGATGGCCATCATCAGCCGAGTACTGGCACATAGGCGAGACTATGACTCTGTTCTGTAGAGTTAAGCCTCGGAGTTTGAGAGGTGTAAAGACTTTTGGAAGGGGTTTGGGGTTGTCTTTGCGTGTGATTGCGGTACCAGCTGGGATGTGTTGTTGGGGAGTGTAGTAAGATATCTTGATGATTCAGCACAATGTCACATACAAAAGCTGCGATTTGGATATCTTACATTAGGTGCAGCTACATTTTCGAGCGGGTTGACGGGGATTTGGACTGATTTTGGAGGGGTCGTTGCTGGAAGCGGGGTCGAAACGGCGGTTTTGGTGATGGTGGAGGGACATTGGTGATCTGCCATTTTTGTAATTCTATCTTACTTCAATTTCCGAGAATGTATGGTCTCTGTGGAATGTTGCTGTATGCTGAGCTCAGATTAATTGTCTGATTTCATTTCAGGTAGAGAGCGTAGATATATGATGCCACTTGAGACAATACTCCGGGCCTTCGTCATGACGCAGGACGACTCCCATGGTCTCGGATGTTAATAATCGCATAGCAGCAGCTCCCATGCCATGATCACAGCATTCGCCGCGTTGCGAGCGATGCAAGTAATAGATGCGGAGCAAATGCGCCGTCCTCGCTGTGCTGATTCAGCGCAAGCGAGAGCTCGGCGAGAGAACAGGGGTGGCGGCGAGGGCAGCGACGCTATCCCAGATTTGGCCGAAGCTACTCTTGGCACTCACGATGCAACAGAGTATGAATTCAACTTGAGAGGGACAAGCTGAGAAATCACTTTGAGAATACCTTACATATCATTGAGTGGGGACAAAGCCAAAGTCATATCCAACATGAGGGACATTTTGTATAAGAACCAGAGGCTTGTACCTCGAAAGAACATTACAACCACATCAATATCTCCAGTAAAGCACAGAACAACAGCCACTTCTCCACATCAATTCCAACGCTGAGCACCTGTCTATTTAATTCCATGCCAAGCTTTCTCAAAAAGATCTCCACAGCAATTCGCTCAAGAAACCACTCATTAACCATGTCGACCTCGCCAAGAGTCTTCGTAACCGGAGTTTCGGGGTACGTCGGCGGACACACTGTCTTGCGAATCTTTGAAAACCATCCAGAGTGGCATGTCGTTCTCCTAGTCCGAAACGAAGAGCAAAAGAAAATCGTGCTTGCGAAATGGCCACAAGCGGAAGTTGTCATTGGCGAATTGGATGACAAGGACTTGCTGATTAGCCAAGGCTCGAAGGCAGATGTCGTGCTTCGTAGGTGACCTACATTTTCCGAATAAGGGAACGTTACTGACAAACGAATAGAGACAGCATCTGCCGATCATATTCCTGGGGTTCTCGCGCTCATTGAGGGTCTTAGCCAGAAGAAACCCACTCCTGGCTATTTCCTTCAAGTCACTGGAACTGGCATGCTGAATGATGTTCCAAACGGATTCGGTATGTACTCCGTGATATGTTATGTGACACTGACTGAGAGCGTAACAGGTTACCCATCCGACAAGATCTATCACGATATTGCTGATCTAGCTGAACTCACTTCGCTGCCGCTTGAAAACCACGTTCATCGCGATGTCGAGAAGGCCGTTCTCGAGGCACAAAAGAAGTTCGGTGTTCCAACAGCAATCGTGTCTCCACCCTTGATTCATGGTATTGGCAAGGGACCAATCAAGACTCGCAGTATTCAGATCCCGTTTATGGCAGAGTCTGTCTTGAAAAGGGGTAAAGGTTTTCAGATACTTGAGGGTCAAAATATTTGGGATGGTAAGTAGATTCCACAGTTTGTTCCATCTCCTCCTAGATGTATTTTGTGTGATGCGACCTGATACTGTACCGAGTGCCAAGAAGTATATGTCGGTCGACATCAATACATGTACCATGCTAGGCCAGCCTTGCAGCACTTATTCAACAAGCATGAACCTTCCTTGCTGACTCATAACACTTAGCTACTCATATCGACGACGTAGCTTCAGCTTTCATCCTCCTCACTGAAGAAGCATTGAAGCCCAACGGTGGAAAGGCCCAGTGGGGCGACGATGGCTACTATTTCGCGGGTGGACCACAGTTTGTAAGTCATCTGACTATCCATACAAATTTCAAACGCCTAATTTGAACAGAAATGGGGAGAAGTCGCAGCGACAATCGCAAACTCGGCTTTCAAGGATGGATTGATCAAGTCTGCCGAAATCGACAAGCTCTCCGTCGCAGAAACTTCAGCACTTCACCCATGGGCTCCCCTTATTTGGGGAGGCAATTGCAGAAGTCGATCTGATAGACTCCATCAGCTTGGTTGGAAACCACAAGGACCGAGTGTCTTCGAGAGCATCCCATCAATGGTGCAAGCGGAAGCCAAGACATTAGGCACCCAGTCTTCAAAGACCACGTTCGACAAGTAAATAGCAATGTTCAGTGTGACGTGGAGTAATGATCGTAGAAGGATGAGCAAGGGAAATGGGTGTAGCTAGGAATTTCAATGTTACAAGCGTTTAATGAATGAGTCCTTCGAGAGCAAAAAGATGTAGGTGTGCTGACAAAGATCCTCCCGTCAACCCTGAATACGGGTACAATAGTGGGGCCAGACTCAGACACAGTATTCCATATCTCTGCGATGCGACCAATTATTTTATTCCTGCAACGTGATAAAGCTTCGAACCAGATCTCCTCATGAATTCACTCGAACACGATGATACAGGAGCGTCTTCGACTCAAGCCAAGCCTTGTACGACTTGTCGTCGAAGGAAGGTTAAGTGCGATAAAGTCCGACCGGCGTGCAGCAACTGTGCGCGCACCAAGCAAGTCTGCATTTACGACACTTCTGATGGGAGGAATGAAGGAAGCTCCTCTTTGTCCAGTGATAATGAACTTCGAGAGAGATTGGCGAGGTTGGAGCAATTGATGGCAACGATGATGATGTCTGACAATGTGACATCAAGAGGCAGCCCTGAAGTCCCTAATCAGCCGCTAAGCCAGTCCGCTGTGAGCTTAACGTCTTCAAATCCTCCACCACCAACACAACAACCAAATACACCAGTCCAACTGCTTAAAGGAGATATTCCAACTGGCCATATTGTGTTCCAAGAGGGATTCAGCGGGTACTATGAGCCAGACTTTTGGCCCACTTTAATTGCCGAGGTAATCCGAGATAATCTGATGTTAGCATAGTACTCATAGTCGTTGTAGGTTGAAGATCTTAGACAATTGTTTGATGATGACTCAAATGAAGAAACTAAATGGGCCTCGTACTCAGCGGTTGGAATTCCCCCGCCCATGTCAGAGCCAGATCTGCCTCTCGCTCACCCCACCATTGAAGAGTCGAACATACTGTGCAAGTATTTCTTTGAATGTGTGAATCCGTTCATTCGTATTACGCATCAGGGCTTGTTTGCTCGAGAATTGAAGGAATATCGCCGTGGGACTTTCCACCATCTGCATGAGTTCGAGGCTCTTCTCTTTGCCATATATACCCTAACTATTGGTTGTCTTCGGCCGGAGGTAGTGGAACAGGCATGCTCGTGTTCGAAAGATGTATTGTTGGCTCGATTCAGGCATTCTACTCAACTCGCGTTAGCCAAGATCAATTTCCTTCAAAGTAACAAAGTCTATGTAAGTTATGTACCATATAACCTCAGCAAATCGTTGAACACAATCACCCCCCTTCTCAGCGTATAGTTCTAGAAGCCTAGCAGGGTAGAGACATGCTAACACCAAATTCCTAACAGGCTTTATCGTCTCTCTTACATTACATAGTATGTCAGCCACAATCTATATTCAAGATACTACTGACCTCAGTCCAGACCTTTCTCTTCCAACAAAACATCTATAGAGAAGGAGTGGCTCTTCTTGGATCTGCAGTTCATCTTGCCCGGAATCTAGCGATCCACAAAGATCCCGGCCACTTTCCTTTCTCTCCCTGGGTACACGAGATCCGCAGGCGAGGGTGGAATCATCTTTGTGTACTCGATGCTATAGCTCTCTCCAGTTATGGAGCAGAGTCATGCCTTCCAGTAACCTCGGATTCGAAGCCGCCGCAGAATGCGAACGATAGTGACTGGCATGCAAGCCGTTTTGCTAAACCTTCTTCTGTGCCATCTAGCAGTGTTGGCTTTAAGGAAATGACTTTCGCCCTTGTTCATAGGGAGCTGGGGGACATGTCTCGAGGTCTTTCCAGTGTTATCTGCCGAAATTTTAATCAGAAAGAGCATCTTGTCAGTCAGGTGGAAGAGAGTCTTACACAGAGGTATCTCAATATCATGGACACAAGTACACCATCACAATCCATTATTGTCGCTCTGGTACAAGTTCGAATTGCTTCTGCACGGTTATCAATTAGGTACCGTCGATCCGAAGGATCAAGAACTGAGAGGAAGAAGTAGGTGATGTTTGCTGAATCGAGATTTTTCGCATACTAACTGCCACGGAGAGTATACATGTCAGCTCTAGAGTTGCTGGAAGCCTATGAGTACCACTCCGCCGCATATTCGCCATTCAATTGGGAATGGGTATTCCAAAGCACAATTCCTTGGCTTGCCCTAGCTATAGTGTTAACAGAAACACCGAAAGCCGAAGAACAGCTGGAAATTGAGCGTGCACAGCTCCAAATTGAAGCATACTTCCAACGACTCTCTTATGCTCCGGTAGCCAGCACTCCAATGTGGAGAATGCTTACCAGACTTCGAGCCCATATGCGAGAGGATAGTAGCCCACCTCATATTCCTACCAGCAGTGTGACCAGCAGTATGAATCACTCGCCAGCTTCTAGAGGCGTGTCTGCTACTCTGGTGTTCACTGATGACTTGATGATGGATTTTGGAAATGGACGGGTAGTAGGAGATAGGTCCTGGCATAATGATCAGCAAATATTGCAGGGTAGGCAAGACTTTCCCTGGTAAGTTCTGTTCTACTTTTGAGATAAAGTTTGCTTACAAGTCATAGGCTGGACACCCAAATGCAGTTCGCAGGTGGGGAGTTCGAGGGATACAATAACGAGCAGCGTCAACAATAAAGAAACCATTCCGTAGTCGTGAAGAGATAGCATGTATCTAGGAGTGTGGACAGTTCGCATCTGAATTTTCTTGTTCGTTCTTTCCGTTTTCTTGTTGGTAGTTGCTTGTCCAAGTGGTCGTACCTGCCTTGATTGCGGCCTCGCAGCCTGGTCTCTTTCGTTGACAGTTCCCGTCTTCTTCCTCTCTCAACTCCCAATTCTCAACCCACCACCTCCACCTCATCACCCCCCTTCCTCCCTCTTTTTTTTTTTTTTCTTTCTTTTTTTTAATGCCCGGCAAAGTAACATTATGGGGCCATGCAGGAACCTGTCTATCAGCGACAGGCAACCATTCCTTCCTGCATGGCCCCAGGCTTCAAATTCCTCTGCGAAGGTGGGTTTCCCTCTCCCATCCCACATAAGCTCCAAGGCAGCCTTCGTGTTACAATCATAGATAGTTGCTGACAGTACTCTTCCAGGTGACAAGTACTCCGCCGATTTCACACCACCAGTGTGGCTACCTCGAGAAGCGTAACCTTCATGGTAAGAGGTCCTCCTTTACCGACAACAACTCCCTGCTAACAAAGTCGTAGAATACGGAGGTGCCACACTGGTGGTGTCATCACCACGTCGGGCAGCTGAGAAAGGCTTGTTGCTATCATCGTGCATGGAGTTAAGAAGGGCGAGGAAGGCTTCACCGCCCAGTACACCAGAGACAATGTCATCTCGTGTGGCAATGGTGCTTGCGAGGTATTTCGCTCAACTGCCGATGGACCTTGCTTCCCGACACTGAACGACTTGCCAACTTCTTTAAATTCAGGGACTTCTATCAAAGTCGAAGCGTCTCTACTTCTTCGCAGCTGCCCCCGACTAGTTTGAGGTTGACGGACTGGCTGGCTACTTTCTGGCTTTATTGGTGCCTATCACACTTGAACAAGCGCAATGTGAAGCCGGACTCTTCCAGCCAAGGTAAGGAATTTTAAACTAGTCGATTCAGATGCTCGTTGCTGACCACTGGGCAAAATAGAACGATACCTTCATACATGAAACTCGACACGGCGATGTGTATATGGATGAGTGATAACGCTATGGCGAACATTGTGCTCCGATACAAAGTGAGAAGCCCTGACCTTGAGCAACTTTTGGTTCTTGATGCTGATTTAGGTGTGTAAAGCTATCTCTTTCCAGACATCACTACCTCATTCAACACAACTCGGCACCAGTGCTCAGTGTGGTTCTGTATTCCCAAGCCCAAGGCTCATTTCTCTGGCATGTGCTCTCAGTTGAAGAACATCGAGGGCCAAATCTCCATCAGCAAAGGTCAAGCTGATCAAATTTTCATGGAACACCAACAAGCCTTCCTTCTGATGCCGCTCAATAACATGAGATTGAACTACTTCATTCAAGCAAAGTAGTATGTACGCTCGTCCCGTACTGATGGGTCCATCAGACTAATGCCTTGCGTAGCAGCCGGGCAACTTCCACCCGTTGAGACAGATTCTAGAATCTATAAAATAACAGAAGCACACAAGACATTGGTTTCTAGGGCATTCGAGGTCGGTGGAGCACATCGATTGGACGAGAACTCTGCGTCGGTCGGTGGGGATGGGATTTGCGCAAGTGGGTTGGGTTGGTGGTTCATGGACGTGTTGGTCTGAGAGAACAAGAATCAAAGCATAATTGATCCTTCATTCCTGGGTCCAAGTACCTGTAGTCTATATGGTAGAAGAGTTATACTATTCACATTCGGAGAGAGGTTCATGTCTTTTCAGCCAAGTGTAAACCGAGACCGAAAGTCTTTATAGCAGTATCAAGTCATATACTTAACAACGCAACTATCCAGCGAACCTGGCATCATGGGTCTTACATTCTGGGTCTGGGAGGGGTCCCGGAAGCTGCAGGGGGCATAATTTACACGTGATGACGCCCACAAAAATAACTTCCGCCACGCTAGGTCTTCGGGGTCTTCCTGCCCAGGATCGACCCTACTTCAACATCACATCACAAATCCAAACGCAACAAACACTCACCTCTATCTTACCCATCACTATTTCCATTTACAATCACAAGAATCAAGAGGAGCCTTCTCCTCTAGGAGACAGGCGCAGCAAAACTCTTGCCAACAAAATCGTGTTGCGGGGACGCTTTAAAGCCTACTGCTACCCAGCATTGGGGCCGGCAAGTACACCCACTTTCCCTCTATCTTCTCAATTAACCATGATCCAGCTGCTCTTGAGAGTGGCGACTCTCACCGATGCCGACAGATGGGACTGGCTCACCCGTCTGCGAGACAAATCATTACAGCGTATGTAGGTACTTCCTCCCCTTCTCAACGCGTCCTCCTGACTTGCCCAGAGTTGAAGAGAAAATACCGAGACGTCATCCGCGTCGCCCCTTACTACGACCACGACGTCCGAGGATACAAGAAACGATCTTTATGTAGAAGATCCTGGAGGGTAAGTTTGATTTTCTCTCTGGTGCTCAATTGGGATAAACAACATTACTGACAGTTCAGCATCAGCAGAACTTCATATCACTCTACTCTCGAAAAGCCACGACGTCCAAGTCCATTTTATATGTCGGTGCCTGCCTGTCTGGAGAGCGATCTCCTACCGAAACGGCTGTGATAGGTGAGTGAAATCGAACCTGCCTTGTTTCGCGGCCCTTCGATTCGCATAAATAGCACCACTGACATTGAAGATTCTCTAGGCTGTTCAGCACAATAAGTTCCAGCACAGCTTCTAGGCTGTTCACCACAATAAGCTCAAGCACAGATTTTGTGCCTTTCGCTCTGTGAGTACGCGCGTCCTTCACTTCACCCTCTTTCCCATTCCACATTTTTTAAAGGACCTCTACGAACCCAAGATTCCTCCGCATATGTTTGTTCCAAGTGCTACGGCATGAAGTATTCACATTCATTGTCGAGTGTCATGCGATTGTCATTTTCATGAGTGATATCTCTCTCTCATTGTAGCCGCTGCCATGGATTCGAACAGTCGTTTGTATCACTTGCTGACTGGACCAGTTTTGGAGCCTCCATTTGGTGCCTTGTGCTCAATTGAGGAGGAATGAAGCCGGTCTGAGAAGATGGACCCTCACATTCCAAGAGCGTTTGGTCGACTAGATTCAGGAGGAGGAAGAAGCCAAGCATATAGCAGGCTCCCCTCCTCCGCGAGTTCGGTCCACCGGACGCTCTTGGATTATGAGGGACCATCTTCTCAGACTAGCTTCATTCCTCCTCAATTGAGACCTCATCATGTCCGTGGCGAAGAACACTTGTGGCAATCTTGACTTGCAAGGTATGCGGATATCATCATCTTGTCGCGTTGTGGCTAACCCCATTCTGACTATATAGCTGGCAGCTGATCGATACAATGAAGCTCAGCTCGAGCACTTCGACTATCAACATCCAGGTGTTGGATAGCAGCACTGCTGAAATGCCTACCAAAAGCATTCGGAATCCGGCCCAGCCAAGAAGGCCAAGCTGGAGACAGACAAGGACGATGACTTCGAGCCAGCTGAAAATATGGACGTTGAGCCAGAAAGATCCACCAGCCCAAAGAAGTCTCGAAAAAAGGCAGTGAAACTCCAGAAGGCTGCATACTACAACAACTCCACCGAGAGTAAGCCAGAACCTCACGACATGCCTCAGTTTTGGGGCTGGCTGGGGAAGTTATTGCTGGAAAAGGGAGGAGAGGGGTGGATAGTGGTGGATCTTGTATTTGTACGCTGTATTTGTACCTTGTATTTGTACCTTGTATTTGTACCTTGTATTTGTACCTTGTATTTGTACCTTGATGTGGCTTGTAAGATTATTGGATTCGGGGTTTTGATCCATTGATTACTATGCTCTCTTGTGTGACACGCCCTTCTACCTATTCTCTTCAACCTAAGCTTCGACCTGATTTGTTCTTATATCCATTGCTTGATTGTAACCTTCTTCTACTTCCATGATCTCTTGTTCTCCTGTTATTGATTCTCAGGCTCCATGCCTTTCCTCGATACTGTGGTGGCGTCAAAACCCTGCCCCGCGGCTTATGTTTCCTCGTGTTACTTCATGCGCTCCTTCCTCTTGCCTCGTACTCTCCATTCATTCTCCCCGAGAATTGATCTCCCACTGTGGGTGTCAAGAGAACCTTATAGCCGTGGCTTGCTCTTTGTCCAAGTCTCCCAAGTAAATGGACGCAGAATCTGGCTCTTGCTCTCTTTCCTGCTTCTCCTCACTCTTCTAAAGCTGGTATCTGAGCGCTCTTGTATTGATTCCTTGCCTTATTGCATCTGCGATCTCCTTTTGTTGAGTGTATAAATGTATGTAAAATACTCGAACATGCCATCTCAAGTATTATTCAGCTGCAGCACAGAAAGATATCGTCGTAGCAGAGATTTCGGCTTATCCTGCGGTTTCGAACGATCGTAGGCTTGTTTAAGGGTCGTGAGTCTATCTCTCCAGTACCTGTTTAATAATCATCAGCACTCCTATTAGTTGTAGAAGGGGAGGTAGGTCTACCTAAAATTCTCGATGTTCCTCTGTTCTTTTGGTAGCGGTTTGCATCGGGCAGCTTCGCCATCGAGGTGGTATTGGATTTGGTTTCGCAGAAACCAGTCTTGGGTTTCGTTGTCGGAGGAGGGGAGGAGGAGGGAGAGGGTTCGTAGGGTTTCTTCGATTAGTCCTTCGGGGTAGACATCACTACCAAGTGTTAGATGCTGCTTCGTGACAGACAGAGGAAAGAAGGAAAAAAGTATGGTAAACGTACCTGCCAATCTGATAACTCAAGAAAGCAGCATGGTGAAAGACACACAAAGTCCTCTGCGTGTCCTCAGGGTATTCTTCTGTCGTCGGGCTCCCAGCAGTATGTCCATGCTCTCTGAACCTCAAATGGTCCAGCAGATTACTCGTCCAGACAATCCTACACCCCATCTCCTTCTCGATAACCCTCAAACACCAACCCTTCTCAAACCTCACATCCCCTCCAATCCCATTTGCCCCAAGCTTCGCAATACCCTCAAATGTACCCGTCGCTCCCGTCCCACTCTCACTAACAGCCCTACTCCTCGCCCGAAACTGCCTTTGAAAAGCACCCCTCACACTGCCATCCACCCACGTCAAGCTCGTCTCTCTATTCTCGGGACTAACTCCTTCCCAGAAACTCCATACCGGAACCATCCACCTCAGCCTAACAATCAAATCTACAATCTCTCCCACAATAACCCTCTCATCCCCCTTCTCCACCGCTTGCACCTGCCCATTCCCCTGCTGATTATACGCCGACTTCTCAAACGTCTCCTGCAAAAACCCCTCTATCTCCTCCCTACTCCTGCCATTGCACATCAGTTCCGCCCCCTTCGTAATATGCAGAAACTTCAGCTCCTTCACCTTATACTTGCTCCACGCATACAACGCGCCTCTGATCGTCGTCTCGACATAGCTCAAGTATACATTTGGAGACTTGCGCGTGGTGTCGAACAGAGGCCCGGGATCGCCGAGGAAGGAGTCTAAAAGGGCGACTTTCGTGAGGGGCAGGAGGGATTGGTGCCATAGGTGGCTGATGGGGTCGTGGAGCGGGTTGTGGTCTGGTACTACGACGTAGAGTGGCATTTTGGAGAAGGGGATCTCATCTCGCGGGGATTTTTTTCTTTCTTGCTCAGGCTTTCTTGTGTTTTGTTTTCGGGCCGTTGGTGGAGGTGGGGAATATGTGCGGGGCCGCGGCAGTTGGAGAATCGCAGGTGAGTGATGAAAGAGTGACACGAAAAATAATCTTCTTCTCAACGAGCGTGCTGCACTGTTTCTTTTCTCTCTCAGACGGAAATTGAGGAAGGAGAAGTAAAGGTGCGAGAGATTTATTACCTCGAGACCAATCTCGCTGCCTCCACCCGTATCACACACACCACAGGGCTGCATGCCCGGCCCTTGATGCCTGCACCCATTACGTACCGCCATCCAGCCAATAATCCGCCCCTCACCAGCCAGCCCGGACCCTGCGCCACACGCCCAAACAGCCTGAAAGCTGCCCTCAGCCCCAGGAAAATGGCTCGGGAAGCTCAGATTCAGCCACTGGCTACCATTTCATTGGTGGCTTTTCGAGGAATGTGCCTTGCAGCTACACTGGCTTCGGATCATTTTTCAAGAGAGCTTCCTTTGGTACGTCATTTGAGGAGTGAGGGTTGAGATCGTGAGCGAGGCTGGTGGAGATAGGACCGGTGGATGTATGCGAGGATGTGGTGGGTGTTGCTGACACGAGGTCTGTCAGCAGGGGAGTGGAGGTTCACGATAAAGAGGTGCTGATTTCAAATCGTTGTACTTCTCTTCCCACACCCTCACCGAAACCCGTGGTAGCTTCTGCGACTTGTTGGTTTTTGGGCTCCTTCGAGGAGAAATCCAACGTTTGTTTCAAGTTTTTGGGCTTCTGGGGTTGTCCCGGTCGCACAGATCCTTCAGCGCACCGGCTTCAGGGGATGTGGACGTGTGGCTGCGCCGTTGGAGTGCCTGACGGGCCGATCCCAGTTGTGAGTGCCGAGTGGGGCAGATTCGAATGGTTGGCTTCTTGGGTATTTGGTTTGGGATCTTGAGTACCCATTGATATTACTAGAACTGGCAAGTTGGAGAGGTTTTCTTGAGGCCCAGAAAAAGGAAAGTTGATGAATAATGAAGGAGAAGGTGGACATCGATGTAAAATTCCTTGTACTTCTCTCCTGCTTTGTATTAGTCAATAAGTAACAAGATCAAAGGGGATGGAAAGTTATCCAGCTTAAGACCTTACTTACTGAATCCCTTTTTCTACTCCTGCTGTCCGAGATTGTGCTTCGTTCCAACTGGTGATCTATCAGGTACAGTATCAGCAGTCATTGATTTCTCAAAGTAACGGACAGACTTATCGATATCGTAGGTTCCTTCGATCTCCGTCGTCTTTAGATAAATCACTTCCTCACTGCTCTTTTGGATAACTTATACACTTCACGTCTTGCAACTGGGCATAATGTCTGGCGAGCGAACGATCTTCCATTCCTCTCTAGTTACAATCACACCACCAGTACATCAACTCCTCCAATACCTCCTCCCCAAAATCTTCTCTTCCTCCTCGGGCTCCTTCTCGTCGGTGGCGCTGCCAGGAGGGCGGAGCGGGCGGGTCGGTGGTGGCGGGGGTGGGGGCAGGGGCACGGCGGAACTTTTGCCATAAATGGCGGAGGGCGTTGGTTGCCTTACGGCGGAGGACAGTGGTGAATGCCATTGCTGTGAATAATGAATTAGAAGAGTATATTGACGGTCAAGAGCTGCGGACTTACCGAGTGGCTTGTTGCTTCAATTGGCTTGAAGACTTGATTGCTTTCCGTAGCTTGTAAAATTTGGAAGTGAGAGCGTTGGTTTTTATATGGGCAGTAACGTTTACCTTAGCTTGGAAATTTTCCTCGATTGCCCGGAACAATCTAGGACATTGAGGAACAATAATACACGCAAACAACTTCCGTCTTTACATGAATCACATAACAATATTTTATTTCAGATACGGCAAGCAATGGATTGTACAGCACAGCTGCGAACTTGCTATACAAGATCTATACATAACACCGACTTCCAGACCCTCTGTTGTCCAGCACCCTCCAGCCACGAACTTTCAAACCCCATCTTCAACCACGTCACGACCCCAGGTTACAGGGAAAAGGGGTTCCTCACCACGACACGATCCACGAAGCGCTCCAATGAGCGTACGACGCTACGTTGACGACCTTCGAACTAAAGAAAGGGGATATTCGCCAGGTCCAATGTTTTTCCGTTGCCGACATCCAAGCCCTTCGATCCTTCCCAAGTAGATCCCAGCAGAAACTCTAAATGTAACGGTTGATTACCACAGCGATCGCAACGCTCTTGCAAGTATTGGCCAGAGTATTACAAACACGTTAGAAAACAGACTCGCCAGCAGCCAACGTCACGCCCGGCAAGAGTCGGTTTTGATAGATGATCTTGTTCCCACTCCGCTAGTACTCCGCAAAGCCCCAGAGCAGACTCCCCCGTCGTCATCAGATTCCAATGCCAATTTCCACCCTTCGCGGTTCCAAGACAATGTCCAGCTTTCACGGGACTTAGGCAATGATTTCGGATTGCGCGGGCTGTCAGCATCGAGAGAGAATGTCCAGCAAATCGGTTTACAGTTTAGTTACCAGCACAGAGAGGTGTCTCGACATTTGTACCTACGATCTTGTATCCTCCGTCTCCTTCCTGTAGCTCGTCTCGTTCACTGGTATACTCCAAAAGGCCCATCGCAAGAGGACGACGGGCTATTACAGGACAGTGCGGTACCTACCGCATAATTGCTTTCCAAGATATGATCCCTGAATAGTGGAGTGAGCTCTACAAGAGAAGGTCTCCCCAAGCCTCTCCTAAGTGCAAATCTTGGACAAGATATGCAAAGCAGAGTGCCTTCAAATCCCTTCGATTTTAATTTCTACTCGTCCTCCCAACTTTCTTTTAGTTTGGCTTTGGAATCCTTGCGATAATCAAACAAAGTACTTGGGTTTAAGGTACTAACTCTGGTTTTAGACATAGTCCCTCAAAGACTTTCTTGCTTCCATCTGCCTATAAGAATATATCTTGGGAAATAATTAATACGGTATCTACGACTTTGACTGTTCATCTGCGCGGTCAATTTCCCAAGCCCTTTCTCCGCCGTCCTGAACCAGGCCCGTTGGTGGAAATCTCGACGGCGTCACTTTTTGGACATGGCGCAGCATCCGCTCGAGTTTACCATCAAGATTTTGGAAAGGGATGTTCCCCAAAGATACATCTGCGCCATCGAAATTCTCGATCCCGATGGCATCGGCTCCCACAGCGTTGTGCTTGATGGGCTCGTCCTCTGGTACCAAGTAGCAAGTTGCAGCTGATACAATCTGGATTCGGGGGCAACTCGAGTTGGGCCTCGACCATTGGCCACCTGTGGGGTATTCTCAGACATGGTGGAGGGTTTACAAACTGCTGTGGTATATATCCCATCCCTGTAGATCTGGGAAAGAAGACGATTGCTGATGCTGTGGTAGTGCCGAGTACGGCTGTTGCTGGCCTCTGTTCTCCATGAAGATTTTCTTTGCCAAGATCGACGTAGTCGATTCTCCAGAACTTGCACGGGCGATATTCTGGGATACAAATGCTCTGTCATTCAACTCGAGGCTACGAGGCTCGATACAATCCTGGCACAGATGCACATGGCAATTTCATTCCTCAAGAGCCAATAGGCAGTCCTAATACTGAAGGTGTTTCTGAGATTTCCCACGACTCTGAAAGCACTATAGACGCTCCCTATTCACAGACAAATCATCCTCCAGAAGGAGGTTGTCAAAGCTTATGAGGTATATTGTCTTCATGGTGCTTCAAGCCATCTCCCCTTACATTCATTTCTTGATACTATAATAGCGATCTTTACACAACTAGAAATGTTCTTAGTGCTAACTTTTCGCTTTCAGGCTCCCTATTCCCCCTTCGATCTTGAAGATCATGACACACTCAAACAAAGTTAGACCAAACGAGAAGATGATCTCAGGACAACAAATCCTGGAGAGTTCATTGCATCTCGACTTGATCGAGCATTTGGATTCCGAGATCATCCTAGGTAGTGGACTCAAAGATTTATCTCTGGCCAAGAGATGGATCCGTCTGCAGAAGAAGAGAAGAAGAGAGACAGTGGTCTCACAACTACTACAAGTTCAGACCCGCGACGAAACAGTCTGGCTGGAAGCACACTCCAAGACAAGGAGCGGGAATTGGGGATAGTAATTGACTTCGACGCAAACAGTGCGCTTTCCAACTCCGACTTGGCAACTCGGTGAGCTTTGCGCCCACCCCAGGGCTGCCTTCACGGTATTTACCCTTTTCTTTCGAGATTCCTATCACCTTCTCTCACCCGCCTCACAAGGCTAACATCATCTATCATCAGGTGTCCCTCGGTACCAAGGATCCTGCTCAAAATGACGAAGTTCCTGTCTACATGCCAGCTCCCAATGGCAGCAACAAGCGCAGCGCGTCCCATGGCCGAGTCGTCCATAAGCATAACCACCATCACAAGGGTGATCGAGTCCACAGCCATTCGCAGGGTGCTGTACACGATGAGATGAAGGCTTGGCAGCTCCGAAGCCAGCTCACAGACCCATGCAGGTAAGTCACTTTCGATATGAAAGATTACTGTAAGCTGCTTACACTTCTAGAGATGGTTCCCCAACGAGAAATATAGAAGAACGAAGAAGGCAACATGGTAAAGATATGGGGGCTATAGAATGCATGGAGACTCTGCAGTGATGAAACAGATTTCAGAAACCGGTAAGTGAACTTCGTCAGCTAGTCTGATTAATATGATTAATATACGGTAATCGAATGAGTTCCTTCAACACCATCTCACCACTGAACATAAAGAATCTTCGCAAAATGGCACGTTCTTCCGGCTCCGACATTTGGAAGCTTTAGTCATCACAGCTTGGACACAGCAGACATATGCGCATCGCGGGCAAGAATACAAAGGCTAAGTCGTGATTTCCACGGTGGAAATCCTTTCCCTTCCACTTGACTTGGTGATAGACGATAAAGGGGTGTCGTCAGGTAAAAAGTTCCTTCGACGCCGATAGACGAAGCCTGATGTGCAAGGGAAAACATCAAGGTGAAGTGTTCTACTACTAGTCAATGCTAAAAGGGGCGTCGTTAGGTGAGAAGTTTTTCCGGCGCCGACTCGCGAGATTTTCTTGAAGAGTATCACTACATTCAGAGGCAAGCATCTCAAAGCATGTTTGATGGCCGTTTGAGGAGCCGGCGGGGAGGATGGAAGCTAACAGGAAGCAGGTCTACGACAATCCATAATATCGAAATCTTCAGTCTCGTCCTACCTATGATGCCTCCTCGATTTTATTACACCTACAGCTATCGGAATACGAAGTTGATGAGCCTACGCGGGCGCTGAAGGAAGGACATCCGTGCTGTTCAAGAACAGAGAAGGACTGGAGGCTACACTCACACCTACAAGCATACCCATACCTCCTCCTACCTACACCTTCTCCAACACCCCAACGACCGACGCCGGCGAAACGAGGTCTCGGTACGCACGGACCATGTCCAGTGAGCGCTCAGGGGTAGAAGAGGAAGATCAAGAGCTTGGATTTGGACAGTATACACTTATGTAAACATAAGCATCTTGGTGCTGATAATCATAGTGGAGGATCGTAATGTCGATTTTGTCATTTCTTTTGATTATTGATGGAAGGAAATTTCGATCTGCATGGACGGTGCGAAGGCATAGATACATACTTGGGCACAGAGCCACGGGTTCTGGAGACAGGCTTCAAAAGCCTGGAGATATCCCTTACGGTGAAGGAACATGCTTCTTAGACATTGATTAGGCTCTGAGGTAAGTGAAGTCTTATGGGAGGCAAGGACTCCGGTCTCAACGACGATAAACGAACTCCGAGGTTCAGCCGCGAGCCGAATAGAATAGGGGTTGGTTCACGTCACGATCCTTTGATGAGGGGAGAACAAGAGCCTGGAGGAGATGTTGGAGGTCCATACGAGATTCCTCGCAAAATTTGTCACTACAGGACTCAGACAGTGTCTGAGAATTGCATGTTCCGATGGAGACGTTTGCTGGCGGTTGTGATGGTTAGCTGCGGGAGGGAGGAAATTGTTTGAAGAGTCTGGGGCAGGCATGGGAGATATACACACAGCGAGCTTGGTTTCTTGGACAGTTTTGATTATGTGTTCTGTAGAGCTTCAAAGATGCTTATAAAGAAAAGCTTGACAGAGCGGTGATATCTTTTGGGAAAAGCTTGGTAAAAACAACTATATTCTTGTCTGATTATGTACTTCAGCAAGAGAAGATCGAGTTTTTTGCCTCCCTTTTCAGCCATCCCGAGACTTACATCTTGCGCTCATGTATGTAGGAGAGCTCCGCTGCTTCCTTTGACCTCCTCCTCGATCCGGTCCAGCTACCTCTCTCCATGTTGCCATATGCTCTGCTCCAAGCTCGTTGCCATCAGTCCTTGCTCGTTAAGAAGATGTGAAATATGGAGACGTCTCTTGGAAAGAGAGAGAGATATTCTCAAGCCTGGCACAGAGGCATCCCTCCGCACCTCAAGCACGAAGTTATGCTCTAATCTGCTGTGCCTTCTCACTCGTCCTGCTCGCCCTTGATCCTTGGTTCCGCAAGATGGACACCATTTCTCGAATACTGCGTAAGTCACTGAAGAGGTGCTTAGCTCTTGTCATCTTATGATCGTAGATATATGCAGGCTGGTTGGACCGTCAACCCGTGATCTTATCATCGCCCTTGTCCACCTTCTCCACGTATCTTTGTAGCTCATGTATTGCCTCAACACCAATCACTGTAAACGCCAACTCCAACATTCGCTCCTTGTAGCCGTATATCTTTGTACTATGCTCGTGTGTCGTGGTGTCTTACAACATCGTCCGCAGCCTTTGTATGCCATAGCCATAACTCTTCATAGAACGTCTAACCACCCCGAGCTTGTGGGATGACATCTTCAACCTTTCTTTGCCATGAATGTGTACCTCCATTGGTTCGTCTATTGGGGCCAGAGGAACTTGTCAACCGGCCATGCTCCCTGTTCCTGGATTTCTGATGTCTGGTGGAGAAAGGGGCTCGTTTGTCGGCGTCGGTGAAACCTTTCCCCAAACGACGCCCCTTTCTGCTCGATGGGAGAAGTTCGGTGAATAGGAGGGCTCGTCTGTCGGCGCCGGGGAAACCTTTCACCTGACGATCCTCCTTTACGCTCCATCGCTGAAGGCCGGTGAAGAGAGGAGCTGGATTGTGTATATCCCCCGCCGCTTCATACAACCAATTGATGTGTACTGTTCTCCATCCTCATGTTCCGTATACGTGTGTCTCTTTGTAGTATTTGCTAACTCGCATCTGCTAACCCTGGGAGCCTTGTATTTCCGTCCACAGCCTTCCGTCTTCTTTAGGGTGGTATGCGTGTTTGTTGTCATCTGAGGTTCGAGTTGTCTGCTTCCCCTGACAGTCAGCTTGATTGAATTGTAACAAAATTAGAAGAATAGGAAATGTTTGCTTGCTTGCTTTCGTGAGATCAAAGGAAAGTCTTAATAATAGGTGAAAGTATCAAAGCTAGCGTTGTGGTCGAGGCGACAAGGAGCTCGTATCGAGAAGGAAAGAGGGGTTCGCGCTTAGGGAACGAAAGGGGCTCGGTTCGTCTCCCTTCGCAGATGTCTTGCAAATACGTTTGTGGTTGAAGCTGTAGTCCAAGTGCAAAAAGCGGGAAAAGCACAAAAGTCCTTCATGGCTTTCGACAGTGATCGTGATTTGGAGCGTACCGTATCTTGTTCGAAGAACTACAACTATATGCTTGACACCAGCGCTGTCTTTGGGAGCCATAACATCTAGATATAGCAGTATATCCTCGAAGAGAGAATATGGATTAGCGGGTAGACTGTGTATAGGAAAGTATTGTTATTCTCGAAACTCCAGAACATTAATACCCATGGAATACCCGACGGGTCATCGTCTCTTCCAAGTATCATCGCACTTCTTTCCTGCCCTAGCCTACCCGACGGCTCACTCCTTCTCTTCAAGTGTCTGCGCACTTCTTTCCCGCCATTTACTTACCTGACGAATCACTTCTTCTTTTCGCGCATTCTCGCACTCTTTCCCTAGCTTGGCTTACCCGACGATCCATAGTCGGTTTTCAAGCATTGTCAGACTTCTTTCACGCCCTGGCCTACCCGACCATAGTCTGTCTTCTAACATTTTCAATCTTATTTTTTCCTACCTTAGCTTACCCGACGATCCATAGTCTGTCTTCTAATATTTTCAAACTTATTTTTTCCCACCCTAACTTACCAGACGATCGATAGTCTGTCTTCAGACTTCTTTCCCACCCTGACCTACCCGACGATCCATAGTCTGTCTTCAGACTTCTTTCCTATTCTAGCGTACCCGATGATCCTAAGTTTGTTTTCAGACATCTTTCCCACCTTTGCCTACCCGACGATCCTAAGTTTGCTTTCATGTATTTTCTCGTTTCTTTTCTCGATTCTCAGCCTTCTTAGCCTTCTAATCTCACTTTTTTACTAACGTTATCCACTAATTCGATGCCTTGCGACTCTTTAGAATCAATTGATCCAGCGGCAAAGAAAAGCATAGCTCTGTGGCGCAAGCTTCAGTGCTGTCCACGCTGTATAGTCAAATCCTTTGCAGACGTCGACTCTGCCAGCCATCCTACTCTTGCTCTTCTTTCCGCGACAACGAGAATGCCTCGAAGCACGCAGAAGCTGTTACCGTCTGTAAATGTGGAGGATCATGAGAAGAGTCTACAACACGGTCGGCATAAGAGTTTGCTACGGAGCAAAAGACATCCGTATAGGTAGTAAAGGCTTGCGCGAGCTCAGGAATCAGGATACACAACGACAGGCCGGAAGGGGAAGAGGCTTAAGAGGTTATAGGAGGTTTGCGCAGTGCGGAGGAGTGCACAAGTTATAAGGTGGTGTGGACATATCCTTCAGCACAAAGCGTCAATGTCATGGCCATTGTCCTTCCTTCATTATTACTTCAACTCAGAGACGAGGAGGAGCGCTGGACATGTATAATAATTAGGGAAGGAAGCAGTTATCTGGCTGCTTCCGCGGGTGGTTTCTACTACAAAGCGCTTGAGAATTTCCTTTATTCTTATGAGTGTTGTAGTATGGAGAGAGTGTTAGCCTTAGGCGTTGGCTGATTTATGATTCCTGTGTGTTTGCAGAGGGACTTACCGGAAACGTTAAGGTTCATTACTCTTCGAGAAGATATTCATTACATGCATCTTTAGAGCGTCCTCAGCAATCTGACCAGCTTCTCTAATATCTTGAAGCCTCGAGCCCAATGACTGAAAGAAGACTTAGCAGTTCCAAGAGCAAATCAATTAAAGAAGCTTCTTTTAAAGCCTTAAGCCCAATGAGTAAAAGAAGACGTAGCATTTCCAAGAGCAAAGTAATCACACCAGCTGCTTCTAAACAAGGTACTATACAAAAGAAGACTTATTGTTTACAAGAGCAAAGTAATCGAGCCAGCCTCTTGAATATGATGAGCCCTCTCCGCTCCGCTCTCGGCCGTTTGACTTGCGTACTCCTGCCCCGAGAGATTAGGGCAGCTGCCAAATTAAGATAGGAGCTAGCCCTAAGGCACACATGATGAGGCTGGCCCGCACTAATCCACTGCAGCCGACTGTTTATTTTCTCCACAGATCGTCTATTTAAACAGCAACTGTTTCGTTTCCTCAACCTTTCTCCATCATACCTTCAACACACTCTCTCAAGATTTACTCAAGACCTCAAGATGGAACGTCAACTCCCCCAACCTATTGACTTGGTGGGAAATCTCCTCAAAAATCTTGGCGCCATTGCTACTATGGATGTGGAGGGGATTGAAGCCTTGGTGTTAGACAACAATGCTGCCCTACAGCACCGACGAGTACGAAACGCAATCGTCGACAGAGTTCAACGAAGAGGCGACGAGGGCTGCGACTTCCCACCATTCACCAGCGCTGAGATTCGTTCTCTTATGGAGGTGATCGCGCACCTTATCCCAGAAATCCTCCTCCACAGTCTCGACCGTGTCCTCAACGAACGTATGCAGGAAGAGAGTGGTGCAGTGATCGTCACCAGTTCCGACATGGCGGAGGATGATACTGATGTTTTCGAGATGTATGACATCGAGATGGGGAAGGATGGCAAGCATGACTTCAAGATGTATGACATCGAGATGGGGAAGGATGGCAAGCATGACTTCGAGATATATGAGATCGAGATGGGGAAGGATGACAGTGGCGACTACAAAATGGCGGACATTGTGTACATGGATGAAGTCTGCAGCCCCTCTGATTCTGAAGAAGACGTGGAAATGGAGGACGCTGCTGAAGAAATTATCACACACGCCATAGCCGACAGTGATTTCGACGATGAAGAGTACTTCGACGCCAACGACTTCAATATCCAAGAGGACGATGAGGAATTTGACCTCAAAGCTCCTGGAACTGTGGAGGACATAGACAATCCGAACTTTCGACCAAGTACATCGAGCTACGACGCCCTCAGCTCCTCGACCTCACAGGCTGCCCACATTTCACACTCTCACGTTGCCCACTCCTCAAACTTCACTACTGTCCATCCTCCCACCACTTCGAACCCCAATACTACCAGTCCCTCCAATACTGCTAGCAATACAAATTCCCACGTCGACAGCTCTTCCACCTTCACGAGTGGTCCTCCTCCCGCTGCTTCGCACCACAATACTGCCTTGATTGCGCCCGCCAATTCAGGTCCCTCCAACGTCCATGCTGTCAGCGGTCCAAGCTCTCCCAGCGCCAGCTCCTCAGGAGGTTCCACAATTTACGATATAAACCGCACTGAGCCCGAATCTCCAGGCTTGCACGTGTTTGGTCGTCCCTCCCATATCAACGCTGCCAGCAATGGAAGCTCTCACGTCGGTCCCTCCCTACCTTCCACAGTAGTAACTGCTCCCACTGCTCTACAGCCCAATCCTCCCAGCCCTTCAGCCTCGAACCCAGCCGCTGGTCCCTCCAGCACAAACACTACTACCAACCCTTCATCTTCGGGCTCGGCCGGTGGTCCTTCCACCATCGATGCCACGAGCAATGAAGAAAGCGGTCAAGGTGCTTTGATGCAAATGGTCGACCGCCTCTCCGGACGAAAGCTTACTAAGAAGCAACGACAAGCTGAACTATCGCAAATTGAAGGCTGGGAGCCAGCGGATATCATTGCATTGCTAGGAATGACTATGGAAACGATCGGCAACAGCTTCCGCTCAGAGATTATGTCATGCCTACAAGGACGGGTGATCCCGCAACTCTACGAAACCATCAGAATGCTTTTGGAAAACGGCGGCATCAAGATCTCCGATCACGACGGCAAGCAAATTACAGTCATCCGCATCACTATGAATCCAGCTCACAAGGACAATGCCTCTTACCTCGACTGGCGTGCATGGAACTTATCTTTCTACGCTCACTACATGGCTCAGGTTCAAGCTTCCTTGGATATCCTTACGAGATATCTGCAGCAACAATTTCGAGCAGGCGATTCTAGCACAGGTATTCGCATTGGTGCAGTACTCTACCCACGTCGACTTCTCATGAAGGAATTCGAGGATAAGATTAAGATGTACTCAGAGAGACTTGTGGTATGTATCTCGCGTATTTTCGCATATTTTTCGCTTATCTTATCGATACTAACTTTTCCTAGGCATGCGCACCAACGCTACAATCGCTTCACGATGCTTACCGAGCTTGGCGAGAGTCTAGCGGCCTGGCAACACCCGAAGTTCCGACATTCACTATAGACGAAAATCTCGCACTAGCACAATATCACGTTCTCAGCTTGTTTGACATCGTCCGACAAGCACAAGTCCTGACCAGAGCTGTACCAAGTCGTACATGGACAGACGACATCAACACTCGAGCTGTGACGGACATGCAGCGACGCATTAGGCAGAGCGGTGGGGACGGAGATGTTGCTTTTTGGGTGTCTGTCCTGAACTCAGTCTTGTTTAGGGCTATGCCTCCGACCTCAACGACGAACAATGGCAACGCCCCCAAAGTTCGTCAAGCCAAGAAGAAAGCTCCTCCTGCCCCGGCCCCCGCTCCCGCCCCGCTCCCTGCTCCCGCCCCTACCTCCACCCCCTCATCAAAGGCCTGGGACATTCCAGACATCCCGGATGTCACAAATGTTCGAGGAAAGTACCGTGGGGAGGCGCACTATCGGGGTACTCCCCCCGCTGGTGTGTGCGACCACCAATGGAAGCTGGCCTTTAAGGCCTTGAAGGATAGGCTCCGGAAGTCGTCCGGATTGTCCGTGGAGACAATCCACAAGCTGGAGATGCTGGGGTGGATCTACCAGGTCTGCCTTGTCCGTCTGGGGGTCCGTCCTCGGGACAACTGCAAGTGCGATGAGTGTAAGAAGTAGTTCCTGCCTTGGGCAGATGTTAGGAAGTAATGAGTTGAATATTGCAAATTTTCCTATGAAATATTGTGAAAACTCGCTTGACTTCGCCTAATTTCGCCTAATCTCGTTTAATCCCGCTTATTTTCTTTATCGATTAAATTAGCTTAAAAATAATCGATTAAATTAATTTAAAAAATAAAATATTGTTACGGATCACCCTGATCTGGATCACCTGGTTAGAGATCACGTGAGCACTTAGGTAGCCTCCACGTGATCCTCCCTGGGAACGGATCGGGCTTAGAGCTTAAGCATGTTTCACTCTGGCGTATATAAGCTCTGGCTCTCCCACTCCCTTCTTCCTTCCTTACCTTTAGATTCTAAGAGATAGCCGAATCGATTCTTCGTCTACGTACTGAGCTTCCCACCGTGCTGTCACAAGTTCGTCGGTTTCATAATTACGGAAACTTTCAAAAATACTTATAATAGCATCGAATATAGTATAATAATGAAGTTCGTCGGTTTCACTGTTACGGAAACTTTCAAAACTATTTATAACATTATCGAATATAGTATAATGTCGAAGTCCGTCGGTTTCATCATTACGCAGGCTTTTAAAAATGTGTAAAACATTATCGAATTTATTATAATAACGAAGTTTATTGGTCTATCCGGTCTCACCGTTACAGAGGCTTTCAGAAATGCTTATAATACTATCGAACATAGCATAATAACAAAGTCTGTCGGCTTCATCATTACGGAGGCTTTCAGAAGTGCGATTAATACCACCGAACATATCACAGCAATGAATACGGAGAGTTTTAGAAGTGCTCACAATATCAGCAAACATATTACAATAAAAAGTACGCAGATTTTCAGAACTACTCATTAAACTATCGGACATATCACAGTGACAAGTACGCAGACTTTTAAGTGTTCACAATACCGGCGGACATATCAAGGCAACAAGTACAGAGAGCTTCAAGAGTGCTCACAGAACCAGTGAACATATAGCAACAACAAGTACGGAGACCTTTAAAAAGTGTTCATAGAAGTAGCGAACATATCACAAGAACAAGTATAGATGTCTTCAAAAATGCTCACAGAACAAGCGAACGTATTATAATAACAAGTACGCAGATCCTCAAAAGTGATCATAGTACCAGCGGACATATCACAGCAATAAATACGTAGACTCTCGAAAGCGCTCGCAGGACTAGCGAACATATCACACCAATAAGTACGCCGACCTTCAAAAGTGCTCTTGATACCAGCGAACATACCAGAAGAACAGGTCCGTTTGCTTAGTGATTGACTAAACTTTCAAAGAGTGATCATGATATCAAAGAACATAGCACTGCAACAAGTCTGATGTTTGAGTGACTAACCAGACCCTCAAACAATGCTCATGATATCAAAGAACATATCACAACCACAAGTCCGCTGCTTTAGCGATTAATCGGACTCTCCAGAAATGCTCATAATACCAAAAAAAATATTACAGCAGCGAGTCCGATAATTTAGTGATTAATCAAAGTCTTAAGAAATGCTCATAACACTAGCAAACGTATCGCAACTACAACTCCGTTGCTTTGGTGATTAGTCAGACGTTCAAGAAGTGCTCATGATGTCAAAGAACATATCATAGCAATAAGTACGATGCTTTAGTGATTGATCAAACTTTCAAGAAATGCTCAAAATATCAGCAAACATATCACAGGAATAAGTACGATTACTAAGATGTTGAATCCTCTACTAAGCTCTTTTCCTTAACAAAAAAACCAAAATCTCAACCTATGATTACTTGTAAGAGTAAATAACATGTTACAGCAAGAAAGAACGTCAAGAGAAAGACATGATAGCAGTAAGTAAATTCAGAAAAACCGAGCAAACTTTCCACTAAGTTCTTCACTACGATGAAGAATCGATCGAGAGTTAGCTGCAAGAGAAAAGAGCTTCTCGAAGTAATAAGTAAAGTCAAGCAAAGCATATCAGAGCAATAAGTAAAGTCAAAAGAAATAACCAGACTTTTCGCTAAAACACTTGCTTTGATTAGAAAGTAGCACTTTGAATATTTAATCGTGACCACGAGGAACATATCATAGCAACAATTGAAGTCAGGAAAAACCTATTCGCAAAGCCATTTGGTGTGAGAAAGAATCAGTCCTCAAGAATCACTTATAATCGTGAAGGACATATCTTAAAATTAGCAACAAGTAGAATCGAGGAAAGAATCAGACGTAGAACTACGAAGACCTTTGCCCTGATGGCTAATAAAACTTCCAAGAACTACTTCCAATAGTAAGTAACATAGGACAGCGATAAGTAAAGCATCAATAGAATTAGACTTAATCCTTTTACAAAGTATTCTGTTTCGATAGATAGTCAAAGCCTCAAGGGTTGTTTCCCGCAGTAAGAAACACATCACAGCAATAAATATAGCAATAAGGGAATTAGACTTAATCCTTCCACAAAGTATCCCACCTTAACAGATCACCAAAGCCTCAAGCGCCACTTCAAATAGTAAGAAACATATCACAGCAATAAGTAAAACAACAGCAGAATGAGACTCAACCCTTCCACAAAGTATCTCCCCTTAACAGACCACCAAAGCCTCAGAGATCAAAAGCAACAGCAAGAAACACATCACAGCAACACGCAGCTTCAAGAAAAAACCCATGCATTCTCAAAGTATTCTCATCTAGGAACGCAGTCCAGTCCAGTATCCACCCCTCCCTCGCTCACGCACTTATCAATCAATCAAGCCCAAACGCCCTTTCTATCCCTTCCAACCCTCTACTCCTGCGCAACATCCACACTCTTAACCTCGCCATCCGCCTCCCCACTATTAACCTTCTTGCCCGTCTTCTTGATCGTCTGCAGGACCGTCTCGTAGGTGAGGTCTGGGGCTGCGACCACGGTGGCGGTCTGGGTATCGAGGGAGACGTCGTAGGATTTTACGCCTGGGTAGATGGTCCGTTAGCAAAAGGCAGTTGGAAAGAGGGGAGAGAGGGAGAGGAATAAGTACCATCGAGCTTGCCGAGGACTCTATTCACGGCGCCGGAGCAGCCGCCGCAGCTCATGCTGACGTTGAACTTGTATGTGTGTTCTGCGGACATCTTTTCGGATTGATCGTTTGATTGATTGCGGAGTAGGTAATAATTCGATCGGTGCTCGTAGGCGAATATGAACTTCTTAATTTCTCGAGGAAGAATCGAAAAGAAAAGAGATTGCGGGCAAGAGAGAGTATTTATTCACCGCCGTCGTACGTGTGTCGTTGCGCAAGAAAAGGAAAAGCAAAGCTGTCACAAAGCACAGAGGGCAAGTAAGTGAAGCTTAGAAATCCGCTCGTTCTTTGGCTGATGTCGCAATCGCAGGCAGTTCCTTCCTAGCCGAGCCGAGGGGTCAGACACGCCTGAAACTTGCTCACCACCACAGCCGCAAAAAGAGCGCAGCCAGAGGGAGTGGCGTTTGATAGTCGGCAGATATTCTTGGATACGGAGCCGTTCATGCCCTTATGGGAGGATAAATGCGGGAGGGTCTGGAATGTGTTTGATGCTCTCGGTCACCGAGAGTGAGGGGGATTTGATTGGAGGGGTTCAAGACAGTGAGGTCACGTGCGTGATTAAATGGGAGGATGGGGATTTGAGAATGCGATATTTGATGGAAGGGAGAAGCTGAGAGAGTTATTGCGTTTTGGCAATGGTGATCTTGAAGATCCTAGGGGAGCCGATGTCCAATGTCTAATCTACAGTATTCAATACATCCTGATATCAAGCTGACTATTCTACCCGATCCGGCATCTCATCCTCACTTTCCTCTCCTCCATGCTCATGCTCAGCTGAATTAGGGTCGACAACATCATACTCACTCTCATCCTCATCGACGGCCGTCCTACCCCAAAGCATGTTGAGCACTCTTGAGACTAGACCCTCAGGAGGTCGATAAATTCGTACGCTGCGTTCCTCATGTTCGGAGTCTTCACCGACGTCGTCTGGGTGCATACCTGCCATCTCCCGCAATCTTGCGTTCAGAGCAGCAATATCGACGGCTTCATCGTCATCGATTTCATGGCCTTGACCTTGACCAAGCCCAAAATTCGGAATCAGGCGGCCAAGAGCTGCAAGTGGATCGTAACCGTCTGCAAAGGCACCCCCATTTCTTCCTCTGCGGCCTTCAACGTGGACGCGCTGATGTTCGTATGAGTAGACGTTAACATCAGGAGGCAGTGGATCAGAATCTGAGTTGTTGTCTCTGTGGAGCAGCGAGCTAGGAACAAGACGCATCATGGCGGGGTTGTTCTCGAGATAGATAAATCGTACAACATCAAGTGTCATCTCCTTGTTTTCAATCTTGGGAATGGTAGAGACGTCGACCTTGGGAATGGTGTGAGCAACCTCCATGAGCAAGGCTGTGATTTCGGGTGTATTCCACATCTCTTTCGTTTGGGAGATGTAGAGTTCCGTGAACAGTGTCTCAGCATCATTGCGCGGCATGATACCCCAGATACTCTTTGGTGCTTCAAGTGATATCTCCTTGAACAAACTAACAAATAGCCAGGGAAGCTTTTGCATCGAATCTGACAACAGCTCTCGACATTTCGTAGTCTGTTTGAGGTTGACAGCAGCCAGGACGAGAGAAGGAGTTGTATGGGATGCCGCATAAATCTGGCCAACTAGTTCTGGTGACCAGATCTTTGGGATATCGCTGTCTCCGACATCAAGAAGCCACTTATTCTCGCCGGCTCTTAGAGCAAGTTGATGGAAGATCAGTCGCATACAATAAGGATCGCTCTCTGGATCAAGACTTAGAAGCAACTTTGACCATTCCAGCGCAGTTCGATAAGTGCCTTTCATGATAAGAGACTTGATGTAGTGGTATCCGGCAAGCCAAAACTCTCTGTTCTCAGGACGAGCAAAGTCGAGCCGTGCTTTGCCTTGAGATAGTTTGGTATTGAAGACTGAAGTAGCAGCTCGTCCAAAAGAGAATAAAGCCCTCTCTAAGAGATCCGACGACAAGGCATGATCTCCTTGGTCTTTGGCAATCTTGCTGACTTGGAGGAGGGTGGAAATGTGGTAGGCTGTGGTTGTTAGTAAGGAACCTCAAGGAGTATCATGACTTACGATTCTTTACAAGAAGACCGATCAGATGCTCGGGATCTCCCATATCGACAAGCGCTGAAAAGGCACGTTGTATGACCTGATACTGATAGTCGTGTACAAACTTGAACTCGACCGTTCCATCATCTGACTTGTCATCAGTAACTACCATAGTCAATCCTCCAGTAGTAGATCTTGGCCAGTCTTGCTTCCCCTCGATCAATGCATTTCGACGTATCGTAAGGCTGGAGAGTCCCTTTCCTGGCGCATGTTGGCCTTTCAATGCAGTCTCCAAGTCAACGCGCTGGTTTTGGCCACGACGTCTTGTCCTCGCACCACGAACTGTTTGTTGGTTCTCCTCATCTGCATCGACGGTCGAGAAGTCCTTTCCAAATAAGTTTCGCATCTCATTTGCAACTTTGAGATGTTGGCTGCCAATACTAAGCAGAGCGCATACTCTTTCGTACTCTGGGTCGACCTGGAGTTTCGTGTCTTGATTTGATGCAGGCTTTCTCGATTCCTTTAGGTCCAGCTCTCGTAAGACTGCATCGATATCTTCTGAATCGCCTCCATCATCTTCGTTTTCTTGCAATTTGTCCTTTGCATTCTTCTTTGCCTTCTTCTTCTTCTTGGACTTCTTCGCCTTCTTGACTGCTGGAGGAGGGGTCGGTGCATCGTTTACTTCCTCGTGAACATCGACCTCGTCCTCGTCTGCCAACTCGTCTCGATCGTCTTCATCCTCAAGATCTGCGAGATTCGCAAAGAGACTTGCCTTCGACTTCGTAGGTAAGACTGGCTCTTCTTCGGATTCCTCAGCAATTGCGGCTTGCGATTCCTGAGCTTGGAGTTTGGCTTGCTCCAGCTCTCGCTGCTGTTGCAATTTCCGTAGCTGTCTGCTAGACATTCTGGGCGAGTCAAAACCGAATAGTGGAAGGTCTGGGCAAGTTTTAAGGATATTCGAGTTGTTTAGGGAAAAGATGTTGAATTTATATGTTTGTGTCGGCGAATGACGCATGATCTGGCAGAATTCCGATTTCGACTAGGTCCACCACTTTCCCCGTTGCAGCTGCATGCGAGCACCTTGACTTCCAAGACTCACCACCTGAGGACAATATTATCTCGTGGAGGCAGAGGAGGGTTTTACAATTCTTCGAACATGCTTCGACGTTAGTAACGACTCTCTTTCATCATTCAGTCACTCCTTTGGCCGTCGACTTGTACATTTCATTCTCATACCGCCTATTCTAGCGTCTGATCCGCCTGCACATCGCTCACCTCCGACGCTGGGCCTCAGACTTCGCTCTGAGCCTGCCAATACCACAATCCGATGCGTCGAGCAGCCGTCAGAGCATTTCGGACAGCACGTCTCGTTCCGTCTCGTAACATCGCAGTTCGTAGTCGAAGCAGCTTCCAGTCTTCTAGCTATGTGTTAGGCATACGGCATTCATCAGGGCGGACAGATCCACCAAAGGGCATTCCATCAGCCGTTACGAAAACCGCTTCGTCTATGTATATTCGCAGATTATCATACTCGGTCGCTGTGATTTCGGGCTTGGTGGGCTTTGGCGCTTGGTATACGAATAAACCACAAACTGCAGATGCCATCTCTCAGCAGGCGCAATCCTTCTCTACAACTGCATCGATATACGGCCCACATCCCACGGCCGAAGCAGATGTTGAGAGAAAGGCAGTAATTGTTGGAGCAGACTCGTTGTATACTGGTGCTATTACTGGAGACGGACCAATCTCTAAAGATACAGATGAATCTGGTAGAAAGGTTTTGGAAATGTTGACCCCTCAACAAGCTACACAGAAATTACGACGGAACGAAGAATCATATTTGGTTGGCAGAGGAAATGGAGTTGTAAGATATGATGTTGTTCAGATACCCAGCAATGACCCAATTGAGGATGATCATTCCGAGAAGATAATTGAACTCCCTCAAGCTTTGGCTACAGCTACAGCTGGAGGTAATGCAAGTAGTGATTGGATGTTTTGGGGTGTCTTTGATGGACATGCGTAAGTATCGTCTCCAGTAAAGCGGTATAAAGTCACTAACCAAGAACAGTGGATGGACCACCTCTGCCAAGCTACGACAAGTCCTCATCAGTTTCGTAGCTCGAGAACTGAACTCTACGTACAAAGCGGCCCTTGCAGATCCGGCGGCTGGTGTTCCTTCTTCGGAAGCTATTGAAGCAGCTATCAAGACTGGATTCAACCGACTAGACCACGAAATTGTCCACGAAAGCGTCGAGAAAGTCCTCAAGTCAAATTCTCGCTCATTAGCTGCTGAAGCACTTGGTCCAGCTCTTTCAGGATCTTGTGCCCTCCTTTCCTTCTACGACAGCGATAGCAAACTCCTTCGAGTGGCATGCACAGGCGATTCTCGAGCAGTACTTGGCCGTCGTGGGGAATCTGGAAAGTGGGTTGCTACAGCATTATCCGTGGATCAAACTGGTGGAAATCCTGATGAAGAAGCTCGCATTCGCAAGATGCATCCTGGTGAAGATCATGTTGTCCGTAATGGCAGAATACTCGGTGGTCTGGAGCCCAGTCGTGCCTTTGGAGATGCTTCATACAAATGGTCCCGAGAAATTTCTGAGCGCTTGCGGCAATCGTTCTTCGGACGGACACCGTCTCCGTACCTGAAGACACCTCCTTACGTGACTGCTGAGCCAGTGGTGACTACTACAAAGATTGAGCCTGAGAAAGGAGACTTTGTTGTTATGGCTACAGATGGTCTATGGGAGATGCTTACGAACGAGGAAGTTGTTGGACTGGTTGGTCAATGGATCGAGAAGCAAACCAACGAGAGCAATGGTAACGGCGCCAGTTCTTGGGTTAAGATGTTCTCGTCGCAACAGAAAGGCCTCCCAGTTGAGCAAGGAAAAGCCAAGAAGGAAGGCAAGGATGGGCAAAAGACTCCAATCAGACAGCAGCAATGGGGTGTGAAGGGTGGTGAGAACGAGAGGTTCGTTGTGGAAGATAAGAACGTTGCTACACACTTGGTCAGAAATGCTCTCGGCGGAAAGGACAAAGATATGGTTTGCGCATTGTTGACTCTGCCAGCACCATTTTCGAGACGATACAGGTATGTTCTCTCTACCTGCCTTCCTCTTCTTTTGAAAACAATCTAATTACCATCAGGGACGACTTGACGGTCGAGGTCATATTCTTCGGCAATAGCGACAAGAGCGGAGACGTAGTTCTCAACAAAGAAGCCAGCGCTTCCGCTGGAGATGTAAAGGCAAAACTCTAGGCGTTGTGAATACTGTTTTTTTATTTCGAGACATACCCTCTTCTAGTTCTTTGCTTTACTGGGCAGAATAGATAGACTAATCTGATTCTTCTCTTCAACTCATTGTCGCTGTCACAATTTCAGTGTTATGAGTAATTCTTGAGAATCGTAGCTGATTTCTCCCATTGTACAGTTCCTTTCCACATATCCAACTTATCTCCTGCTCCGTCAAGCTAAATCAAGTTCCCAGACTTTCAACACTCTTTCACACGACCCCCCTTCTACCTCAACATCTCCTCAATCCCGCACCTCCCCACCACGCACCCAACATCCAACCTCCCTCCTCCCTCACCCTCCTTCCACCCAACCCTAACCCTCAAATCCTCCAACCCCTCAACACATCTCCTCCGCCCACCGATCCGCCCAAATCGGCACAATATCAACCCACAACCTCCTCAACCCCTTAAACTCCGCCAGCGCCTCCCACACTTTCCTCCACTCCTCATGCTCGGGACTATCTTTCTTGGGCGTGAGCTGGACGTGCCACTGGAACCAGAGATCTCGGATTTGCGGACCGCGATGTGGGGGGAGGAGGCGGTTGAGACATTGCGAGGAGATGGTGAGTGGGAGGGTGAATTTGATGCGGTTGGTGGTGTAGAGGAGGGGGGTTGTTTCGATGTATCTGGGTGGAGGGTTAAGGCTGGGTTTGGGAAGAGAGGAGGGGAGACGTACATTTGGCGGCATGAGAGGAGGAGGGGGAGGATGGGTGGTTGGTCGTCAGAGGAGGAGGGGTGGTGCCATTTTAGGCGGTTGAAGGGGCTGTAGAGGAAGAGGTGGATGGTGTGGTTTGAGAGGCAGACGGAGAAGATTAAGGTGCGGAGTTCGAAGGGGAGGGAGAGGAGTTTTGAGGATTTTTGGGTGGGAAGGGTCCTTGAGTCGTTCTGGAAGAGTGTAGATAACTGTCGGCGAAGGGTTGGAGTCATTTCTTCGCTAAAGCTTGTTCTAGAGGGTGTTGATCTGTTAAGATAAAACAAATCCTCCAGATCTTATTGAAGAGGGAAAAGATCTAATGTGGTTCGAAATCATTCTCTTGAAAAATACTTAGAGGGAAAAGAAAATCGAACGACATTAAGAAAGCGCAAATGAGACCTGCTTACACCCGGTAAGCTTTGTGATACCATGAATCCATGAATATCAAAACTCGACTGCAGGTCCCAGCGCGTTGCATGTAAGCCCAACATTCGCGTCCCATGTTGCAAATCCATGTTCAAATGATTGGTTAAAAATATTTTGTATCCGATAATCGTCAAGGCAGCAGCAGCTGGACTTCGTATAAAACCCATCCGTGGGTATTCCTTTTTTCTGTATGTGATGCTGGTATCATGGCAAAAGGTCATCCGTTCTGTGAATGGCTTCTTCGTAGGCTGGGACTGTATAAGGCGCAGCTCAATCCCAAGAGCAGTGAAGGATGTCTTGGTCAAAGCATGTCCTCTGGGATCTCGGACTCTGTAAGCAAACGAAAAGTGGCATCTTCGATCGAACCATGTCTTCGCAATGAATCGGAATCCAAACTCATATCTCTCCCTTTCGAGGTACGAGCCATGATCTGGCAGTATTATTTCGACGGAGTATCCGTGAACTGTCGAATCCGAGACAAGAGATCAAAACTTGCTGCCTTGCTGCCCGAAAAGATGAAGGGCTGTGGTCTCCCAGCTATCGTCTTGACATGTCGGAAATTGTGAGTTTTTCCTAACGTCCTTTGTCGTGTAGACTAACCTCCAAAAGATATCCAGAAATAATCGATGCAATGTGGAAACACTGTATCTTCCAAACAGATGCTCCTACTATCCGGTATCTCGACCGATTCGTACTCCCTCGACACATGGATTCTACTGCCCACATCTCGATAACATGGCGATATGCGATAGGGAAAGCACCGAGAGCCAATACAACTGCCAGATTAGAATGGGAAGAAGTATGGAGCCAGCTCTCAAGAATGAAATCTCTGAAAACGCTAGAGGTGCGAGTGATTAACCCCTCCCAGGGCACATGGGGCCCAGTTTGGCGGGGGCAGAAAAAGCAATTGATAGGTTTCATGATGGAAGTCAAGGGACTTGAGGGGCTGAGTGTGATTATTGAAGATGGAGAGGTCGTTCATTATTTGGGGTGTGAAATTCCTTGGAAAGATGGACGGTGGTTGTATGATCGAAAGACGATGAATGAATGTGTCATTGATAGCTTAGATAATCCAGATTGCGACTGCCGAGCTTGACTGGTGCCGATATAATTTGAGAAGATAATCTTTCATGGAAGATTCCGAAAGCTCGAGTCATGGATTATGTTGGGTCGTGATCTGGCATATGGGCTGCACTCACAGCAGTCACTGCAAGAATGGAGAATCGAGAGCCAGGTTGTGGTTTTAGGATATGGTTGCTAAACAGGACATTACTAGACTAAAAGAACTCCTGTCCCTTAACAACTAGCCTACTCGGCGACCTTGGCGGTATATACGGCGGCTGCTCCATCTGCTGCTTCTTGATATCCTCCACATGCATGCTCTGGAATTGATCAATGCCCATAGTCTGTATCCTCAACGGAGCAACTCGATGCATGTTGGGTTGTCGGTGAACATCGATGTCTTGTTTGACGTATATATTTCTTTCTTTTTCGTTTGGGGTACTGGGTGTGCTTGGATCATCTAGTGTTGATGATGTTTGTCTTTGCTTCAATTTGCGAGAGCGACGGAAGAGGAAGAACAGGATTGCAGATAGGATAGCAACTGCGGCGACGGCGACTCCGACGGCGATGCCGACCGTTGAGGATGAGGAGGAGTGGGATTTAGCATCAGAAACCGGGGTATTTGTCGAGGTTGCAGAGGGGCCAGTGGCTACTGAAGAAGTTGTTGAAGGAGTCCCTGAGGCGGTGGCAAGTGGTGGAGAAGTGACATTTTGGTTAAGCAGACTAGTAACAATTTAGTATGCTGCCAAGTTCGACACAAAGTCAGAGATCATGACTTACTTATCGATCACGTGCACAACACCGTTCGCCACAATGTAATCTGATGCTACCACTTTAGCGGCATTGATGTACATCTCCCCACCTTGTACCGTGACAGTGAGATTTCCTCCCTCGGCTGTCTTTAGCTGCATTCCATTTGTAAGCAAGGTACTGTATCCCACGAATCCTGGTACGACATGATACTCGAAGGTCGACTGCAACTCGGCAGCTGAAGTGTTCTTGACTTGTTCTGTGACATTGGCAAGTGCAGCCGCGGAGTTTGGAATGAAGTATGTGACATCTGGTACTTCTAGTATTTGGTTGACGTATGCATTGGCTGGGTTTAAGTAACCCCCGACGTTGAGGATAGAGACGAAATATTCTAGGTTTGCAGCCGTGATCTCGGATACTGCTGACACTGGTATGGAAGGGACAGTGTCGATTATGTGGATTATCCCTCCAGTGCAGACAATGTCCTAGAATGTTGTTAGGATCTAAGCTTCACGGCCATTGATACACTTACAGCCGAAGAGGATGTGCTGATGGTTTTATTGCCACTCAAAGTTTCAGCCCCACCGCTACTCTGAAGAAGCTCTACCGTCTGTCCACCTGTGACGTTTGCATAGCTAGAATTGACGAGATTGCTAGCCACGAATTGAGGCGTATCTGAAAATGAGAGAGTTGGATATCCTCCTCGAAGCAGTGAGTATTCTAAAGTTGCTTGCAACAGATCTGCCGTCAATACATTAGGATTTTTCGAAAGGAAACTCGCAATCGCCGCGTTACTTGATGCTAAGAAAGTGAAGTTGTTGGCATTCGCTAATAGCGCTGTTGCGTTCGAAGAGGCGTTCACATAACTTGAAAGGGTGGTCAATTCTGAGTAGCTTTGAAGTACTTGAAGTAAAGTGATTGCATGACTTGGAATCACACATGCCAGTAAGCTCACGAAAGATTTGTTCAATGACAACTTCATCTTGGCAAGGATGGGAAAATATCAAGGAAAACAGATTTGAGAAAGATCGGATGCATATTAAATCTCATCTCATCCTCGGAAGGGATCGCTTGATCCCCGCATTCGACTCCAAGATCCTGGACCGTTGCTCTATATCAAACACACCTCCCATTCTCGTTGGCCAAAGATACAGCGCAGAAATTCGAAACAAGAAGGAGGGCCATCTGCATGTAGGAATTGACGGCTTCGGGATCAGTAAGAGAAGGTAATGATGGACTCAGCACATCCATCCTGGTCTCATGCGGGGTGATCCTCCCGCTATCCCCGAAAAAGGAGGTACCCCCGGCGCGAGCCGAGGGTTTCGCATCCTCAACCCAGGTTCACAGCCAATGAGAGTTTTCTAATGTATGCGGGGTTCCTGTAGCCACATGATATCGGGAAGGTGGGATTATTTGCCGAGGCCTACTCCAGGGTTAAGGAGTGAAGGCCCGGTAGTGGGTGGGAATGAAACGTTGATCTTGTTCACATGCCGATGATCGTGGGGGATGGCAAAAGTTTAAACTGTAACGTCTCGGTGTGACCGCGGACGTACGGCATATCGCAGCATACTTCGTCCGTTGAGAATGAGGAAGGAATGACGAGTACACCACTGAAGTGATGGAGGACTTTGACGACCTCAGAATTTTCTGCTTCATCTCTGTTCGCTCAAAGTGGTACCCTTGAAAAGTTTCAGGATCTCGAGGATCTTGCTACCGTAAACCATTTGGTAGGAGAGAGATTTTTTGTGTGTGAATTGCAACTTCAATGGTAACCTAAGCGCAAAGCACAAACATGACAAGCAGGATGACACCCAAAAGTATCAGGCGCGGTTTCATGCCAGTGGTAAATTTTGAGGGTCTAGCATTGAAGGAGGGCACGATATCTCAATAAGCTGAGGAGCAAGTGGCCCCTGTATACGAGCTGGGGAGAAGGATGGCCTGAAGATGCAGGCGTTTCGACAACGTTGAAGTCCTTCAATACTTCAATGTGAATAAGTCTTTGATGTCGGACTTGTAGGGCTTGTATTGAGAATCAAGAGGGATTACAAACTTCCAGAGAACATGGGGAGAAACCGAGGCTGGCAAGTTTGAGGCTGATATCGCGAAATTGACGACGCCATGTATTGACTTTGCAGTACATATCCAGATCATGACGCCAGCGGGAACTCCCAATAGAGTGATAAAGTAGCGTTCAGATGTGTTCGAATAGTCAAGTGAGCGCAGAAATCAAGAGTAGAGTTCCGGAACGTAAGAATAGGTCTGAAGTAACCAATTCAGTTCATTTTGGCACCGCCATCAAGATTCCGGACCTTTCAATTTGCAACCACGAGCAAACCTGACTTTCCAGAGTTTTATACCAAGTATAATTTTTATTCGTTGAGTACCGGGAGGTTGACTGGACAAAGTCCGACAGAGTATTGAGCAGCCCTTGAGCTGTCCTTTGTGGAAGGAAGATTGGTCTTTGCCAGCTTAGCAGGAGTGACAACAATGCAATCAATCCAGGAAATCAAAAGAACTCGGATGTCGTCAAGTAACCAAAATTAGGACATTCTGGGGACTAGACTGTCCGGTCTGCAGATGTAATTCCATGCTCCCATGTCAAGGACAGGTCTTTGGAATGCAATACCACTCCTATTATCCTGTCACGATAGACGGCCGCAATCGATATTTCAGATACTATTTTGGAGTTCATGCGGACGTCGAAACAGAAACTTATGGCGAAAGGAAAAATAGAAGTGGAAGTACGGTCGTACTGAAGCCGTAAGTCATACTTGGAACTTGACCTCACAAATATTGTCTCACGAACTCAGGAACTATGTCCTACGTCCTACTTCAATTTTACTGGTACGCAACTCGAGTTGCGATTGTAACTATTATTGTAAGAATGTCAAGAATGTGTCCAAAAGGTGGGGAAGCCTGCGGCGTCTTAAAGTCGTTATTGCGAAAACTCCGCCAATTTTGGCATAGTACAGTAGCCCACTAGTTGTGAGGCTCTTATGCATTCTGCTGTCCACAACAGACTACATGTTCATACGCAAACTGGGGAAGAGGAAGTAAAGTTCCGACGCAATTAAGTAGTACAAACAAGAGTGGGTAGCGACTGCGATGGCGTGCAAAAAGCACGGGATTGCATAAGCGGACATTGACATCCCAACAATATCGCCCTTGTGTGAACTTGAAGCACTGAATAATTATTTCTGGAGGATTGACAAACCATTGTCGTGAAAGCTTTTCTAGCCGTTCTGACGAGCATCCAGTTCGCACCTTTGGAATACTTTGAGTTCTGTTTGTCTGGTATATCGAAAATTAATCATGACCGACAGGACAACTTCTGCCGCAAATGGCCACAACGGCAGTGAGCACACCAACAAGAAACGAAAGCTGAATGACAAGAAACAAATAATCCTCAATGCGTTTGCAATGAACACCCCAGGCCATTTGGCTCCGGGACTTTGGCGACATCCAAGGAACAAAACCGACCAGTACAAGAAATTGTCATTCTGTATCGAATTGGCGCAATTACTCGACAAAGCCAATTTTCATGCAATGTTCATTGCTGATAGTAGGTCAAAATTCTCTTGAGTTTGAGAACAATTTGGAAGCTGAGTGTTGGAACAGCGAATTCACCTCGACTCTCAAACAGTTCTGTAAAACAAAAACTAATTTGTGAACAGCTCTTGGGCCCTATGATGTATACAAAGGACCAGCAAACGTTGTACCTGCACTTGCCGCTGGAGCTCAATTTCCCGTCAATGACCCTCTATACTTAGTTCCAGCTATGGACGCGGCAACCAAGAACTTGATCTTCGGTGTTACTGCCAGCCTGACTTATGAGAAACCATATTCTCTTGCGAGGCGTCTGTCCACCGTGGACCATCTATCCGAGGGTAGAGTTGCCTGGAATATCGTGACTTCATATCTCGACAGCGCAGCTCGGAACCATGGCCTGAAAGAGCAAATACCTCATGACGAGAGATATGCTATTGCGCACGAGTACATGGAGGTTCTGTACAAGCTCTGGGAAGGTAGCTTCCGTGATGACGCTGTCTTGGCAGACAGAGAAACTGGAGTCTACATCGCCAATGATGCTGTTCGACAGATCCATCATAAAGGGAAATATTTCGAAGTTCCAGGACCTGCTTTTTGCGAGCCTTCACCACAGCGAACTCCACTGCTTTTCCAGGCTGGTGTTTCCGAAGCAGGGAATAGCTTTGGCGGCAAGCACGCGGAGGTGATCTTCGTTGGGGGTCAAGTTCCAGAAGGCGTGCGTCCGAATGTTGACAACATCCGTAGAGTCGCGAAAGAAGAAGGTAGAGATCCTGATCATATCAAAATTGTTGTAGGAATCAACGTTATTGTTGCGGCAACGGACGATGAGGCCAAAGCAAAGCGAGAAGAATATCTAAAGTACGCTGACAGCGAGGGTGCTCTGGCACTTTTTGGTGGATGGACAGGCGTTGATCTATCAGGATATGCTGATGACGATGACTTCCGTTTCAGTGACTCTCCTCGAGTGAAGTCAATGGTTCGCCGTTGGTCAAGCACGGTTCCCGGAACGGATAATCTCCCATGGACTAAGAGAAGGATCGTGGAGTACTTGAGCGTGGGTGGTCTTGGGGCCAAAGCCGTTGGCAGTCCTCAAACAGTGGCTGATGAGCTGGAGCGCTGGGTGGAAATTGCTGATATTGATGGGTTCAACCTGGCACATGTTGTCAATCCAGGAACTTTTGAAGACATTATCGAGTATTTGCTTCCAGAGCTGGAGCGACGCGGACTTCATTCAAGGCAAGTCAAGAAGGAGGGTGCAACTGCCCGGGAAGTTCTGTTCGGAACGAGCAGGCTGCCTGAAGACCATCCCGGGAGTAAGTATAAGTGGAGAGCTGGTGAGAAAGAGCCAAAATATCAGCAGGCGGTTTCTACGGTTGATGGCGTCAGTGAAACTCTGGCATGAGATGAAGTGGAAAACAAATATGATTGAAGCACCTTTAAATCGGGCAGAAACGATTCGACATCTCATCACATATATGTTTTAGGAGTACGTCTAGGATGAGGTATCACCTGAAAGATGTTTAAATCATAGAATTAAATAGCGATTTGTGACGAAAGTCTATGTTGTTCAAGAATTGTTGAAGTCGGAGTTGAAATCAGAGTACGGCCGAGCTGACTAAGCGAATTAGCTTCAGACTAAAACTTCTCCCAACAGTTCCCCAAGGTAAGTAGCCTTAGATATCTCTCTATCCTTTCCAACAGATATTTCTTTACCACTTCATGAGAAGACAACTTACAAATTCATGACACGATAAGCCTGACATCCTAGTCAGAAGATTGGAAAGCGCCGCACGTGATAAACTGTGCTTACAGGTTGCCGCAGTGCCGAGGCCTCTTTCCCCGCATAACGGTTACCCTTGTGGAGAAGTATCGGCCATTGTCATGTCCTGCTAAGTTTCATTTCCTTCTCTTCTTTAATTTCACTTGTTTTGGCACCGAGATATTCCATTGATCATAGTACCCTGATCCTGTTTTCAACGATTCTCTCTCGAATAAATCCACACTCTTCAAGATGGTTATAAAACGCAATGAGCCATGCTACGTCCTCGGCGTGGGCATGACCAAGTTTATCAAGCCAAGAGGGAAGGTCGATTATACTGAGCTAGGCTTTGAAGCTGGTATCAAGGCCATGCTCGATGCGCAGATCAATTACGACGATGTTGACCAAGGTGTGGCCTGCTACTGTTATGGCGACTCTACCTGCGGACAACGAGTATTTTATCAATTTGGCATGACCCAAATCCCAATATACAACGTAAACAACAACTGCTCAACCGGATCCACCGGACTACACCTTGCACGAAATGTTATCAGCCACGGCGGAGCCGATTGTATTCTGGTTGTGGGTTTTGAGAAGATGAACCCTGGAAGTCTGCAAAGCTTTTGGCAGGACCGAAGCAACCCTACAGGAACCAGTGGTGAGATGATGGCAGCGACCCGTGGTGTTACAAATGCTCCAGGAGCTGCTCAGATGTTTGGAAATGCTGGTCGAGAATATATGGAGAAGTACTGCTCACTCCACTAGACTGAATCTTGAGTCCTCCTGTGCTGACACCATTCACTTCAGATACGGTGCTAAACCTGAAGACTTCGCGGAAATTGCTCGAGTCAATCACGAACATTCTCAACGAAACCCATACTCTCAATTCCAAGATGTCTATACTCTGGAACAAATTATGAAAGCGCCCATGATCCACGAACCTCTCACGAAGCTTCAATGCTGCCCTACATCCGACGGCGGAGCTGCTGCTGTTCTCGTTTCTCAAGACTTCCTCGATGCTAGACCGCACTTGAAGGAACAAGCTATTTTGATTGCTGGGCAATGTCTAGCTACAGATGCACCTAGTCTGTTCTCAAGAAGCTCAATCGATCTTATGGGCTTCGAAATGACACAATATGCTGCTAAGACAGCTATGGACGAGGCTGGTGTATCTCCAAAGGATATCAAAGTCTGCGAGTTACATGACTGCTTCTCCGCGAACGAGATGATTGTCATTGATGCTCTTGGGCTCTCACCTCCAGGGAAGGCGCATGAGTTGGTTCGAAACGGAGACATCACCTATGGTGGCAAGCTAGTCATCAACCCTTCTGGAGGCTTGATCTCCAAGGGACATCCTCTCGGCGCTTCAGGCATCGCCCAGTGTGCGGAACTTGTTTGGCACCTGAGAGGTTGGGCAAACAACAGATTGATCAAGGATACAACCGTTGCGCTTCAACACAACTTGGGATTGGGAGGCGCTGTCGTTGTTACAGTATACAAGCGAGCAGATGGAAAGAGTAATGATATCGTTGATGATGCTACTATTGGGAAGAAGAATAAGTTAGGGTACAACCCAGCTGTGGTGGCCAAGGGCTTCACGAATGCGCAAGCCACGAGTGTGCGGAGCCGGACGAAGAGCAGTGCTTGGGCTTTGGGAGATGCTGAGAAGAAGGTTGAGGCTAGATTCTAATTCTGATGTATGTGAGATATTGTTAGGGTATGTAAAATGAACCAGAATCCGTTGCCAAGCTTTGGGGTCCCTAGTGCGGTAACTCATCGTCGATGAACAAGACCACGATGTGCAACAAATGCTCTTTTCCGTCCTGTTCCTTGATTTTTCACACACTTGGTTGAGTAATCATCCAGGGGAGCGCAGTTACGAGACACGTTGCTACCCGCCAGACACCGTGACACTGGTGTTTTAATTGGAGTGGCTTGCATATGCACGCAATCATGATCTGAGAATATGGGGCGAGGGTTCTAGGCGAGTCTTATTCGTCCCCCTCAGTTGAAATCTCTCTTGTTAGAAAGGTAAAAGGTATCAGTCCATCAATCAATACGTTCACAGACCCCTTTTCCTTCAGTCAATTCGACAAGTCCTTAATACAAATCCACACAAGCCCAACTACCCTCCAAATCCTGATCCCCCACTCCATCCCACTTCGCGTGCTTAGGGTACACACAGACGGGCCTCTGCCTCCTTACTCCCTTCTCCACATCATCATCCACAAACTTCGTAGCCACAATCTCCTCCGGCTCGATCCCCTCCTCCACCCACCGCATCAACGCCAAAACAACATCATGTCTCGCGTCCTCGTACCCGGGAACACTCTTCACCGTCGCCCCCAACGAAGCAGGTTGTCCCCCTCCAGCAATATACCACGGAGCATCGCCCGTTGATCCACGACAGTGCTGCAGTCCTGGTATCATGTATAGTTTATAAAACGAGGAGATGGGACGAGAAAGCCCTTTTGGGATCAACGTCCTCAAGATTTGGTTGTGAAGATAAATGCTGGCTTCAGCAGGTATCAAACCATCGCTGTACCCGTGGTAATGAATCACCTTCCCGCCTCTGTCCGCGAGCGGTGTTATGTCGAAATCATCCGCGTTCGCTTCTCCGGGGTTCAGTTCATCGCCCAGCTGCACGGTCGCGAGGTCGAAGTTCTCGGCCCAGTTGTAGGAGCTGGCGGTGGAGGAGGAGTGGTTGAGCAGGAAGTTGGAGAGCCAGACTGTGCCCATGGGTGAGGGGTGGCCCGAATCGAGGTTCATTGCGCGGCCGAACTCGGTTTCGGAACCGAGGGATAGGGAGGGGAAGAGGAAGGTGGCGTTGGTGTCTATCCAGGGACTTTGGATTTTATCTAACGTCTTTAGTTGGGGAAGTGTGAGGCAGGTTCCTGGCTTGGAGGTTGGTGTGCAGAGGAGGGTTTCGGGACGGAAGATGCAGGCGCGGGGGTTGGAGATTATTCCGTCCAGGACTCCGTCTTGAGGGTCGCATTGTCGGATTGCTTCTTCTGCGATGACTTTGAATAGGGAGCCGGGGATGTGGTGCGGTGAGTCGAGGGGTAGGTTCCAGAGAGAGACGGCTAGGTGCCATGGTTGGAGATGAGAGGTCCACCATGCTGGAGCAGCGGAGACGATACCGTCAAAGTCAGAAGGATATTTCTGTATTGACTTAAATCCTTGACGACCTCCAGTTGAGCAGGCCGAGAAGTAGGAATACTTGATCTTTGCTGAGTAGTATTTCTGCGTGATGAGCTTGGAGAGCTTGACAGAGTTGTGCATAGCTCGGTGTCCCCAATCAATCTGTGTCTCTGGATTGTTTAAAGCCCATGATGCGTCTGGGACGGCTGATACATGGCCAGTGTCTAGAAGTGATTTAGTATTGACTTCTCATAGAAAGTATTAGCTGTCCGTGAAGGGTGGGATTACCGGTAGACATAGAAGCAAATCCAGACAAAGCATGCGTCTCCATATCATTCCAATTGATGCCACCACCAAATCCGCCGTTTCCAGAGCCCATGAAACGTAAATTCCATTCGTCAGGTAAGAAGAGCCCGAAATTGAATGATGATGTTGGAGAGGAGATCACGTTCACTGTGACAGCGCAAAGGGCTGGCAAACCGGTTGCTGCCTTTGGAAAGGGAGGTGAAGGCTGTGTCCATGTTCCATTGGCTGCAATAGAGACAGCAGAGATGATTGTTGCGTGTGAGGGGAGAAATGGGGATAGGGCTGAGGGTGAGCATTGGAGGGCTGGTGAAGCGGTGGTTTGGAATTGAGATGTGAGACCTAAGAACGATTGGGCCGAGAGTTTGAGTTTTGACCACCAATTCGAGGTTGGGACTTGGGAGGCATTCATTTTGATAACAGCATGCGTGAGGTTTCAGATCATCTTGTATATATCTGTGAGTATATTTCTTCACGGGTCAGGTGGGGCTTACGAATTGATGGGGAAGGTGGGGCAGCGACTTTTTTGAGATCAGGTATCTGCCAGAGAAAAGGTGACCGAAAAAATGGAGAGCAAAGAATGTAAATGTGTGCGTAGCTCAACGTCGGTCATGATCATGCAAAACTGTTTGATGTTTGATACATGAAGTGCCATGGAAGTAAGATCTTCACCAAGGAGATTGAGGCTAAAAGTGGGGATGCGAACAAGGCTTCCAGGACGGCCCTTCTTCGAACTTCTTTCTGACGAGTATTAACACAGAATTTTTTTAATTCAACCAACCCTTCATCATATATGTAGACATTGAGAACTCATTTTGAGTGAAGGAGGCGTGGAATAAATTACTGTAGAATGTAGAAGTCCTCTTAAGGATTCATGCTAGCGCACGAGTAATCTGTAACACGAGACTTGCATGTGAATTAATTCCTTAGTAGATTAATTCCCATCTCACCTCAAGCACTCAAGCACTCAAATATGAAAATGTCAAGGAATGTAGTGACGTGTGAGGAGGAGGAGGGGTGCGTGATTGGATCTTTTCGACACCGGAGAGAGCTCCGAATAACTCGATAAGCCGCAAAAGGCCGTGAGACAGTCGCTATCTGCAGATACCGGTATTCAAGTCAAGGAACTGGCTCTGAAGAAACCAAGAAGCTCATTGTTAGTGCTATCATTATAGTAAATAGCTTTTACGACAGCGTACCCCGTATCACACTGGCAGCGGAGAGATTCAAAAACCAACCCAGTGAAGTCAGCGCTGGAACTAAGTTGAGGAATTGAGGAAATCTAAGTCATCCTGGCAGATTGAATCAAGAATACAACCACACTGCGGCCCAATCGAAGGATTCGCGGGACACAGAAGTCGATGGTTATGCACGGTGACAAGGGTGCGGAGACGGAGGATGCTCCGGTCGTGATCACCATCGGCATTGTGGCTAGTCTTCGTCAAGGGGTCGAAAGGTTGCGTCAGTGGTAGAATATAATCAGAAGGTGTCCCCCTTCACTCTTCACTTACAAACTTGTGTTGCATCTTCGTGCTCGAGATCATTATGCTTTCGATAGTTGTCTTGAGTCCGCTTCACCTCTCGCTCTCCTTGTCTACAATAATCTTGAAGAATGGAGAATGCTGCCTTCGCAACCTCATCGTCCTATACCGCTGGAGAATTCCGACGGCTGCTGATTCTTCCTCCTGCTCCTGCCGATCTATTTCCCTTTCGAGCCGTGGTGTTTCTGCTATGAGTTGCGACAAAGGAGCGGTGATCTGATTAGGACTGCTTTGCTTTTTACAATAGTTCTTTTTGGCTACTATCAACTTGCGTTGGCAATGTTTGTTTCACACTTTCTCCTTCTTTGTGTTCTAGATTCTAGTACTGCGCTCGATTGCTCAACAATCAACAGCTTCATTTATCTCTTTTTTTTGGTTCTAGAAGCACTTCTGGTCACGGTTTCGAAGCACAGTCTAGAGTCTAGATCGTCTCGATGCTCAACTGGGGATGAACCTGGGTTCTTTCGGGCTGAGATCAATGGTAAACTATTGCCATTGTCACCATTGACTCCTCTATTCACTGTAGGACATTTCCACCTCGTGTTGCTGCGTGCTGTTTTGCGCGGTTGAGTTCCTGCCCTGTGGCTGGGGCGTTTGCGCCGCTGTGGCTGATACGTAAGTCACTTATATCGCAACACTCAATCTCTCGGCGGAGAGGGTTGCCCGGATGGAAGTCCATGTGGGCCTGGCCATGGTCGAGAGCGAATTGAATGATCAGTGGTCTGATGAGTGCTGCTGCCGAGATGTCTTGTTGCCGTCACATCCTTACTCACGCACATCCAACTCCTCCTATTTGATGGCGGCAGCCATTGCTTTGATTGAGTGAGTGCTGGTCGTATACTTTGCTCCGTACGGTACTCTGAAATGCAGCGCAATCCAACTCTTCGACGTCGACTTCGTGGCACAGCAACGGATATCATAAATTCTTGGACATATGAGCAGGGACTGCCTGTCCAGCTGAACAGGTCAAACAGTGCAGACTTCAACACTCGAGTTAAGCCCTGCGTTATCATATATTCCGCCATCCGGGAAGGGGTAGAGTCCGCAACTAGGGGGCACTTTTCATGCCAAGAATGCACAGATCCCCTTTGCTACAGGACGGCTGCTCCTAGAGTACCGTCGACCGAGTGGGAGGGGCAAAGTTGTGTGAGGTGAGCGTGGCGGTCTGCCGGATCATCTGGCTGTATCTCGATTCTGGGTCGAAAGTTCAGAGCCTGGATTGGCCCACAAAGTGAGCAGGGATTCTCCCATTCATGGGAACCGGAAACGCAAACGCCAAAAACACCATAATAGAACATTGTACACCCCAGGTAGAATCCCATTCCAGACACAGATTTCGTTAAGAGCTAGAGTACGACGAAATGCATCGATTTCCTTTCTGCAATCTCTAGCATTGTTCGTCACTGCTATAGTGGAGCACATCATCCGAGCAATAAATTTCCGGTGCCGGCGTGCGCACACCCAGCGCAAGAAGTACGGAACTTCAAATGGCATCTCCAATTCTACACCCGCTCACCCTCGACAACGCCGAAGCAGAGCATTTAGACATTGGAGAGAGATCCGACGGAGGGATCGCAACTTCTGAATCTGATGCAAAGACAGTTGTCCGGGTCTTTCCTATTCGGCTTGCTACGGGGCAAGATCTAGTGCCAACTTCATCTGCAGTTCCAGCTCTTTTACAGTCCTTAGACTTCAACCTCTCCGGTCTAACATTACATGAAGCTGTATTGAAGCCATCACTGGGTGCAACACCTCTCCGGACGTCAACTCCTCTTCTCACTCCTCCGAAATCTCAATCGGGGTCAAGCTCTTCTTCGACCCTACAAATACCTGAACATGTCTCAACTTCTGGGCAGCGATATGTCACCAACAAATTCAATTTTGGCCTTTCCACTCACGATTATCCCACCCTGCCCCATGTTGCCAAAGGGAATAAGGTGTATCGTTGCGATCAGGAACCCATTCACATTCCAGGTGCAGTGCAATCATTCGGGGCTTTAGTGGCATTGAGACAAGATCCAAGTAGTAACTGCATTGTCCGAATTGCCAGCGAGAATACAGGAGCTATCATAGGTCGGGAGCCAGAGGAGCTGTTCAACCTTCGATGCTTCACAGATATGCTCAGCGCGAACTATAAGACCGAGTTCATGGTCCGGATGAAGGCCCTCTGTTCAAAGCCGATCAGAACAGACCCAGATGTTCATCCCCTCGCTTTGATATCCACAGACGCAGTCACAATTCATGTATTCTGTGCCATGCATCTAAATGATGCAGCCGGTTTAATCATCTGCGAATTCGAGTTAGAAAAGGAAATCTTTACCTCAAAGCACCCGCCTGAACACGGCTTACCGGCTGTACCCGTTCAAGTTATCGATCACCAAATACCGACCGAAGCTGCTCGCCTTCTATCTACTACTAATCGAAGCACTCCTCTCCACGCTGTCGACATAGCTCGCGAGTCCTCTCGACCACTTGGTTCTCTGGACCTGTTTCACATTCTTTCAGAAGTGCAAGCCCAATTATCGAAATGCACAGAATTACCAGCATTGCTCGATATAATCGTTGGACTGGTTTATGAGCTCACCAGTTTTCATCGTGTCATGGTTTATCAATTTGACGAAAACGCTGCAGGTACTTATTACTTTCCTATCCTTTAGCTGTCAATTGGCATGCCCGGCCACAATCATTATGGCACCTTAATATCTTGTTAGGGAGGCCTGTAGCTAACATCAAGTAGGTTGTGTTAAGAGCGAAATCGTCGATCCGCGCGCATCTAGCGATATATATCGCGGCCTGCATTTTCCTTCATCAGACATTCCTCGGCAAGCGCGTGAACTATATCTGATCAACAGAGTGCGAATCCTCTATGATCGAGAGCAGGAGACGGCGAGGTTGGTTTGTCGCACTCTAGATGATGCTTCGATACCACTAGATCTCAAGCACTCATATCTTCGAGCCATGAGTCCCATACATCTACGATATTTGTCGAACATAGGAGTTCGGGCCAGCATGTCAATCTCCTTGGTCGTAGACGGCAAGCTCTGGGGCTTAATAAGCTGCCACAATTACGGTTCAAGTATGCGGGTGCCTGCTCCAGTGCGGGAACTGTGCCGAAGCCTGGGCGACATTGCAAGCAACACCATTGGAAATCTGCTCTATGCCGCGCGAGTCAAGGCTCGTAAAGCATTGTCCATCGCTCCGCCAAAAACATCGCCATCAGCATATGTCGCGGCATCCTCAGGAGACTTACTGAGCATGTTCGACGCTGATTTTGGGTTTCTCGTCATCAAAGGCGAGGCTAGGGCCATTGGTCGTCTGATGGCGTATGAAGAGTCTATTGTCTTACTGCAGTTTATACGCGACGAGAACTTTACGAGCATCTTCTCAACAAACGCTATTCGCAATGAATGTCCAACCTTGAAAACTTCTGCGGAACTATCAATCATATCTGGCATGCTCGTAATTCCACTCAATCCCAACAGTGCAGAGTTTCTAGTGTTTTTTAGGAAAGGGATCTTGAAACATATTAGCTGGGCTGGAAATCCGTATGAAAAAGCTACCTCGTCAGGCCGGAACTACCTTGAGCCTAGAAGTAGTTTTCGACGATGGAGTGAGCTTGTTGTTGGTACGAGTGCAAACTGGACTGAAGACCAACGTATGAATGATCTGTTCCCCCGAGGCTGCTGCTAACTTGGCGTAGTTGAAAGTGCTGCTGTACTTTTGACGCTCTATTCACGCTTTATTGAGGTTTGTAAGTTTGAATCACTCCTCATAGCTTTCATCGTTACATCTGAGATTTTGAACATCTATTCATATATCAGAGGAATTGAAAACTATTCGTCATGCTGAACTTTCAATCACCATCGCAGCTAAAACTTTTTAGGGCGTCAGAAAGAAGCGATCGTTCAAAAGAACAGAATGACAAGAATTCTGATCCAGAATGCGGGTCACGAAGCTAGAACTCCATTGAATAGCATTATCAACTATCTCGAGATCGTCTTAGAAGATAACCTGGATAAGCGAGCTCGACTACATCTACAAAGATCACTTCAGGCTTCCAAATCGCTGGTCTTTGTCGTCAATGACCTCCTCAACCTCACAGAGGTCGAAGATGCGGTCTACAACATGTACCAGGAATACATCGATCTGAAGGCTTTGATGCGGAGTTTAGTAACTGCATTCGAGCCAGAGTCCAGCAGGAAGAATCTCAAAGTCGTACTAAACGCCGATGACACGATTCCAAGCATCGTCAAATGCAATGGATCGGATCTGAGACAGGTCATTTCCAATTTGTTAGCCAATGCCATTCAACATTCCGAGGACGGGTATATCAACATGAGCCTACGCTGCACTGGCACCTCGGACCTCTACGTTTTCACCGAGATCTCGATTGAAGACAAAGGCCGTGGACTTGAAAAGTCACAACTGGATAATCTATTCCAAGATTTCGAGAAGATATTAGACGATGAGGATGGCGAAAGTACTTCAACAACGTCGGCCAATGATGCAGCTTACTTGAAGACTATAAATACACAAATCGGTTTAGGTCTCGCCCTTACCGCTAGATTTGTCAGACTCAATAACGGGCAAATCGCGATCTCATCAGCAGGTTTAGGAAGAGGAGCAAAAGTGTCAATCACCGTCCCTTTCCACAAAGCCTCGATCCAACCGCGGCATGCTACCTTGAATCCGACTCAATTCAAGGTAAATGTAAGCAATCTCCCAACGCCACCTACCCCCAGTGAGCCATCGGCCCAGGCCCGTACCTCCTTCTTTAGCCCAATACTTTCTCCAATAACGACATCCTACTCTGATTTTGGTCAGGTAAGTGTGCCCGGTATTCTTGAGAGTCCAACCGACCCCACAAGTCCCATGTCCCCAGAAACGGATTTGGAAGTCGACAAGTTGAACATATTAGTGGCTGAAGACAATCCGTTGAATAGCCGGCTATTGCAAACAAGATTGAGTAGAAAGGGACATGGAGTCCAGGTCGCTGTCGATGGACAGGCGTGTGCCGATGCGTTTAAGCAGAACACGATGTTGTTCGACATAATCTTGATGGATATTCAGGTTCGTACTCCCACTCCTTTGATAGTTAAAGATTTCGCTTCGAGTCTAACACACAGCTACCTAGATGCCCCTCGTATCAGGTGTCGAATCCACCCGCATAATCCGCGACTTCGAACGTGTTCACTCACCACCATCCTCTCCCAAAGTCTCCGCCTATGGTCGCATACCTATCATAGCTGTCTCCGCTTCCCTGGTCGAAAAGTCGAAACTCGAGTACTCGGCCGCGGGATTTGATGGTTGGATCACAAAGCCTATCAATTTCAAGCGATTGGAGAGGATCATGGATGCAGCGAGAAATGCTGAGAAGAGGCGAGAGTTGGCATATGGGAGCGATGAGTGGGAGAATGGCGGGTGGTTCGTTACGTAGGAGGACGTTTATGTTTGTGTCGGTGTTTGGGAGGGTGGTAAGTTGCTGATTTGCTGAAGTGGATCATGTATTGAATGTATTTAGTAGAGCACAATATACGATGCGGCTCTCTGACGACCTTCCGGACTTTCACCAACTTTCTTTTCCATTAGAAGGTTGAGCGTAAAGGTTGAGGAACAAATACTCCGCTCCAGTGTGTCTGTAACCACTCAACTATTGATAAATCGTGAGATCTCAAGGACACAGAGGTCCTTCACCGTCGTGTTCACACCTAGATATCTTTCTTCCGCATCGAAGTAAAGGCGATAACTTTTCGAAAAGCACACTGAAAAGGCCGAGGGTAAGTTTTGAATGACTGAACATGGAAGTCAGAGACTATCTATCTCTTGTAATCTCAAGCTTTATAATAATATGACTCTAGGACCTGCGACCTCCGCATGAGACACAATATAGAGAGTGAGCAGACCAGAAATGAACCCAGTGTGTTGAGTGCAATGACCGCGCTTTGTGCGCGGATTGCGCATATTGCGCTGGATGCGCGAAGGGCGCTGAGTCCGCTAAGCCCATCGCATAAAAATGAATGCACTGTATTATTACGTGTTGCTAATACAGGGCCCTCAGGGCATGACGCCTGAATTATAAGCTTTTAGCCGATGATGGGTGCGAGTACAGGACTTAGTTATTAAATAAAGCTTATTCTTAGGGTACTTTTGGCAAGTGATGCTCTGTAATGACACAGTACGAAAAAGATTTCCCATTGAATAAGTTTGTGGGCTGAAAAACGAAATCTAAGTTATATCTTGGAGCGCTGTAACTACGGGGCTTTCCAGAAAGTGAAGTCTTAGTTCGTGTCTTCACAACACTGAATGCCCCATTTTCCAGAGAATTGCGACTCAATGTTTTGTAAGAGAACTCATCTACTCTTGATTAACTACTTACAGTCTTTTTTGTAGCAAAGGGAAGACGTCTCCTTCGCTATATTTTCGTAAAGTGTCTTTCAATACCGAGGCAGGTTAAAACAATAGTCAAAGTTCTTAACTATTTCCATATCAATCTTTTATTTATTCAAAAAAGAGAAGGGGGATAATCCAGAAATTACTTGAAACTTAATAATTTGGTTATGACAATGAATCAGCACATATTTCTCTTCGTCGTAACCCTCCACTGCCAAGACTTAAGGGTCCTTCAGGGGGACAACTCGCTTAAACATTTTAGCGCTTATTTATCGCAGATCCGCGGGGGTGCATCAAACTCAATAGAGTGGGGATGGTACTGCAAATTGGACGTGAGAGCCAAAACCCTTCTAGAGTTTAGAGTTATAGTATGACTTTTTAGGAAGTGATTGTGTTTATATTGCTGTGTTGCTGAGAATACGAGGTCTTCTTAGCTTCAAGATCGCTTGTGGGAAACTGATAGTTACCTATGCTTTGATCAGCCGTAAAATGTTTAGTTTCCGTTGTATATCTCGCGAATATTTTCATCTGGCCTTCGGATTAAACGTTGAAGGTCTTATGTATTGGGAAGATTCTTCAACGGACGACCTTTCCGAGTTGTGGTGCGCAGTCTTGCTCACTCGAAATATGGCGAGTGACCTCTCTTCTTTTGTGAACGTTCCGAGATTGCGTCTTCCACAGCCATGGGATTCGGGGTGCATGACGAGAACATCGAGAATATCGAGAACATCGAGAAAAGCTGGAATTCCTTCGGTGCATGAAGGAATGGATGGAAAGTAATGCGCTGTAACATTATTTGGATCTTTTGGGTGCTACTGAATCGAACTCTCGTCTTGTCTCGTGCTGATCTTGAAATGTATTGGCTTCTTCCCAGCAAAACAACTCCTTTCAACTCTTTTGTTGCTTGGCAGCAGTCTCGGAGACAAAAAGACGGACGCTATAAATTCCAGCTCCCGAATCGACAGGGAAGTAAAGTGATTCCTGCCAAGGAAAGATCGAACCTGAATCGACCGAAGAATCATTTCAGACAGCCGGGTTATATTCTCCATCACGCTTGGTCTTCGGTGCCGAGAGCCTTTATTGTGGCGTATGAACATGCTTGAAGTGCTGCTTAGATGCCACATTCTTTGCTCCCCATCCTTGAAACAGATTTTGGAGCTTGGTTGTTTTGCAGGGATGAGTCGAGAAATTAGAGTCTGCTGGAATAGATCATTCTAGAGTTGTGGATTGTGGACATGAATGCAACTAAAGCAATTCAGAAGATGCATCTAGACTCCGTTCAGTGCGTCAAAGATTTGTAGCATTGCTTAATCAATGATTACTCAACTTTCAGTGTCTTTGAATTCAGCGGTGGCGTTGAGACATCCACACGGAGTATCCCCATCACCTGTATTGTCTTGGGAATTCCACGCGCATGCTGACACTTGTCAAAGCTATTAGTTTGTCGTATTTCAGATATTTCCTATCGCAACACCATGTCACTGGGTTGCTCTCATTGCACCATTGGAGCGCATTAGAGCGCTCGCTCCAAACTTTGGGGAAGCATGTACGTGAAATCGTACGAGTTTTCTCGATTTTGGTAGGGTGTTCGAAAGCAGCCACTGCGGAGTCATGCCACAATCTCTCACCAATCCTTTTTATCCGCATGTCTTAATGCCCACGATTAATGCGCAGTAGTAATTACCCCTCTGGTCCATGCTGCTGACGAGAACTTTCTCTCGCAGTCCATCCCGCCCTGCCCTCGTCAGGCACCTCTCTCCACACTGTTCGCGATGTTCCAGTCTCCGTACAAATTTGCATGTTCTTGGTCCAGAGCATGGTCATGGAAAAGCAGTCATAATTGGGCAACGATAACAATAAGTGTCTTGCGCAAAGAAGAAGAGAAAGGATGCAGGCCCGGCTCGCGCGGGAGTAGGACTTTATAAGCATGGCTTTGGCGAGAAGACACTATCGAATCAAAATGAAGTGACGCAGCCAGCCCTGCGTTTTACTTGCTTTTTCCGGAGCTATCTCCGCACGTCATCGAGGAAACTTCTCGATTCAAAAGAAAAGGATGCCCCTTACTGCAACCAGGGCTCTAGATCGAGGTCGCAACATGACGTCGTTAACAAGGGTACCTGGATCGCTAAAGGCAATGTACCGTAAGTTTTAAAGTCCTTAAAGTAAGTTCTGGAAACCTTTGGATCTGGTTTCGTCAACCATTTCTCTGTACTCGGATCGGTCTTGCGACCACGTGATCTCGCTTGACCCCTAAAAATGGCTGCGAGGGTCGAGGAGATCTTGCGAGGCCTTGGGCTATCACAGTACTTGAAGATATTCTTTGAGGCGGGATTCGAGGATTGGGAGTCTCTGAGAGAGATTCAAGAGATCGATTTCTTGAAGTTGAGCGTTCGTCGTGGGGACAGGAGAAAGTTACAGCGTGAGATCGCCAGACGCCATTTGTGGCCAGACTTGCAGCCGTTACCAACAACAGAAGATCTGCGACATCATGAGAATCTTATCTCACGAAGATCTTCAGTAGCTTCTTACTCCAGATCAATAAGCCGTCCTTGTTCCTACTCGCCAAAGTCACTCACTTCAACTAGCTTGCCACCGTCTCCAGACACCCGCCGTTCAGGATCCAGAGTCAATGCCCATGGGAACACCTATGATTATTCAGATATACGTGACCACATTGCCACAATACTCAGAGATAAATCGATTATCCTGGACATAGACAATAACCAAAACAGCCAGGTGAAACTTACCCTACGAGCAACTTAAGAGTTGGACTTACCATTATAGTCGCCAGTAGAATGTTGCAACGAACGAGGACGACCGAGAAATAGCAGACCGGAAGCTTCATTCACAGCCTCAAAGATACCGGAATTCAGCGAGTCTCTCGTTCACCAGGTCTGTCACGCTCTTTCCTCACCAACTCCAAGCTCCGATAAACTTAGCCAGGACCAACTTTTCTTCACGCTGAGCGAAGCAGAAAGATCCACTCGGCAATTCACGATCTCACCGAGGCATGGAATACACCTTGATGCCTTCATCCAACGTCTCAATCATGTTCTGCATTTATTCGATGAATTCAGTCTTCGGGGAAGTTTCGAGAATGCCGTCGCAGGACAGGCATTAGATGAAGTGTCGTCCACAGAACTCACGTTGGCACTTGCTTTAGGAGCAACGTACACGGGCACTCAACCACATTCAGTCCATCTTGAGATGTATATCCGAGGTCGTGTGCAGTTATCGGTTCTGAACGATTGGCGTGATGATCTGTGGATGATGAGAGTTTTAATCATGATCGCATTATACCACCTTAACATGTTCCCGAACTCCACCTCTCACTTCCTCGGTATGTCACAGTCTAAACGGGTATGTACGACTGGGGACTAACAAGCGACAGATCTAGCAATACGGCTCGGCCAAGCAAATCGACTAGATGCAGCATCTTTCCCTCTTCCAGACGTCGTAGAGCCTGCGCGCTCCCATTGGCTTCGAGTCTGGAAAAGCATCGAATTTGTTCAGCAGGTAAGGAGCTGAACCCCAAGATCCAAAGCTCAGGAATCCTAACAACAACATCAGTGGTTGCATCTCGGTGCTCATAATCCAATGACTAGAGTGTCCGAAACGGAATATCTAATCAACATGCTGGTAACGCTCCATCCCTCCACCGATGGGCATAGGAGTTGTAACATGAAACCGCCAGGAACCACCATTGATCTCCGAAGAATGTCTTAATAGCCGCCTCACACAGTTGAACATGAGTGTCCTCGGCAATCTCCTCAAAGAAGTCCTCCAAGACCGAGTCCGTTCAGAACTAGGCACACCATCACCTTCACTGGTTGCCGTTCACCTTGGATCGCTTTCGAGATTCTACTCTGAACTCCCGATATATTTCTATTTGCGCCCCAGACCCGACAACGAGACAGCAGGCATCTCTCGCTTCATTGAAGGCACAAATGCAAGACAAAAGTCCAGTATTGTAAAGTCATCACTCTCGAGCATTAAGTATAGACTATCAACTAACTTGGTGAATTTTCCAGCTTAACGTACACGTTTTGTATTTAGGGGTCAAATGCCAACTACTACAACCAGCACTCGTCAAGATGCTTCAAACAACCCAAGGGGATGAGATTATTGTCGATCATGCGTCTCAATGGTAAGCCAGGCGGAGACTCCTCTGAGACAAGCAGAATGGCAGAAGCTGATGGGGAACTCTGAAGTGTGGAGTCAGCTAGGATGATTGTTGAGATCTGTGAGGACATTGTGAAATCGGGTTTTGGAATCAAGGGGCACTGGGTCGTGGTGTAAGTTCCAAGCGATGCTGACTAGAGTGTCCAGAATGTTGACTCGACGACAGGCATTTTCTTTCCAAGGTGCTGTTGATCTTGATACTCGCTTCTATTCAAGCACACAAAGAAAATCACATCGAGGTTTGGAAGAAAATGGTGGACTCAATCTCAACAGCAGCGAGGCTACTTGAGATTAGTTCGGATGGGTCACCTGCGGGTGGGTCTGGGATTGATGTAGTCGACCAGTTTTCTGAGTTATTGGAGTCCGGCTGAAACACATAGAGCAGGTGTGTTGCAGGTGCTACTTTGTTTCTAAGGGGGTGTTCTGGGAAAACGACGTTGAGATAACCCGTGCGCGTTTATTCTTACGGAACTGCCTTCAAAAACAAGAAACAATAAAATCATAAGCAGTATCAATGGCAGCAATTTATTCAGGACTTGATACTGGCTACTCGATTTGTTGATACTTGATGCTAAGTTGTGAACAGTGCTGGTTAGTACAAGCAATCCAGCATGCAATATCGTCCGCATGTCTCACAACTTCAAAACATACTTCTAGTAATTGGCTCTGTATTTCTCCGTCATACTAATCCTACAAAATCTCATGTAACTCCGAATTTGCTCAAGCCTCGCTTACATTGCCCCCTTTGGGTGGACTACTCGGCAAACTTGCCACTGCATCACGCCAGCTCACTTACCCCACCAACCCCGCGTTCATCGCTACACTTGCCCCGCACCTTCAAGATACTATCTTCAGTCGTACATTCTATTTCTTGTGATACAAGAATAAGCATTTCTTTAAAACGTCTACAAATCTCCTCACTTCATCTCGTTTCTTTAGCCAGTTCTCATTCATCCAACCATTGGATTCAGTCCCACTCCTACTTGCACACTCGCGCTTTCCCTGCAGCCATCATAATGACACAACGACTCCTCAACAAAATCGCCATAATAACAGGCTCGTCCTCCGGCCTAGGACGTGCAATCTCACTTCACTACGCCCGTGAAGGCGCAACAGTGGTCTGCTCTGATCTCTCTCCGTCAGCACGATCTCTCGTTCCTTCGGAATCAGAAGTTGATACGCATCAATTGATTGAAAAGCTGGGCGGGAAATCGATTTTCGTCAAGACGGATGTTAGTAAAGCACGGGATATGGAGAATCTGGTTGAAAGTGCTGTGAAGGAGTTTGGGGGTTTGGATATGTTTGTTCTAACTTTCTCTTCCTGTGCTTAATATCTAGTCAAGATCTATGCGAGGGAGAGAGAAAGGAGAAGGCTAATATACCGAACAGAATGGTAAACAATGCAGGCATCTCGTTAGAAGCCAAGATCCCGGGTCCGGTTCACACAGCTACCGAAGAAAAATGGGATGCTGTTATGGCTGTGAACACAAAGTCGGTCTTTCTGGGAAGTAAGTATGCGACGAAACAGATGATTGGACAAGATTTGAAAGATGGAGAGAGGGGTGTCATTGTGAATATTTCGAGTATTATGGGTATTATTGCTGGGACCAATCAACGTGAGTATTTCTTGCCCTCAGTGATGAAAAACGAGAGGGGGAGATAAAACAGAAGTAGAAGGTTGACCAATGTTTAATATAGCCTGTTATTCGGCAAGCAAAGGGGCAGTGAGTAACCTCACTCGTCAAGTTGCGTTGGATTACGCAAAGTACAAGATTCGAGTCAACGCAATTTGTCCCGGATGTTCGTTTTGCTCCCCTTCCGTCGTTCTAGCAGCATACTTACCATGGAACACAGACACACAGACAGCAATGTTCGCCGAAACAACGACGTATAAAAGCACAGTGGATGAGTTGATGGCGCTGCATCCATTGAATGGACTTGGTGTTCCAGATGACATTGCAAAAATGGCGGTCGTGCTTGCGAGCGCGGATGCAGGGTGGGTCACTGGTGCTTGTATTCCTGTTGATGGCGGATATACTGCTCAGTAAGGGAGGGTTTTGAAGGGGTGGCAGAGATCACGTGAATGAGAGTGTGTTGATGTATCATGAGTCCCGAGGTCTATTTCTAGATATGCTAAACTGATCTATAACTTGATGCTTCCGGAACTACTCTGTTCGGAAACTTGGGTAATGAGGATTCCTTTCTTCACTGCACTTTCGATATTCTCCAATACTAGGAGCTCCATGTTTCGCTGCGAAATTAATGTCAGCGTTGGTCACAAAGTGAAAAAATGGGACTTACCTGTGTCTCCTTCGTCGCTGTTCCAATGTGAGGAAGTAACACCACATTAGGATTATCCAACAATCCTTGATGAACCTTTGGCTCTTTCTCATAAACATCCAAACCCGCACTGAAGACCTTCCCACTTTCCAATGCTTGCACCAACGCTTCCTCATCCATCAGCTTGCCTCTCGCCGTATTCACAATGATGACACCGTCTTTCATCATCCCAAACTCCTTCTTCCCAATAATGCCCACTGTCTCTTTCCTCAAACTGCAGTTCAAACTCAACACATCACTCGTCTTGATCAATTCCTCGAAACTGACATATTTCGCTCCTTGCTCTAATTCGGGAGACAACCGACTACGGTTATAATATTGGATCTTCATTCCGAATGCTCGAGCTCTCGCAGCAACTTCTCGACCGATCCCACCCATACCGAGGATACCAAGTAGTTTGTTCTGAGGATCATATCCAAGTTGTGAATTTCCTCGCCACTTGCTGGAGCGGATGGCGGAGTACGGAATATGAATCCGACGAAGAGCTCCCAACATGAGGAAAATGGCAATGTCGGCAGTGGCATTGTTGACTGCTATTGGCGTGCTGGAGACACTGATGTTTCGAGATGTGCATGCTGCGACATCGATGTTGTCGTATCCTGCGCCGTTGTGGCAAATATACTTTAGAGATGATGGGAGCTTGGATATCAATTCTGCATCAAATGGTCCTGTGATCTACCCAATCCTTTTCAGTACTTGAATTTTCCTTTCTCTCGCTGAGAACTTACGGTTGTAGATTCGTTACTTCTATATAAAGCCACAACGTCATTGTAACTCCCACTCTCGATCTCTTTCAGAAAACCTGCTCTTGATTTTGAACCCTTGAAAACCTACAGGAAATTGTGAGCCGGAGAAATTTTTGTTCAAGAATGATAACACATACCTTCAAATCTGCAAAACTTCCAAGTTCAGACCATTCTTTTTGAGAATGAACAATATCCCCGATCTGCAGTATCGCCGGCCGTGACATCTCGACGGAAGATGCTGGCGAATTGGTACCATGGGACGAGGATGATGAGCTTTCTAATGTCATTCCACTAATATTCCAAGAAGAAACTTTTCAGTGCGAATGTATGAAGGAACGAGAAATTAGAAAAGATTGAAGAAAATCTGGAGAAACGAAGTTACAAGAAAAAGAAAAAGGCCCGCGTGCCCAAGAATGGCGGGGTATAACCGGCATGTCGTCAATTACCTAGATCGCCGCCATGCCAGACCCACCATTCTGGACCTCTGACCATGAGCTGTGGTGTTCGTGCAGCGGGCTTTGAAGGGGAAGATTTGGAATGCTGTATTTTGTGGGGGAGAAACGTCAAGTCATTTGCCGAGATGGATGACTTTGGCAATAGCCGGTGGGGTCGGTTTCTGAAGGCTGGAGACCATCGAGGTATCTCCGGGTCTTGTTCCTTTCCACGGACAGATGTTTAAGTCACGGTCTAGAAACTTGAAGCTTGAATTGCATTGCAATCTGTAATATTTCTGAGAAAAGAATAGTAATTGCGAGACTCAATGGTTCCTGAAGTCTGTGGGCGAGTAAGCGCCTACAATACTCTGACATCATCGAGTACAGATAGTTTTTGCTTGTTTGGAATTTATTACTTATTCCCTCTTATGTATAAAGTATATCCAGTACAATAAGCGTATGCTTTATCTGGGTACTTGTACCTATTGATGTCGGTTGATGTCGTTCCATACTCGGTCAGTCCGCGAGTCACGTGGCTGAGAAGTCTCCATGGTGAAACCATTCTATTCGAAAATTTGTTTAATCAAAATATTCAACTTGGCTCTCGTGATCACCCATGGTTACGATCCTACTCAGAATTCCGATCTAACCCTGGAGTTCGGAGTCAGGTAGATCACGTGTCATAATGGGCATCGCACTTGCTCAAGAGTAAAAGCTTAAATGCCAGTTACAATCGTCGGCATTGTGTGTTCATTCTCAAGAGTCTACTTAAGGGTAGAGACTGACTGATTCAATATCCTTGGCGTTCATATTTGTGTGCACCCCACGTAGAAGCGAGAGAAAAAGGAGAAAGTACGTGGCCGGGCGCAAAGCTAGAGGAGTAGCCGATGAATGATGCCTAGTAGTGAGATGCGTCGTTGTAATGCAGACGGTATCAAAACGTAATTAAGATCTAATTGCAAGATTTTCTCGAAGTTCTTTAGTAAGCTAGAGCTGTCAAAGTAAGTTCCCGTTCAAGAGTTTGGTAGCGTGCGAGATGACCTCCAATTTATGTCACTATATCCATATAGCTCCAAGCACGGTGCATCAAGTCCATATTCAAAACGCTCTTGCGCAGCTTGGAAGACGATCCTTAGCTTGAAGTATTTTCTATTTAAGACTTCTACATCCGCCACACAGTACCTGCTTTCTCATGAAGCATCTACACAGATCAAAGCAACATATAACTTCAAAACACACAGTTTCGACACGTACAACCTCAAAACATACAGCTCCAAACTCTCTTCTCATCAATATGGTATCTTTCATCTACCTCACTGGAGCCGTCTTAGCTTTATGCACCTCGGCCACAGCTGCACCTCTACAACCTTGGAAGGCTCATCTCGGTGTTAGTTCTTTCTTCCACGGTCCCCATTTCAATGGCACCACCTTGAACAACACGGCCCCAATCATCATCTTGCAAAGCAGGAGCCCCGATGGCTCCGCCACCAGTCCCTCCATGAGCGATCCATCTTCTGCGAATACCACCCACAAATTCTACCTGAACTATGCTTCCACTCTACGAGCTTCCGAGAAGCAATTCGGCAGAGACATGAAGAAATGCGGCAAGAGAAAGGATTGCTACGCCCAAGCGTGCACCGATCTCTTGACTTACATAGACGACGAAGTCAGCTCTAATATGGTGGAAGATCTAGATCTGTCCACTAGCCACGATAAGGAAGCTATCGAAAACTTTAAGAAGGAACATGAGGCTGATATATCCAACATACATGATATGTTTGTTAAGTTGAGCGAGACGTGCAAGAGGAGGGGTTACAAAACAGTCACTTGTATCAATGGACTCCCGGAGCTGCTGGCGACTCAGATTGAAAACCAAGAGATTCATAAGCCTGGCTTTGAGGATTCGGTGGATCGCCTTGATGAGTTGGGTTTTTGAGTTTTCTATTGAGGATGTGCAGGGTCTGGTTGAGTTCCCTAGACGGAATTCTCGTGATATCTGCTTGTGGAGATACGGTTATCTTGCATGCGTGCCTTTGTAACTTAGTATTTAACATTCAATAAATTGATTTGACTACTACCAGCAATTCGAAACGTGCATGTACAGCTTTTGCTTCGCCCTAGCACGATGCCACCACCTCGCATCACTCATTTGGTAGGCAACTTGTAAGTCAAGAAGCAATCGTAGAAAACCTCTGAGTCCGAATCCGCATGGAGCGATAAATTCACTCATATCGAGCACTGCAAAGTCGTTGAAGACAAAGATGAATGCAGATCCTTCCTGAAGCCGGCAGGAGGCTGGGGGATTGGACTTCTCGGCTAAGCACGTAAGAGGCGCAGAGCCTTGGCAACCTCCACCTCACTTCATCGTCATGAAGACTTTCTGTGACTTCATAGAACGTCCCAAACACATCAAGCGCATCAACTGACATGCAATCCATCATGAAACTTCACGAGAATGCAGTCGCCGGTCGCTGCCTCTCTTCTCTGCTCATGTTGTCGTCGATGGTGAACCTTTCCACGGCAAGTCTTCATCCACAACCAGCTCAGTACCATTTTGCATCTACGAAGAAAGTAGAATGGAAAGAATGTGGTGATATCAATAATCACACAGTTGAATGTCCGCGAATCGTCCCGTCCCTGGAGTTTGAACTGTACTGACATATTCGAGGTGCCCGAATCGAGGTCCCAATGGATCACTACAATCCATTACCGGAGAAGAATTTCTCAATCCCGATTATTAGAATGCTAGCATCAAACACATCAGCTAATGGCGACAAGTCAATCTTCTTGAACCCTGGCGGTCCTGGAGGTATGCTTCCCATCAATTGTACGCGATTCTGGCTAATCCATTTCAGGCAGCGGGGTCAACTTTCTATGGAGAGGTGGCGAAAATCTCAACAAGATCATTGGAGAAGGATATCACCTGTTAAGCTTTGATCCTAGGGGTGTTAATGGTTCAATCCCTCAAGCTATTTGTTACGTCACGCCTGAGCAAAGAGCTGAGGAGATTGAGAGCAATCCATGGAATCTGGAATTTGAAGCCGGGGAGATGTTCACCAGAGCAGAAAACAAGGGGAAAGCTTGCGCTGAGACAATGGGCGAGCATGGCGCTTACATTGATACTCTTCAAACGGCTGCCGATATGAACTCGATTCTTGATGCTATTGGACAGAAAGATATGTATTACTGGGGATTCAGCTGTAAGTTTTCCATCTGTTCTCGTGGGTCAAGCTAAAATGAGCAAGATGGAACGACCTTAGGTCAAACATATGCTCAGATGTTTCCTGACCGTGTAGGAAGACTGATCATTGATGGTGTAAGTAACCTCGATGAATGGTACAATGCATTCTTCTTTGAGGAGTCTCTGTCCGACACCGACAATGTCTATGCCGGATTTGCGAAAGAATGCTTCAAGGCGAAAGAGAATTGCCCCCTAAACTCGATCAAGGAAAAGCCATTCGAATCAGCCGCCGATTTGCAAAGCCACCTCGACGATTTCCTTTCGCAACTGGAAGAGGAACCAATACCTGTATATCTCAACAACACCAATTATGGATCAGTCTCTAGGATCAGCCTAGCACTCAACGCGATCTTCCCGTCGCTCTACAAGCCATACCCAACTTGGCAAACTTTGGCAAAGAACCTTGCGGAACTTCTCACAGGAAATGCCACTGCAGCCTTCAAAGCCTACTCCGACTCGTGGGTCGCAGGCATCATAGCCGATGAAACCAATACATTCGTCATCTCAAACGACAACTTGAAAGCAGGGGCTGGAGCACCAGTCCACGGCGTGAAGCCAGTCAAGAACTACACGATGTCCCTACCAGAAGAGTCGAAACTTGTATCGCAGTACCAAGGCTCTGATGCCTTTGATCGAGCGTCTTGGGCAATCGCCACAACTCACAAATTCCACCCTCGATATCACCCAGAATTTCCGAGAGTCAAAACGGCACATCCGATCTTGGTACTATCCACAACCTACGACCCCGTCTGTCCTTTGATATCTGCGAAGAAAGCACATGATAGCTTCGAGGGAGCTGGATTCATTGAGCAATTGTCGTATGGTCATTGTACTATAAGCATGCCTTCACTATGCACTGCAAAGCATGTGCGAGCATATTTCTACGAAGGGAAGTTGCCAGAATCTAGTACAACGTGAGTCTATTACTCCTTGCTTAAGTAAATTCTCGCTAACAGTCTCCAGATGCGAAGTTGAAGGGGAATACTTCCCTGCTCCAGGAAAAGCGGCACAAGTCCTCGATCATGAAGATGCTGAATTGCTTGCTTCTCTGGAAGCATTAGCTGCTGCAGACTTGATCAAGCACCAGCCGTTCTTGAGAGGATTCCGGGTATAAGATGTGGATCTCGTCAAGCGTTTTTTCTTTCTTTAAAGTGACTGGGTCCGATTGAGGATCACGTGGCTCACCGGCATACAATATACTTCTGATACTACTTGGGCCTCCATACATAAGTTAAGGCTTAGAGACCCCAGCCTTCCTCACTTTGTAGTACATTCAGGTCTTCGCGGTCTCAAAAATATTTTCTTTCGACTAGTACTATCTGCTGCCTAAGAATGTCGCAAAGCAGAATGTGTATGTTGCATTTTGTACGATTGGAAATACATATTGTACATGCAGTCTACTCTGCTTCCGTACCATCCTACTCCCAAGTATCAGTTTTCCAATTTTTGTTCTTTCTGATTATCCCCGGAGGACCGAAGCTGTGTTACATATTAGCATTAATCAAACATATCGTCCATCCTCAGAAACTCACCACCAAGAATTATCCCTCTTAGAATACTCCGCAATACATCTATCAAAAGCGTCCGGGGTCAAGTAGCCCTGGACCGGTATCTGAGGCGTAGGAATAAATCTCTTCGTCGATTCCGTATTGATCTGTTGGCGACATTCTTCTTTGTCAAAATCGTACCAGTCGGCCATGCGATAGAAGTTTCTAGAGAACGCATGCCGCCTGAAGTACTCCATTCCCTCTGCGAAAGTCTTGACTTCGGCAGCTGTGGGAGCTGGGAGCGCTCTTAGTGCCACTGCTGGTGGCCATCCGGCTGGCAGTCGGCTTACTAGACCTATTATTGGAGTGGGTGGTCCGCCTAGGTATCGATATCTGGTCGAGATTAGTAGTATTTATTGTTTAGGCCATTGTTACTTACTTAAACAGGATATCGTTGTTGTTACAGAATATCAGAAAGTCCTGCCACTCAAGGGCAGTCAGTCCCGGTAGACCACCCTCTCGAACGATGTAGGCGTAAAGAATGTGCTCCGAGACCTCGAAATGGAAAGTATCCCAAGCCAGTGTTCCTTGCGTGGCAAACAAATAGTCACGGATGACTGTAAACTTTGGACAGGCGGGTGTAGGAAGTGTTGCATTTGGATCATCGTTTTTGGTCGATTCGGCTTTCCTCGCATAGAACAAGTACGATGGTACAGCATTACGTATCGCAGTAGAGGTAGCGACTAGTTGCGCCATGCGGTTGGAAATGTCTTGGGCTTGCTTTAGTCGGCCGTTCTCGGTTTGGGCAGAGAGAATGTCAGCTGCACTCATGGTGGAGTTGTCGATGGGGATGTAATTTCGATGCATTGGGCTTCCTGGGTCTACTATGGATTCATCCTTTCCCGATTCAAGATACTCAAAGCCCATGGGAGCCTTCAGGAAGTGCAATCCCGAAGGACCGTAACTAGCAACTTTTAGTCGTGGGAGACACCTAGGTATATATACTCTTACCGCTTTACATAAGAGTCCCAGAAATCTTGGCGATGTTCGGTGAAAAAGGAGTCTAGATGGATTGGGAAAGCAGTACTCTTATTCCAGTCCTTTGGTTTAGCCAACCTTTTCGGTGTATCTGAGTTCGTCAATTCTGAAGACTCTGAACAGTTCCATGCTTCTCTAATTTTGCTAAGTACGGTATCGCAGAAAGTTTGAGGCTGTACCTACGCATATGATGCTGCCTCTGGAATTCCTTTTGCGTTAACTCCATTGGCCGATACAAATGGATGATTCAAAGTGCCCCAAACCTGTCTCGTAGCATCAACGACAGATCAATCTTCTAATACAGTAAAGTGAACTTACCGAGTTTTGCATGGAAAATCCTCTGGATAAAGTTAGCAAACACGCAAGAGCAGCTCACCGAGTCACGTACAGCTCGCAGAGGACTTCATCCTGGTCAGCGAGTTTGCATTGAGGCTCGATTGTTCACAAACCGCGAGTTCATGGAGGATGCAGGATGTCAGGGTGTGTATAGCGTGCAATTTCTCTGCGGTGTTTAATTTCGGATTCAGTGTCGGATTGACCAAGGGTTCGATCAACTGTATAGAAATATAAATTCTCGTATTCACGGTCGCGGCCCCTGGAAGGGTTATGCCCTTTAAATATGGCCGTAAGGTATTTCTGTGATGGCTGATGAAACCGTTTTGGAAGTGAAATTCGATCTTTTTACTGAACTTTTTGAAAGCTGCCTGGACTTTCTCGTATACATCTGGATGATTTTCGCGTTCGTATTCCGGGCGCCAGATTTCAACAGTGTCGGAACCGCGTGCTCGTTTTAACTTTCCCCAGTCAAGTTCACTCCTCTTCATCTTACTATATTTGCCGTACATTAAAGCATACCACCTACGGGTATTAGTCGGAACATCTTATGACAAATATGGAGCCCTGACCATTGTAGCGCATCAGATTGATATAGATATTGAGTAGCTAAATGAAGTGATGGGAGTAATGCTACCCAGACATCATCGTTAGAGGCCTGCGATCGTCAGCTTTCCTGCATACTTGTGAAGTGTCTACCCACACCTCATAATAACCAGACCTGCCATTCTTCATTGGAAAATCAGCTTGATTCAAAACCGGGACTGGCAGAAACCATCTCCTTTTTTCGACCAAAGGATGAAGGTGGTTAACAGAGAGAGGTTTGTATTCGTCACCATTTCTCATGGGTGCAAGTGCTTCGCTATCTTCTAGTTCTTTCGTAGTAAATCCTGTACAGAGTGTTAGTGTATAGCGTATCGGCAGAGAAATTGTGATTACCTTGAAATCGGTGTCTTTGATAGCCTGACTGCATGATATATGCTGTTTTCTCTGCAGCACTGACATAGAAATTAGGATCAAGAGGCGTAACACCACTTTTCAGAGGTAATTGAGATCCCAGTACACTGTGATCTCGGCGTAACCGCATAACTTCTGGATCGCGGCCATGCTGAGGGTGGCTATATTTTTCAGCTAACGCTGTGAAAGCTGCTGGCTGCGGTTGAGCCGCCATGTTTAAGAAGTAGAGCGTCAATTCTGGAAGACAGATAGCTATTGAGGCACGTTGAGAAGCTTTCTCGCGCGCGAGGTCTTTCTGCCTTTGTTCTTTGTACAAGATCCTGGTGATATTGTTCTACCCTTTTGTTGTGGTTGCCGAACAATCATTCTTTGTCTTGGTGATTTGTGTACTGCACGAATCTGGCCGCATTCGTAATCATTTTAAGATCACATTAGTCATATCAAGGTCTCATCTCCAAGCTCCATTCGAGTTTTTGAAGATCGCATTTTCTCGGAAACTATGTCTGTTTTGTCTTCATTAAAGCACGTTAATTGATTAGAGGATTTCACATTTTCATATAATTGAGAGGATTCTTTAATTGTTGTAAATTAGTGGTGATTGGGAAAAGACTTTTATTCATATTTAGGAGGATTCTTCCACTGTTCACGTTAAGTAGTTACAGTTCCGCTGTTCTCATACCTTGGAGCCAGCTCACAGGATGACGCAGCAACTAGTTTGTTCTTTCTGCCGCACTCCTGTGCGTTGATGATGACCGAGATCATCATCTTCATTATCCACAGGTTGACGACGGACAGGCTGCTCAGGAGGAGGTTCTTCCACTTGTATGAGAGATTCTGCTCCCCATCGCTCCAGTTGGTCGTTTCTTGGTTTCCAGCTCGGAGTTTGCTTCATCTCATGTTGTACAGATTCCAGGATATTGCAGTCTACCTGCCAAGGAACTTCCCTTTGCAACTCCCTCTGCAAAGCCGTGATAGAATTCAGCCACGGCGGACCATGGCCCGTACCCAGACCTCCTTGCTCTGCATTCTCTGTTCTAACACATTCGGCGCACTCGCATCCGTACAAGTCCAGGAACGCAGACAACATGGTATGAAACAGAGTGCAAAGCAACTGCTCAGCGAACCGTGCAGGATCCTGTCCTCCATCCCATGTATTAATCCTGACATTCTTCGTCTCTCTATTGTAGAAGCCTTGGCGCCTACTATTAGGTTTATTGTACAGACTAAACCCACCTTCTAGTCCTCGACGAATCAAGTTTCCGAAAAAGAAAACAGTATCCAGGATACCGACCCATGATTCGAGAAAGAAGCGGATATCAGCCGTAGGATGGACGCCGATGTCAGCTGGGAGAGCAGCGCGCAAGATACCTAACTGGGTGTTGTCTAAACGAGTAGCGAACCTGGCTGGGGCGCCGTCGGCGTTGGCTTGGAGTGCGTGAGCTAAGTCCCGAGTGTTATATGCTCGATATGATGGGTACGGGAGATCGGCTAGGATTTGGGGATGCGGTCTTTGTTCTTGGGCTCGGTCAGCTGGGGTTCTGACGGATGGACGACGTCTTGAAGCAGAAGCACGCCGTTGAGAAGGACCTCTGCCGGAGCCGCTACGCGATGGGCGGCGGTTATGACTGTTTCTTCTACTTGACATGATGTTTGCTGTTGATGCTATTGGGTAATGATATTTTGTGAAATGATAATACTTGCTGGGACAAAGAATAGTGCTTTCGGCTAACTCATCGAATCTATACTTTTTATGCTTGGACTTTTCTGTTATCTTGTTCTGTCATCTTGTTCTGTTCCTGACAAGTATTCACATTCTGAGAATCAAAACTATTCCTTGTCGTTTTGCTAGAGTTTTGCACAATGATACTCAAAATGCTAGGGCTATTTCGCTAAAGATGGATGGCTCCCCCTATACTACTGTGGGGGAGGCAATTGGCTCATTCTATGTCCTTAATAATGGTTTGATCAACGTAACCCAAGATGAAATTCGAGACAGTACTTGGAAAGCAGCTAACAAAGAAGAGAAGTGACCTCCACCGGTCGCTGAGAATCACGTGATCTCTTAAATGCTCAACGTTCTCAAGATTGGCGTGCTAGAAATTGGCTATCAGTCATGAATCATCTCCAGGGGTATATCTGAAATCTAGGTTGTAGCGAACAGCCATAAAGCAAGAAAACTTCAACCGTCTATTTTCTGCTTCGCTCTCACATCCAATCAAATTTAGGCACCGGCATAATCCAACCTCACCCATAAACAACCTCAATCCCCTCCCATCTCCATCAACAAAATGACGCACCACCTCCCCCTCCAAGACTCCGATATCCCAACCGTTGCGCGCTTTATCCATCTATCCAGCCTCCAGCAGGCGACAAATAGATTCGTGTTCAAAGACTGGCCTGCCGAGAAGACTCAAATTGCCTTTTTCGAGAGGAATCTGAGGAAGGCAGGGGTGCGGGGGTGGAAAGCGGTTAGTGGTGAGGGGGAAGTTGTTGGGGCTGTCATGTTTTCTAGAGAGGAAGTCAAGGGAGCGGGGATGGAAAACCGAGATGAACAGGTTGCTGGGAAAGGGAGGGTGGTGGAAGGGAGAGAAGGTTTGAATTTGGAGTTTTTATCTGTGTTTAGGGGGGCGTTGATGGGAGCTCAGAGAGGCTTGGAAGGGGTTGATCATCTTGGTATTTAGTCTTTCTTCTGTTTCATTTCTTGACTAACCAACACCGTTCAGTCTTGGACTTCATTTTTGTCTCTCCATCGCTACGAAACAAAGGACTTGGAACGCAGTTAGTGGATCTTTGTTTGGAGAAAGCGAAGGAAGAGAAGTTGCCGCTGAAAGTTTGTTCTGTGCCGTCCGCGGTGGGATTCTATAGGAGACTAGGATTTAGGGAGATAGGTTTTGCTGATCTTGATTTGGCGGTGTGGGGGCCGGAGAAGGGAGGATTTGGCGTTTATAGATTTTGGGGGTTGGTTTACGGAGAGTATGAGAGCGAAGGAGTATGAGTGAGTGATAACATCAATTAATGATTACTCCTTCATATCTAAATAAAGCTTTGGCAATCATGGCTATACAAAGCTCCATCTTGTTTTGGAGCAAGTGTCGTATGCATGCTCTCTCCCATCTTAGCGAACATTTGTAGAGACTGTTCGTCTAAGAGCTCAAGCACAATTAAAAACCAGAACAGTACTTATACACGATTGACTACCCCACCGCATCACCATATCTACTCTACAATTTATCCAACACCCATCAGTTCCTCCATCCTCCTCCTCGAAACCCACATCATCATCAGCCCTCACCCTCACCCCTCAACAGCCAAGCAAAACCACCTACTATCCCCAACCCTCCGAAACCCCACCCCCTTATAAAAACTCCTCGCTCTCTCCAACGCCCTCTCTTCCTCCTCCTTTTCCCTACTCCCCTCCTTCTCACCCTCCAAATCACTCCTGATAACCCCCGGCTTAACAAAAACCCACCTCACACCCCCCCTCGCCCCCTTCGCTCTCTCCACCAGTCCCTTCACCAAAACACTAGTAAACCCTTGTCGTCGAAACTCCCTCTCCACTAACAAATAACTCAGGACTAGTATCCCGCCTTCTTCTAGCTCTTTTCCCCATGGAGAGGAGGGAGAGAGGGTGTGTTTCCGCATGACCGTCCCGTCCGCGTTGAAAATTGCCACTGCGAGCGCCAGGGCGTCGGAATCACCGTCGTTGAGGGATTGGACGGATTGTGCGAGGTGGAAGGTTGGGCGGTGGGTTGAATTCGGGGTTTTATTCTTGTGGGATTTCTTTGTGGTGAGAGACGATTTGAGGGCAGCGCGGTCCAGGTATCGCGCTTGGGCTTGCCCGATGCAGTAGTCGGTGATGGGGTGTTGGAGGAAGAGGAGGAGGGAGCGGGAGAAGTGTTGTGTTTTTGGGGAGGTGTGGGTTTCGTGCATGAGGAGGGGTTGGAGTTTGGGTTGGGGTTGTTCGGGGGGTGGTGTTGGTGGTAGTTCTTCTGTGGTGGTGGTGAGGTTTTCTTTTTCGTTAGAGGTTTCGATGGTACTGGTTATTGAGAGAGATGGTGTTTGAAGTGGAGTCGAGATGGCGAGGTTGTTGGGTTGGTTTTGGAGGTCGTGTAGTGGTGGGAGAGCCATTGCGCTTTTTTTTTTGTTTCAAGGTATGCCAAAAGATGAAGTGTGTTGGGGATCTGAAGTGAGTACAGAATGTTGCATGCAAGAATTCCAACTTTTCTCTGTGGTTCTTTTGTGTTATACATGCTGCGATTTTGTTCTCGACTAGTGTTTATCAACTAGTCGTTTACACAGTCCATATCATAATGTCGCGCCAACGCACCAAAACTCGCAAACTTAGAACGCACTAGCATGAACTTATGACATGAGATGGGAAGCGATGACTCAGGGTCCCAGAAAGTTCTTTGTGCAAAGAGTACCGTTTGAAATCATGGGACACTGCTCGAATGTTCATGACAACATTCATGACTAGACCAGGCCGTCCCGCGCATTGCCTCCAATTACACTGCTCAAACACGCACGATAGAAATCAAGAAGACGATAGACTAGTAGCTTTTGTTGGATGCCATCTCAACAGTGAGTTATTTGTTGCTGAGTATACTTGGTTTCTGCAGGTTTTCCGTGCGGATGCTGGCACTGAGGAGTACTAGCTTTGATTTGAATTGAAAATCATCCCGACTAATTTTTGCTACAAGGAGAACATTGCAGATATGGTGATCTAGACTTTACGTGAAACTGGAGATGAGGAGAAGCCTGACATGGGAAACGCAGTTTGCATAGTAAAGATACAACTACTGATCAAGGCTACTCGACCAAGGTACGTTTAAAATATCATCAATCAATCTCCTGCTGGGGTAATTTCCTCTGCTCGCATACCAAGCTCCGGTATCTGAGGTTCACTCCTTCTTTCGCCTTCCGCCTTCATTTCTGAACCTTCTTTCCTCACCTCCTCAATGCCCCCATTGCTCCGTTCATCACCTTGCGCCCCCTTCACCCCACCCCAAGCACCATCCAAACACGACACCGGATGAAACACCCCCAACGCCGCAACAGCAATAACCATCAATACCCCCTCAAACCCAACGAACAACCACTGATTATGCGTCAACGGTCCATTCCACCCCTGATTCAGCTCCGCAACCCTATACACGCTCCGCCAGAACACCGCAATAGTAGCAATACCCAACGCCCAGATAAACCCTCTGAACCTCCTCGATGTTTTAATCCTCACCTTTCGACAACGAACACGGAATGCGAAGTACATCGATAGGAGAATGAAATGGAACAGCGTGTAAACCTGAAGCGCAAGACCGGCTATAATAACATCGTCGCCGACCGCGAGGCTAGAGTTGGATTGGAGCGCGATGGCGGACGTTGCTCCGCCTGCGGCTTGCAGGATTATGGCTGCGATGTCGCAGGGTATGAACTTATTTCATCAAAATCTTGTCTTTCGAGAGATAGAAGGAGGACTTACGATCCTAGCAAAGTACCTTGGAGGAATCAACGAGTTCTCGGCTCCATACACGGCTACGATCTGAGCAAGACAGACGTAGATGCCGGCGGAGAAGAACGCGGGCGCGATGGTGAGACAGATGGTTTGGATCAGGAAGCCGTTTTCGTTCCATTGGTTGGTGTAGGAGAGGATGCGACCGATGTAGCCGATGATTTCGGCTGTGATGCCGAGGAGCATGGCGGATGAGAAGAATGTGCCGCGGCGTTTGGTGAGCCATATTGAGAGGTAGAGGAATAAGGAGAGGGAGAAGAAAGTTAGGAAGATGGCGTTGGGTGGTAGAGAGATGCGGTAGTTGTAGAAGGACGAGTCGACGGGACAGGTGTGTACGGTGCAGTTTGTGAGGGTTGTTGGGTCGATGTAGCTGGGTGTAGACATGTTGCTAAAGGGATGCTATCCCGACTGTGGGATTCTTCACGTCGTGTAAGGAAATCAGAGAAAATAAAAAGAGTGGCTTTTACAGATGAATATAAAGAGACGTCGAGGGTAAAAGTTGACCAGTTTTGGCAACAACCATTATTTCATCCGACTGCATGCAAAGAATCGCGTGTGTAACTCGAAATCATACCAAACTTTGGGCAGCGTAAAGCATTCCCAAAGAAGAATGCAAGATGCAAAAAGAAAGGCACAGTATGATGCTGATTGGAGGTTTCAAAAGTGTTGCCTGCAACAGCGAAATAATCAACGGCGCAGCTTTAAGCCGATAACGAGACACGGAAACATCAAGAGTTCGAGACAGATTTCTTCAGAACAGAAAGTGATACGATTATCAAAGTTGGTTATCATTTGAATGACTAAGAAAGCGGTAGTTGCTCCTGGGCTGGTAAGAAAGTAGGAGTGAGTATCCATCACGTGAAAGTCATGTGGAAGCATACTGCACGCCCAATCAACTCACCTGCACACTTGGGCGAGGCCATTGTCCATCATTTATAGAAGATTACTCTCACGGCTGATCAAGACAATTCATATTGGAGTACCTAGGGAACCCGGAACAGTTGCAGGTCGCATTCTCACGAGCACGTGACCAGGCAATCGAAGTCGCTGATCCTATGTCGCAGTCATCGAGCAGCCTGTACAGAGGCATATCGTGAGAATATCAGACATATTCCGCATATATTGATGATTGAGACATATCAAATCGAGAAAGGAAGGCCTTCACTACGAAAGCTTCGCAGAATGCCCGCTTCCACACTAGAATTGATACGACAACTTGAAATTTGGACAACCACGGTCTCTTCGATAAGATATTATAGGGCGAAACATGTGAAAGAAGTTCAAGCTTTTTGACCCTTGATGCCGCCGTGAACTATTGAAAGTTAGATTCCGGACGACGGACTCTCGGGTGTTTACCGGCAGATGGGAAAGGGATGAACCGATTGATGCCGAGTGAGACACAGCGCTACGGAAGATTGACGGAGGAATAGCAGTGGCAAAAAAAAGACAAATTTTAGATGCGAGATGATGACAGCACAGAGAAAGATGTTGAAATTCAAGCGAATTGCTTGCATGAGGCGAAGAGAAAAGGAGGTGGGAAAGTTCTGGACATTAAAAGCAAGAATACGAAAGGTGGGGCTGATGCGGACTTAGATGACGAGATTGAAGCAGGGAGAACAGTCAAGCAACCCTTTCCTTCGAGGTCCCCCACTTCTTCCATGATCCATCGCAAAAGCTAAGACGCTGATGTCCGTCGTATTGAATGTGATTAAGAGCCGTGTGAGAATGCTTCAATGCTTCATGGTCAACTCTGCCGAGTCCAAAGTCTGCAAGCTGCGACTTATCTGTACAGAGAGTGGCGTGTCGATCTCGAATATTGAAAGTCCATGCCGAGGGACTGCTGCATGTATGTTATCTGTTCCTGGTGTCTTATCTTCCTGGCGTTGTTGTAGCTGTGCGCCACTGAGTGCCATCCCGTGCCGCCGCGATAGAAAGGGGAATAGAGGCAACCTTATTTTGACCCCCTAATGAGGATTAGTCAGGTACCCGAGGCTCGTGCACTTCTTTTCTTTTCTTTCCGGCTTCCGTCAGACGCGATACCTGAACAACAACATTGCAACGACGGCAGATTGTTTCACGGACCTCTCACACAGCCTCATCAGTTCCCATCTTCTGCTCGCAGGCCTATCGTGCTTCTTATGGATCTGATCTGGTCGGTCGGTCAGCTTCGCGCCCGGCCTCACACCATGTCGGACGATCTGTTCTAATTCAGGTTTTTCATTTGAATCCACTCCGTTTCCCTCGCATACGCAGCAACTGCGTGGCGGGCCCACAACATTTCTTTTCCCAACGGCGCTGACGCACGTGCAGATTCTGCGTTGGTGCCCACATAAAACTGCCTCGTCGTATCAACGACGGACGACAGAGCCGCTGGGAAAGGGGTCTTGCTGTTCATCTAATGTTTGCATCGATTATAGCAATGATCCTAACTCATCCGGTCCCGAGAACCGTCTTCCAAGCGTGGGAAGAGTGAGCCAGATCCTGACCCTTTATCTTTGTGATCGAAGTACTTGATTGATCGGCACATGCATCTCCCGTCAACCTCCAATCGAATAAGACATAGCGATATCTTGACCCATCAAACAGTCCTAACATGGCACGATCTTCCGACTCAGACAGGGAACTCGGCACGAAAGTTCAGGGTGTACTATTTGGAGCTGCCAAGCTTGTCAATATACACGCCAGCGCGTGCGGGCTTCTTCAGTTCCCGTGTGCAAGGAGTTTCCCGCCGCGATTCACCCACGATATCCCTCTAAGTTCATGGCCAATCTCTGTCCGAGTGGCCAAGAGGCTCAACTACTCAAGCAAGTTGAAGCTTTTGTCAACTTTTAATTTCATGAGACCCAAAGGAGGCTCGTAACCCCACTCCAGTGTGAAAGGGGCAAGAGACCTTGAGGAATGTTCGCCATAATGACCACTAGCTTGGCATTTGGACCCTCTTATCGGCGTTGAATTCTTTTTCTAGACTGCGAGTGGGTTGGGCAGGGGAGTGCAGGTTCAATCAGGCCAAAGCAGGCTCTACATCACCTTATCACTCTTCGTGTGCAGTGCCTTGATAGCAAGGTCTGTGGGTATCTTTTAATCCATAGTCGTCGCCAGCTTCCCCGAACCTTCTTCTTCACTCCTCACTCGTAGTCACACTCGTACACACACACTCGCTTTTTTCCTTTCTTTTGTCCCAATCATAATGCCTTTGTTAAAGAAGAAGCGGCCGAGCCTCCAAAGTCCTCAAGATGGCCCTTTCCCAATGATGAGTCGGCCTGGGACACCTACCTCACCACCTTCACCACCTTCGCCTTCGTTCATCTCTAATGGCGCTCGAGACTCGGCTTCACCTTCGTTTGTCTCTCATGGAGCCAGAGACTCGTCCGCGTCTTCTGCATACTTTGTTAATAGTCAAGCCAGAGACTCGGCATCATCTTCTGCATACTTTGTTAATAGTCAAGGTGGATCTTCAGTCAATTTACTACAATACCCTCGACCGACCTATCTTCATCACAACTCTTCGTCATCCTCACTAACATCTGATTTCGATGGTGCAACTATTTGCCAAACACCCAACCCAGAGAAGGCCTTTGAGAAACCCTGGGTAGAGGGTGAGCTTACACCGAACAAGTTCAAAAGGTTCAACGGCAGCACAAATTCCTTCTTCAAACATTTCGAACCCTCATCATACTCGATCGAAACGTTGAACAAGAACGACGATGTGGATCTCCTTTCTCCATGGCGCCGGAGACTCTATCGTCTATCGCCTCTATTCACATTCCTCGCTTGCGCATCGTACTTCCTCTACTACGCCTACAGAATTCATTGCACGATCGTAGCTCAAAGATCATATCACAAGACTTATGTGATGGCATGGCTATTCATTTCCGCCGAGGGTTGTGTTGCTTGTAAGTACACCTCTCATTCCCATGATTCACTGCTCATTATTATAGGTCCGGCGCTACTTCATCAAATGTATCAAATGCTGTCCATTCGTGGCCGTACTCGCCCTAAGCTTCGGATCAGAGGAAACGACGTTCCAACTGTTGATGTATTCGTAACTTGCTGTAAAGAAGATGTCGATATTGTTTTGGACACCACTCGCGCAGCAGCAGCTGTTGATTATCCACAAGATCGTTTCCGAGTTGTCGTTCTTGATGACGGCAAGGACCCCGAATTAGAGAAAGCTATCGAAGACCTGAGCGACGAGTATCCAAATGTTTACTACCACGCTAGAGTCAAGGTCAAGGGCAAGCCGCATCATTTCAAAGCCGGTAACCTGACTGGAGGAACGGAACGGGTCTCTCAGCTTGAGAACGGGCATGCTGAGTTCATCGCTGCATTGGATGCTGATATGATTCCTGAGCCTGACTGGTTGCGCGCTATCATTGCTCACATGGTCAACGATGAGAAGATGGGGTTGGTCTGCCCGCCTCAGGTAAGCTATCACTCCTAAAATAATGAATTCGTGAGATGCTAACAGCGCAAGTTGTTCTACAATGTCCCAGACAATGACCCTCTCTGTCAATCCCTCGATACCTTCGTCCATGTCATGGAGCCTACCAAAGATGCCAACGGCGTAGCATGGTGCACCGGATCCGGCTACGCCATCCGCCGCAAAGCCCTCGAAGACATAGGAGGTTGGCCCGTCGGCTCCCTCGCCGAAGATACCTTCACCTCCTCCCTCCTCCTCGGCCACGGCTGGAAAACCGCCTTCTGCCACGAAGCCCTGCAATACGGCACCGTGCCCGACACCTTCACCGGCCACCTGAAGCAACGCACGCGCTGGACCCTCGGCACGCTCCAAACGGCCGTCAAACTGCGCTTCTGCCTCTGGGGCGACATGGTCAAAGGAATGGGCTTCTTCGCCCGCCTCTCAGCCTTCGTCTTCGCCATCGACGCCTTCTTCAAGATCTTCCTCGTCATCGCCCTCCTCACCATCCCCATCGTGCTCATCTCCGGCGGCCAGCTGGTCGCCTATTCAACCCAGGCCCAGCTGCGCTGGCAAATCCGTCTTGGATTCGCGAACCTGATCCTCACCCGCCTCAACGAGTGGATCACCTACCTCCCCTCCGGCTACCGTCTCGCGCAGCGCGACACCGGCGCCCAGATGTGGATGGCGCCCTACCACGCCATGACCATCATCCGCTCATTCATCCTCCCCTCCTGGCTCGGCGGGAAAAGCATGGCCTTCTCCTCCTCGGGATCCATAAAATCGGATCTCGACGAGCGCAACCCTCGGACCCGCGCCCCGCTGTTCAGAAGACTCAAAGTCATGCTCTGGGACTGCGATCTCTACCTCCACCTCCTGTACGTCCTCTTCGTCATCGCGGCCGTCGCGTACTCGACGACCATCGGCGTTCTGCGGGCGGAGAATATCCATAAATTATTCATATACCTGCTCACGCATGCGTTCTGGCCGCCGATGTTATGGTTGATTTGCGTGACGGCGTGTTGTGAGCCGCTCCGGTATGCGGTGTGGCCGCCGACGATGCCGGAGCGGGAGGAGTTGCTGGATAGGGATCCCGAGACGCAGATTGCGCGGCCGAAGGAGTGCTGGAAGAGGCAGAGGTATAGTAGGTGGACTTTCTGGCATGAGATGCAGTATTCGGGGGTGACGATCTTTACGGCTGTTATTTTCTTTGGGGCGTTTTTTGTGTAGGGGGTGGGAGGTGGGTGAGAGATGGTCGATGAATGAGTGCTAGTGGATGCATGGTAGATGGGTGGTGTCTTGTTTTGATAAAGAGCAACGAGTGAAGCGAAACGGTGCTGGTGGAGTAGTTGCGTTGCCTTTTTCACATGAATGAGCATTTATGGATGGGTATTGATTGATAGATAGATGGATAGATAGATTACATTAATGATAGTATATGGAAACGATTCGTTCAAACTCCTTCTTTCCCAGTTCCTATCTTCGTGGTGGGGAGAAGAGAACTCATTACAGAGGAATTCGAGCGCGGGAGCGCCTTGGAGGCTGTGCTTGCTTGTTTGTTTGTGATTCCATATACAGCTTACGCCCTAGGCTATCGCTAGATCTTGTTTTATCACACGTTTAGGTCTGATGTTTCCTTACGTACACCCCCTCCCTTTTTTAAAAAGAAAAAAAAAAAAACAGAATAAACATAAAGCCGGGCAGGCATGAAGGGAATCGATATCTTCGCCCGCGTACGTAGCGTGTGCCTTGTTCCCCCCTATCCTACCTAGATATCCACGGCGGGTGTAACCACAACCAAAAATTTAACTATACAATACAATACAATACGCTTCACAGAATGGGCCATACACAGCAGGCCTGCCTGCCTGCCTGCCTCCCGGGAGTTATCTGAAATCATCTATTATTACATGTTTCCCTCCAACACCAACACCAATCTCTAATCTGCCTCCTCCGATATAGATAGATATAAAAGAGAACAAAACCTCCAGTATAACCCTCGAATTCTAACTTCTTCTTCTTCTTCTATTCTATGTAGTCTCGGATGAATGTCATCTACCTACCTATACCTAGGGAGGATTTGGACGGTGATTTGTAGATAACCGGGGGGGAAAGTTTATTCAATAGATAGATAGAGAGGGAAATTTTTCATCGTGGGTTGTGAGAGGAGGGAGGGGGGGGGGGGGATGGGGTGGATGGGGTGGATGGGGTTTGGTTGGATTTTGAGGAGTGGAGTGGTTGTTTTGGGAGGGGGGAGCATGGATTATATTGTAATTGTGATGGGGGGGTTTTGGTTGGGTTGTAGGTGGGAATGGTTTTGTTTGGATTCTAGAGGTGAGTGGGCTCGAGGGGTATGAATTCTGCTGGGGGGTGTTGGGCGAGAGTCTCGGGAGTAGGTTGTATGTCAGTTTTGTTGTGGGTATGTATCCCTTAGATCAGAGGGACGGGTGACTGCAGTTGGAATTTCTGTAATTAGTGTAGACGTCTAAACACATTGAGTTCAAGCTCAAAAAAAACCCAACTCCATCTTAAATCTACAAATCACTCCCTCTCAAACACCCTCAACCCCGTTCCCCTCAAACTTATCCGTACTCCCCTCCCTCACTCCCACCTCCCTCAACCCCTCCCTCGCCCCCTCATCCTTAGCAAACAACCGATCCACATCCTCCAATTCCAACCCCTTCGTCTCGGGATAGAAAAAGAAAATCACCGGCACCCAACACGCATTCAGCACCGCAAAGATAATATACGTCCTATACCCCACATTCTGGATACTCACCGGCGTAACCATCACCACCATGAAATTAAAAATCCAATTACACGCCGTACTCACCGCCGCGCCGCGCTGCCTCAACCTCAGGGGCAGGATCTCCGATGGGTAGACCCAGACCGTGGCTTGGAAACCGATGGTGAATGCGCCCTCGAACACGAACAGCATGACGGCGGCGGCGATGCCGCAGGGGGTCGCGATGGCGGTTGCGTGCTCGACGTTATAGATCAGGCCGGTTTGTACGGCCATTACGGCTGCCATGAGGGTGATCATGGAGAGGAGGAGGGGCCGCCGGCCGATGCGGTCGATGAGGAGCCAGGGGATGAAGGAGGCGAGGAAGAACCAGGTTTGCAGGAAGCCGGACATGAGGGCCGAGAGGTGTGGGGAGAAGTGCAGGGATTTGGAGAAGAGGGTGTTGCTGTAGTAGATGAGGGCGTTGATTCCGCCGACTGTGAGGGGGTTAGCATTGGGTAGTAATGAGTAAAATGATTGATGGCTCTGAAGTTTTCCATAGAATGTTAAAGGAATTTGGTATGGGGTAGACTTACGTTGTTGGAACGATTGAATGGAACAAGCGATTAAAAAGCGACGTTGAGATTGGATTGAGTCATTATGAAACAGATCAGACCATTTCCCAGCACCGACAGAGGCTTCGAACTCGCAAGTTTGGACAATAGATGAATGGAGAGTGGTTATTTCGAGGGGTGTTCTGTGATAGGCGTGGAGACGAGTGAGAACTGAGAGGGACTCGTCTGCACGAGAATGTGCAGCGAGCCATCTTGGCGATTCGGGGACCAGGAGGAGAAGGATGAGCATTGGGAGGAGGAAGATGCATTGAAGAATGCATGGGATGCGCCAGGCGAAGGAGGAGGTGTATGATTCTGTGAAGCCGTAGTCGATCCAATACGCAAGAAAGATGCCAAGGTTGAGAGTCGAAAGTTGCATGCAGACATCTGCACTTGTCAGTGGAAGTTTGCGATTTCTAGGTGAAACATACATAATCCTCTTGTTGCTTTGGGACTGAATTCGGCTTGGAAGACTGGAACCGTAGAATTTATAAATCCCATCCCCACACCCGAAACGATTCTTGCAACAATCAGGTGAGTTCTGGTATAAGCAGTGGCTTGAAGTAGAGCTCCAATGATCATAATCACGACACCAATAGCGATTGATTTCTTGCGACCAATTTGCTCGCCGCAGAGAGATGTGGCAATACTGCCAAAGAAACATCCGACTTCATAGATGGCAACTATCAAACCAGTGATAGTTGCACTGGGAGTATCGAACGTGTCTCCGAATGCTGTGGAATTGACCAGACTGGATGCTGATTAGCTAGATCAAAACAAGACTTAACGGCACACACCCTCCCATGAGCCCATTGTCATATCCTATGAGAAGGAAACCAAGACAGGTGAGGGTTGTCACTGCTGTAAAAAGCAATCTTCCTTCGAGGACGGCCATGGTAAAGATATGAAATGGAGATGAAAACGTCGGATTGAGATAGATATAAAATCAGCAGTTGTGGTCGTCAAAATGACGCAAAACTCAGCACCAAGCTTGCCAGGACATGGAGGGACAGCCGTCAAACATATACACTATCCTCCTTGATACCACTCCAACGTGTACCCCGGTATACAATGCGGGGTATGGAACATGGGGAAGGTGAAGATGCAATCGAGGTTAGGTTGATATTGGTCTGAAGATAAGTGATGCATGGCTGGAGGTGAAACTTTCCTTTGTAATTTGAGGCTAGACTTCTTTGATTCAAGGCTTGCAGCGATGTCTCCGTGGGGGAAAGCTCGCATACAAAGTGGAGCCCAGCGACGACCAATTGCCGGGGTTGAGTGGATCTGAAAGACGTCGGGGATTCGGCACTTGCAGGTAGGTAGAGCTGCTGAAGAAAAGAGCGCAGGGCAGGGGCAGGGGCAGGGGCAGGGGCAGGGCAGGGTATTTCCCGAATGCAGCGGAAGGCAGAAACGAGACGAGACGAGACGAGATTTGCCCTGCGAACCAGGTTTTGCATCATCATCAACCCATTCATTATCTTCGTATCAACCCACACGCAAATCGCTCATCCCAACGCAACGTCTCGTATCGCATTGCTCCTCACTTTACCTACAAAGACCGACGCTCCCCTCAATTGCTGCCACCTTCCCCCAGACCCATCCTTTATCCCCACAATCCACCTCCCATCCTCCGCCCAATCGTGCATCGTCCCACTCCGGCGTGTGGTGTGACGGGTCGCGGCGCAATCAGCTCCATCTCGAGATTGCTTCATTTTCTGCCTGAGTGAGAGCTTCCGGTTCGATTCGCCGTCAGTCGCCGCTCCTCCGCAGCTGCTGCACCACGACATGTCGGCCCCTCAAAACATGCTTCCTCCTCTCGGCACCGTGATGGTTCCCCAGAATGTCCCTGCGATGGCTCCCATGATGCATTCGACACCGCCGCAGCAGACGCAATCGTCGTCAAACGCCGACTCCATCCGACCTCAGCAGACCCCACACAATCCCCCTTCCCGCCCTCCGCCGCACCCGCTTGATACGATGAGAGCCTATCGAGCGTGTCTCAATTGCCGGAATAGGAAAAGCAAGTGTGATCTGGATATCAACCGGGGGAGACCTGTAAGTTCTTTTCAGCTTCGACAGTGAAACTAAACCTTCGACGGATGTCTCGGCCGTTTGTTTGCCTTTGCTCGACAGCCCGATACTTAGTGATGCTTCGTACCAGTGGAAGTTTGTTTTGCCTACTTTGATGCTGGAGCCACTGAGCTATCATTGCAGCTTTCATTGATAGCAGCTTCATGCTTCTCATTCAAAACTCAATCTATCTGAGGTATATCGGAAGAGATCATTATCAAATCATCACGAGCACGTGACTGTATTATACCGTACTTTCTGCAGACTGTATGGATCAGCTCACAATGCTGACTCCTATACTTGTAGCCCTGCCGTCGATGTCAAAGAGAGAACCGAGAATGTGTGTTGGGAGAATCACATCGAGGTGGACGTCGAGTGAGAAAGAAACCAAAACTTGATGAAGGAGCCACAACAACTGAGAGCAATCAAAATACTCCCACGAATCCTTCGAATGCACCATTCAATAGTCCCGCTGGATCTAGTACAGCTCCAACTCACTTCAGTCCCCTTCAGAATCAGAGTCAACAGCTTCCACCTCCTCAACCTTTCCACAGTCGATACGATAGTCGTTTGGAAGGTGCTTACGGATGGCAAGGTACACCAAATACTGCGGGGTCCGATACTACAAGTGCATCTAGACATACGGAGCAAACAAATGTATGTTGAAGCATGATCTCTCATGAATGTGTCTAACCCTCGATTAGATCACCAGCCCGGCAATTGATACAGCATATCGAGCTCGACAAGAATCGACCGTCAGCCTTGCTGCAAAGTTAGGAGATCGGGCAAATGAAGGCATTGCATCAGCAGACCTCCAGAATCCATCAGACGCTCTTGAGATCCTAGCACAAGTTGCGGATAGAGCAGATGATGAGAATTCTCCAGAAGGTGGACAGACGCCAGGAAATTCGAAGAGCGTCAGACCAGTTCAACGACGCCAAGATCCCAGCCCGTCTAAGCTGGATGATTATTGGCTGTATAAGCCTATTCAAGACGGCATGATCAGTCCGGAAATGGTCTATTCATTATTTTCCACGTGAGTATTTCGAGAAGTCATCCTGCCCCTGCTGACAATCGCAGCTACGAGGAATTCTTTCATCCTTTCTTTCCTATTATCCCAAGACAGACTTTTGATCGAACACGACTTCCATGGTTATCACGAAATGAACCACATCTTTTCTCCGCCATCCTCACTGTCGCATCCAAGGATAACGAACGAGTGCATCAAATATGTTATGATCACATGCAGCAACTTGTCTCTGATATCCTAGCTGGAGCTGATGCGAATGTTGAAGCAGTAGAAGCACTCTTACTTTTATCACAGTGGGTATCACATCGTCCTCAAGCATCAGTTGCTGTTGGCCGAGGTGAAGAAGACAGAGTAGCATGGATGTACATTGGTACAGCTCTCCGGCTGGGTTACTTTCTTGGCATTGACCGAGCGGCTTTCAAGAGTGACTCGCATGAAGATCCAGCCATATTCAATCGGAAGCGGCTGGTATGGTCTGCATGTTACATTTGCGATCGTCAAGTTTCTGTTCGGCTAGGGAAAGGGTTTTGGGCACGAGGACCGGGACCACTTTCTGGACTGACAGCAAGCGACTTCCCTACTCTTCAGAGAACATCGCCAAATGATGATGACTGGGCTTTGATCTTCCAAGCAAACCTTGAGCTTACCCAAATCTTCTCCAATGTTCACGACATTCTATATTCATCCAAAGGGCATGGTTGGAAGGAGATGCTGGAGGGTAGATATGCCAAGTATCTGGATGACTTTCGAACAAGCATTCGAAGATGGAATGATGTCTGGGGGACATTGATATGTAAGTGAAGCATATTCTATATTCGTACTTGACTCTGACAACACAGGTTCTTCACGACTCAAAGCCAGTCTTCTCTTGACTTACGATTACCTACGACTCTACGTCAATGCTTTCGCCTATCAAGCCACGATATCTCGTGCCGTCACATTCCATCGAGATAGCCAACATAATCCCAATAGACCTATGCCTCTCATTAGTGCTACAGCCCCCGATGCACGATTCATCTACGAAGCCCTCGATGCCGCAAAATCCCTCCTATCAACCTTCAACAACTTCGTCGACCCTCAAACACTCCGCTACATGCCATCATCCTACTACCTCTTCATAATATACTCCGCCGTCTTCCTCTACAAAGTACGTCCCCTCCCCCTTTCCTTCTCACCCACACTAACCCACTTCCAGGCCCGCTCAACAACAACCATGACAGAAGAAGAACGCACCGGCGTCCGCCACCTCATCAACCAAACCATCGAACGCCTCCAACGCGCCTCCGTGGGCGCAAACCACATGGGCTCCCGCTACGCCCGTCTCCTGCAACTCCTCTGGCGCAAAGCCCCCAAACGCTCCGGCGCCCCACCTCACGCAACCATCGACTCTCGCCTCACCAACAACACATCCGCCCCCTCGGAACCGCAGCAAACCTTCGACCAGGTCACCTATCCCATGCAAAGCCAGAATTTCAACGGTGGAGGAGGAGGCTTCAGTTGGCTAGATCTCGGGGCGACGTGGAACTTTGCTACCCAGAATAATGGGGGCAATACGAATAGTTCGAGTGGGAGTGCGGGGGATGTGGGGGATGGGTTGGCGGATGGGGTGAGTCCGTTTGATATGAATCTTTTGACGGATTATAGTTTGCTTGAGGGGGATAATCCGAATTTGATTTTTTGAATTTTCTTTTGTCGGAAATGAGGAGGAGTTTGGTGGGCAAAATTATTGGAGGTTGGGGGTGTTGGTTAAGAGTGTTGGTTAAGAGTGTCGGAGTATTCGGTAGGTTGGTAATTGTTAATTTAATACATTATTGGACGCCGATTCTTCATTCCTTCTGCTTGTTCTTTAGACCCGCCAAGCGTACCTAAACCCGTCAAACCAGAACAAAAATTCTCCCCCCCCCTCATTCACAAACCAACACAAAAATACCAAGGGCCTCACGTCTCGAAAATTACTGAATGCTTTATTACATCGTTGTCAATTGTCTTTCAATGAATCCTTACTTTTGAATCACAACGACATCACTTTCTTGCCTTCACAATAACTTGATACCCAACTTTCCACTACCTTTCTCCAAGCTCCGGGAAGTATATATATATACCACCACCACCAGCCAGAAGAACAGTCTAACTTTGAGATAAAATAAATTTACCGCGACAACAAGGGACCATGGGGAAAGAATCGAGATATAAAACGAGAAAAAATTTTTTTTTTCCGATAGTAATTACTGGTTCCTTCCTCGCATTTATTAGCGTTAATAGTGACGAAAGATCTATTGGGTATTATATATAAATGCCGTTGGGGTGAGGACGCTGTTCGGGGTGAGGATGATAAAGATTATAATAACTGCTCCTCACGGGTATTAACAGTATAACGCTTTTTAGACACTAATTTCACCTGCACAAATCAGGCCTATGAAAATAAAAACTAAGAGTCGTCGTTTATAGAGAGGAAAGGGGAAACTATATATATTTTTTTTTGTTTGAGGGATATAATTCATTGTATGGTTTTTCGGTGGGGTTTGGATTGTGTTGGAGTATGGATTGTGTTATTGTGATATTATGGTTAGGTTTTTTTTTTGGGGGGGGGGTGGTGGCGGTTGGGAAGGTATATGGAGTTGTTAGCGGCTGCATTGTTTTGACGCTTTTTTGGAAATTAAATTTGTGAAAAGGGAGAGAGTTTATAGCAAGTCCCGTGGAGCTAGGCACAAGAGAGGCTAGGAGCGAGTCCGAATGATTTCCGTCGTTGGTAACGGATTAATGTAAAGAAAATCAAGGTCTTAATTTCAAGTATTGTTTTTCAAATGAATCTTTAGCTTTTGGATTTACTTTGAATTATAACGACGTCGCGATGATATTATATTTACCACTTTTTTGTTCTCGTTGAGAAGGTCTGGAAAACGAATATATATGAGCGGCCGCACAGTCCGCTTTCTGGAATTCTACAAACAAAGAGGGTCCACAAGAAAGTCCCATGGAGTGGGCCAGGATTGAGTCAGGAGCGGGAGCGGCCAGGAGTAAGTCAAGAGTGGACTAGGAGCGGTAGGGCGGCCAAGGAAACGGACAAAACTGTCTGTGTTTTTCTATTAAATATAGTTCATCATATTGGCTTTTAGTGAATCACTTTCTTGTCTTACGAGAAGACTATAACAACAAGACAGCATCTCGATAGGTTTAGAAAACTATATATACCAGCGGCCGCACCCTCCAACGCTTTTTGGATATCGATAGTTGAACCTCCTCATTCCAATGCAAGAAAGGGATCAAGTGCGGCCGGGAGCGGCCGGGAGCGGTCGAGGAAAGAGGAGAACCGTGTTATTGACTTACATGTTATTATTGTTAATTAAATCCTCACCTCTATTTCCTTTCTTTCAACATGACAACAACCACCACGAAAACAACACAAAGAGGAAACGTAGTGAAAATTTCTGATAAATAGGTAAGAACAGATATACACACGGCCTTCTCCTCAATCTCTCGACCTCCAGACCAATCGTCCTGATTAAGCAGTTGTTGTGTTCCAAAAAGCGTTAGAGGGTGCGGCCGCTTGTATATATAGTTTTCTAGATTTTAGAAATAAAGTTTTAAGACTTAATTATGACATCATCGCAAGTCATTGTGATTCAACGTGATTCAAAAGCTAGGATTCACTGAGAATTATTCACCTAATTTCTTGATTACTTTCTAGGTCTTTTTGAGCCCTTGTTTTCTGTTTCAGAAAAACTATAAAAACACCTCTCCACCACAATCTAGAACCCAACAACAAAAAGGCAAGAAATTTGACCAGGGTGCAGTATGTTGGGAGTCAGTTTCGTAGTTATATGTATTTTCGTTTGTTCGAGAGATATAATATTGTAGATTGAGATATTTTCTATGTTTGAAGGACTTAGATTCTTAACTAAATGCCTAGTTAACAACAATAAATCATTTGACAGCGCATTCAAAAGATTTTGCTATCCCGAGATAATCGGTTTGTCAAGCATTTCTTTACACCACCCTTATTTGACTTATAACACAAACCCGACCCAATCCCACTCCCCCTCTTTCTTCCACTTTGCTTGAAGATCTCCGATCTAACTTTGGAATTCTATTGTCTAAGAGGGGTTGTTCTGCTTGTATTTATAGCTAGCGTTCGTAATTTCCAGCTTCCCAGCCTTGTCTATCTTTCCGCCCCCCAAAACATTCACCTAACAACATCGACCGATTTCCTGAACACCCTGCTTTGATTCTTCTTTCTTTCGCTCAACGCGCGTCGATAAATACGACCCTTCCCCGCTACAACTTCAAACCCAAACAATGCCAGCCTGCGATTGCTGCCAGTTTAATGCTCGGAGTCTCTGCTGTTTCTGCGGCTTGTTTGTAGTAATAATTGAAACATTTTCTTTCTATCTAGAGAAAAACTTATCTTTATTCTTAAAGAGTGGTGGGTGTTGTGTAATTGACAACGACCAATATTTGACAACGCTCGCATTATAACGCAAAGAGGGGCATTTCAAGCACTTTGTCTGCACAAGCATATATTTCCCGCTCCTCTGTGGTTTGACGGCAGAGAAGAAGCACGACTTCCACGTTGCATCCAGTTCTCGCGTTCCTTTGAGTTTCTGGTCTTGAATAGGGGGTTTGTGGTGTTTTTATAGCTAGCGTTCTAGATTTCTAAATGTTCAACTTTCCAGCCTTGTCCACGTTCAAAGCATTCACCTAATTTACCGCTTCCCAACCTTCCTTGCTTTGTTTCTATTCTTCGCTTTCGCTGACGAGAAATACAACTCTTCCTCCTACAACTTTAAAATCCAATAACGCTACGCTGTGATTGCTGCTGGTTTGATGCTCGTGGTCTCCGGCTCGCTGATGATACATATCAATATTAGCTGGAATCGTTGCTTTGACGATAATAGCGGAAATTATATGTCGGAAAAATAAATTAGAAAACGTTTAGTTAACAATAGTGCATAATTTGACAATTTAATATGGATTAATTTGAGCTTTTTGATGTTGAAAGGGGGTTCCTTCAACCTACGAACTCACCGGTAGTTGTTTTCACAAATCATAGTTACCACATTTTCTGTGAGCCTAAACTTATCACTTGTCCAAGAAGATAGTACTACTATACCAACTTTTCGAGCGTTTTGTGTTTGAAAGGAAGGTAGCTTGGGCTGTATATATAGACAAATGTCCAGCTTCTCAACTTTCTCCTTCCTCGGAAAGATTCACTTGACGAGCTCGACTATTTCCTTGTCCACTGTGCTTTTCCCCTTCTCAAGAGACCTATAAAAAGAGACCTACCACCCACTGAGGAACAAGTAAGATTTCTGGCAAGTGGCCCAGCTACTTGGCATTTTTCTGATTTGTTAAAGATATTGTTTACTTTGAGTTGGAGTTTATTTTTTTATGAGGATAGTTTGTTTTTGATTTTGGAAGGAATTAGACGCAAGCGTTATGTAGTTGACGACTATAGATGAGTTGACAACATTGTAGGTCGAAAAATATAAATAGCTTCAAATTGTATTTCCAGCTGATGCCTTTAGTTCACCCCCTCTGACGTTGATGAGAAAGTGGAGATCATCAGCCCCGGCTCCTTGCCGGTTTTCTTGCCTTCCCACAATGACCTCTCCATCTTCGAAATTTTGGGGTGATGAATTCTGACAAGTGATGGTTTGGGTTATATTTATAGATTGTGGCCGAGCCGTTTCGGTCTCCAAGAATATTGCAGTTCTGAAGTTATTCACTCAATCCCCTCTCTTGGAATCACCTCTCTATTCACCTTATTTTCTTTTTCCTTTCTTCCGCTCCAAGATTTCTATAAATACAACTATGCCTACAAGATCTCAAAACGATTAACTCCAAGTGCCGTCAGGCTATACCTGCACATCCTCCTCTTGCTCGTGCCTTACTAGTAATAATTCGAATTACTTATTTTATCGAAAGTCTTTTCTATGGAATTAACGGATTTGATTCCAAGATGAATCGTGAGCATTTAGGAGTTGACGACAATAAATAGTTCGACAATGCAGCAAGCCATAGATTCGAAATTGCAAATACTGAGGGAATCTTTCTAGCCAAAAAAAAAGACTTACTATCACGCTCTCTGCGCATGCTCTGTTCCCCAAAGCCGGTACCTAGTTATTTCCCCGGCGCGTCAGACTTTTCCGTTCTCTTTGTGGATTCCATCGATGTTAATTTTGAAAAGCGATAGTTTTAGTTGTATTTATAGTCAGCCTTTCTAGCTTACTCTATTTTCAAAACTATTTATTTGCTCGAATCTTTGAGCCCTGGGCTTGAAAACTAGTGATGGTTATTCACTGTGAATTATGCTTCTCCATCCTAAAAATAATTCACTTATTCCAATGCCTTGTGTCTCTCTCTTTGTTGCTTCATGGACCTCCAAATATCTATAAATACATCCTTCCTCGTTACTATGCCGGGACTTAGAGCTTGATACGAATTCTCATTTGCTGTACACCTTTTTTCGATGTTCTCAAGATCTCTGGCTATGTATAATCTGCGAGTAGTGCGAACCAATATTTAATGAACCTGATATCCTTCCTGTGCTACAGACAAGTTGAGTGTATGATTAACAGTTGACAATAATATGCTCTTTAACAATACAACAGCAGCAATGTTTCAATGTAACGCTCCCGGCGTACTTGGAGGAGAGTTTTCCTCAGGCGTAATCTCGAAATACAAGAGTGGTCTGGGTCAAATGGTTCTCAATTTCTTGCCAGTGGTGTCTTTTATAGACAGTCCATTCCCCGTAATATTGGTATTATCAAATTATTCACTTGATCCTCTTTCCTGATTCTTTATCCTTGGTGCTAACTCTCAGTCCCACGATACCGATAAATACAACCTCCTTAGCAAAATCTAAGAACAAGAAGAGCAAACCAACGTGGCCAAGCTTACGTCAGCGACACGGGATTAATACGGTGCTCTTCCCTCATCGTAATCGTGACTGGTTAGTCATAAGGTCATTCAAGTCAATTCTTGTTTACTGCTAAATTTATCCTAAGTTCTTTAGCAGTCGTTGACAATGACAAATATCTTGACAATGCAGCCAGTTGACAAGCAGAAGCTTCCTTTAGTGGTTTCTTTAGCTGTGTGGACTTTTATGTTTGACTTGCAAAGAACGGTCGAACACACTCAAGGCCTCTCCAGGAACATCGTTACGCCGGCTATTGCGTTTTTCGCTGATGTTTGGAGGTGGGCGAGTTGGATGTTCATATAGATTTTGTGGGTTGGTTTGCTAAGGAGAGAGGATTTAGTGAATTAGTGATGGTATGAGTGAATGATTAACTTGAAAAGTGGAGGGCTAAAAACACGCCATCCCTACTTCGGAACCTTGTGTTCTTACCTCGATCTCGAAATTCGTTTTACAAGCAACATACTTCCCTCAATACGACGATGAGCACTCTACTCTCAGCCAACCCACTCTACCGTCGCATCCGCGACACAGTCGGTAAGGGCAAAATCCCTAAGTCCACCGACTTCCGCGATTACTTCGAGCAATTCGGCGATTCCATCGAGAACTCCATCCTGCAAACGGCCGGCGACAAGAACCCGGACGCGAAGGGGATATTCACTCGTGGGTCTGCACTTTGCAGTCTCCTGCTTTCGAAATATCTGTAACGCACTCTCCCTGCTCGAGACTGAATAGTAGACCTGCGAAGGAACACCATGGAAGCTGCCAATGACTTGTGGATATTTTGCCGCCCATTCTTTTGTTATGTAGTGAAGAAACGAGTGAATAAGATATCGGAAACTCATGAGATGATCAGCGTCAAAGAACGATGTTCGATCAGTCTTTCATTTCGTCTAATGACATGCTGCAGTTAATAGCAATAAATGATTTGACAGCATGATATCTCGATTCAGAATAGGATTGGAACATGTAGCGTAGTCTAGTTCATAGATGTGATTACTAGGAAAGGGAGCTTTAGTGAATTGTATCCAGCGGGTGGAGACCATACATCTAACAGAGCTTGGATTGTTCTGGTAGGTTGGCGCCTTATCTCTGAGGCGACGACTGTATATATAGTCCTCCAGATTTCTAAGTTTGTGGAAAAACTTGGAGTGAAGTGAATTCATTTAACTTGACAAGTATGAGTCGCAATTGATTCTTTTCTAGAAATTATTCACTTTATCACTTCTTTTACTTCCTTGGAAATTTAGTTTTCTTTCCTTTAAATAACTATAAATATATGCTTCTCTACAACTAAAGACCCAATAACTGTCGCAATATCACAAGCACAATAGCCTCCACTCAAATGAGCTTTTAGACGTCTTCGCAAACAACCTGTGAGACTTAGGCCTCGCTATCTTGGCTCTCTTGTCTAGCCACGGCTAAACAAATTTTAGTACAATAGAGGGTAGACATTTGGGAGTTGACAACAACGAGTTATCTGATAATGCAACATGTCTTACACTGGCAATTTTTGGATTACTCACTTCAATCTGTAAGCAGCTCATTTTCCCCGTGTATGTTCGTTGCAACGGGAAGAATTCCCCTCCCTTACTAAGTGTTGACTTCTTTCCACTAACTAAGCGCTAACTAATCCTTGGATTTGGAGTTCGGTTTTTTGTGGTTCAAGCTGTTGAATTCATAGACAGACCTTTGGTAATTGGTCTGGATTTCGAACTGCTTCATTCACTAGTCTTTGTCGACTATTCTAAAGTTCGAATTGCTTTATTCACCAGTTCTTCCGCTAGTGTATCTAATTTTTTCCCGAAACCGAAACACTTCCTCTGCTTCTGCAATCCTGACAGGTATATAATCACGCACGTTCCAAAAGCTAATGACCAACAGACAAAGGAGACTGCATATCATAAAGTTGATGGGTTCTGGCCAGGATGTGCGGCGCCAGATCCCTGTTGTGTAGTACGGCGACAACGGGAATCTGGGCCAAGGCACTCTTTGGTATGGGAGCTCCAGAGCAAGCTGCACGAGAGTAAGCAACGAGTGTTTATTTGTTGACAACGGTAGATTGTTCGATAATAACTCCACATCATGTAAGATCAGTAAGCGCATTCGAGTCCTTCATCCATCAACATAAATGCTCGACCTTATTCTCTAAGATGTGCAACACAAAATGTTATCAATGTTAAGAGCATCTGAGTTATTTTTGGTGATACCGTCCGTTGGATTATGAGAGTTGCTTATATGTGCGAAGCAAGGGAAAACTTAGCATATCGAGAATACTGCATCCCAGAACAGCGCTTTGAAGAGCATGAATTGCTCAACTCAGCTTAGACATTTTTACGCAGAAAAGCGTCCAACTTTTAACAAGTACTTCAAATGCTGAAAGAAACCCCTCTATTTTCCATATATGTGCTTTAAACTACGTTTAGTTGTTGAACTTAACCTAGAAACCTTCATCCAGAAAAATCTTTAACCCCTGACAAAGTTCCCTATGAGCAAGAGCGTTTCACCCTAGAATAATGTTGTGAAAAATACGAAGGATTCTCTTGGTGTATACGCTCAAGCACATACATCCACTTCAGTTGCTCCCAGAATTCTATACCTTAACTTCTGCAGCAAAAGCGGCGGCCGTTTCCTCATCCCCTCAAAAGTGACTTCTTCGGTTTCCAAAGTATGGAAGAGGATTTCGTATGGTGTGTCATCCTGCTTGATCGGCTTCCAAAATGTAAGAGTGTTCGTTGATAGAAGAAGCATCGTTTTTGTTCCGTCTACAAATCCATCTTCGAGCACTGAGCTACAAAGTGAGTCAAAATGTGCTTGCGGCTACATCTCCTTTGGCAGATGGTGCACTTAACAAGACCACAGTAGACGGATCCATGGTGAAAATGCCACAAGTGAAGGTAGTAGTAGACCGTTTTTGTGAGAAGTAGGAGCGGTCCTCCAGGGTGATTTTCGTAATGATAGTCTCCACCACAGTTGCAGGGTACGATGTAACCACTGGCTGGATAGTGGTGACTGTTAAGGTCGTGATTAAGACTTCTCGCGTCACTAGGACGAAGTCTGAATATCTGATCTCGGTCTTGGTCGTTGACCAGACCTGGGTAGAATAATCTGTGCCCGCTGAGGATGACGCTTGGCTAGTTTCTGTCCTTGCGGCAACAGAGTCGACTACGTAGCCGAGAATGATGACCAGAAACTGTTGGTTGAGAAGCTTCATTTTGTCAGATTCTAGTAGAGATATGTTACCACGAGAGTGAAAGGAGGGCAGATTTCCATCTCTTTATGTATTGTTTGAACAGTCTAATTAAATCATGCTGATCTTTGATATTGCAAATTAAGAATATCCCTCTTTAGGCTTATGATGCGGGGGTGTTATACTACTTCGTTCTGTATTTAACCAAGCGATAGGGCTGTGAGGAAAATATGCCACAGTCACACACTCAACCAGTCTGAGTTGTCACGGACTTGACCACTTCCTACTCACCTTATGAGAGCACGTTTATAAACGTTGTTAAGCACCCTTCTGTATCAAAAATATGTTGGACGGATCAATAGGTATGACAAGATGAGGTCTGCTCGTGAGCAGGTTTGGAACTTTCATTACAACTTCAAAAATATATCGCCTCGTGTTTATATATTCATCGTGCTATTCTTTGCTATCTTTGTTGATCTTAGCTGTTTTCTGCGCATGTGCGTTACTATTAACAATAGCTACGGTTACTTGATGAGGGACGCCTTCACGCTTGCGGGATGGGTTCTGATTGTGGGAGCTTTCATCTCGAGTGCCATCCTGGCATACGGGCATTGTAAATGCAAGTATTCTGAGTCCTGAAGACGCATTGATCTTAATTTCTTTCTCATGATGGCCATGAGCTGCAGACTCTTGCGGAGTTGCCAGGTCAAACGTTCAGTGAAGATTTCGGGCAAGACACGGCCATCTCCATTAGAACAAGGCTGAAACTTTAGTATTGGCTCATCTAGGTAAAACACATGTGTAGATAAGATCCTAAATAATCTGAGACAGGGAGTAGGTGGAAGTGTGGTGGTCATTGATTGGGCAGTCGATCTTCCTTGCTCGGCACTCAACTCGCTCTTCGGGGCGTCACGGACATTCAGAAGTTCCTGAACGGCCGAGTCCTGCGTTGGTGAATCATCCTATCTAGTGTTCTTGTTCAGTCCTTTGTCTCACTTTCGGTCCAATGGTACGCCAGCTTTCACGCAGTCGTGCTAATCAAAAACTCGTGCGGACGAATTTTCGCGGACGAAACGAAGCGGAAATTTTTTCCCTTGGAGATTCTCCTTACTTAAAGCCACTGATTTGTATTTTCACACAAAAGTGGACATTTTCAAAATCCGAAATTTCTAAGCATTCCAGTCGGTACAGTTCTCGGCGGACGAACAAGGGTAGGTAAAAAAGCACACGCCAGCACTAAATCAACCTCTGTGTACTTATACCAAGCCAGAGGATGGGCGAGTAAAAACACATCACTTCTCAGACCTCCCCAGATCCTTTTCTGCGCACTCATATATTCAATCTTTCGAATTAAAATAATGTCAACCACAAGCAGCACGACCGAAAAGATCGATGGTCCGGCACTTGCAGATGTTGGAGAAAAGCGGGAAAGTAAAGGAGATGTAGAACATGGGAATGAACAAGTCGAGGCTCCTGATGAGGTGGGAGAGTATCCACAAGGATTCAGACTTGCCATGGTGATTCTGGCTCTCGTACTGGCCGCCGTTTTCCTGGTCGCTCTCGACTTGGTAAGTTGACAGAATTAGAATCATGATATCGTTTACTGACAATATCGCCAGACGATTGTCGCTACAGCTATACCTCGCATCACAGACGAATTCCACAGCTTAGATCAGATTGGATGGTATGGTTCGGCATTCTTCCTCACTTTAGCTTCGTTTCAGTCCTCCTGGGGCAAGGTATACAAGTTCTTTCCAATCAAAACATCTTTCATGATTGCAATTGCAATTTTCGAGCTAGGCAGCTTGATCTGTGGTGAGTAATGATACTCTGACTTCTTTGAAAGACTCGAATTGACAATGTACCATAGGGGTTTCTCGGAACAGCATCATGCTCATTGCAGGCCGAGCTATTGCGGGCCTCGGGGCCTCAGGCATTTCGACGGGCTGTTACACCATTGTTGCGTTTGCAGCGCCTCCGAAACTGCGTCCCGCGCTCACCGGTATAATGGGGGCAACCTTCGGGGCTGGCAGTGTTGTTGGGCCTCTATTGGGTGGTGTTTTCACGAGCAGTGTCTCTTGGCGATGGTGGTAAGTCTCTGGTTGCAGTGAGCTCGCTATTTCCGTCTTGCGATTGTCGGGTATGATAGGTACGCCAGCTCTGGGATGGACATTGCGGACCTTCTCAGCCAGAACGATATTCGGAATTTTCTTTGCACATAGGGATGCTGCTCGAACTTAGCTAACATGTTCAAGTTTCTATATCAATTTACCCATTGGTGTTCCATCGATCGTCGTTATCCTGCTCTTGTTCAAGACGCCATCAAAAGCGCAACCTTTGAAGGCTCCACTGCTGGAAAAGTTCTTGCAAATGGACTTCACTGGAACCGCCTTGATCATGGCATCCACAATTTGTTACCTTCTCGCCATGGAATGGGGTGGTACTACCAAAGCTTGGAACTCGGGTTCCGTAGTTGCTGTATTGGTTCTTTTCCCAGTACTGATAATCATCTTCATACTGAATGAATGGTGGCAAGGTGAGAAAGCACAACTCACTTTCAGGATATTGAAGGATAGGGCTATGCTAGCAATTTGTCTGTTTGCTTTCTTGTAAGCCCATATCTATCTTGGGAAAATCTTATACTGACAGTTTCGAAGCTTTGCTGGTTCTTTCTTCACTTTACTCTACTACTTGCCCATCTACTTTCAAGCCATTGATGGAGTTTCTGCGCAAGCATCTGGTGTGCACAACTTGCCTCTCATCATAGCCATGAGTAAGTCAAACCGCACCTATCGAAATTCAAGCCCCACTAAACTTTCTAGCAATTACGAGTATTGCTTCTGGTGGACTGATTTCCGCTTTCGGCTACTACCTCCCAATTCTTGTTAGCGGTGGAGTAGTGACCACAATCGGCATGGGCCTGATCTATACTCTCGACATAGGCTCAAAGTCTTCACACTGGATCGGGTATCAGGTTATAGCAGGCTTAGGAGTAGGATTTGCGTTCCAAGTCCCGCAAATCGTCGCCCAGTCCATTTGTGAACTTTCTGAAGTCTCACAGTACACTGCCATAAGCCTCTGTAAGTACTCTCACTGCTAAAAGAGCGAAGTTTGTATTGATGATAGACAGTTTTTTAAATGATGGGCGGCACGTTCTTTGTCTCTGCGGCAGATGCGATCTTTTCAAACAAACTCGTTCAGCACCTGCAAGTCAACGTTCCTGATATCGACCCCAAGATAGTGATTGGACTTGGCGTCACGCAGTTCCGAAACTCGTTACCTGCAGCTGCTCTCCCTGGTGTTCTGTTGTCTTATATACAGAGTCTACATGCTGATTTTATCTTAGCTACTGTGTTGGTTGCGGTGGCTACACTGGTCAGCTTGATTGCGAAGTGGGAGAAGATTAAGCTCAGAATTTGAGGTACATGGTCTCGGGCTGTGATCTCAAACCGGGAAAATGGGGAAATATAGGTACATTAGCAGGAGGTGGGCTACTACAGGGGGGTAGTTCTCTATAGGTATTTGTGGTGGGAAGTTTGGCTCCTTCATTTCTGAATCTGTGCTCCTCTCTTGGAGTCATTGTACCGTAGAAATTGGAATATAAAATAATATTGTTCTAGAAGTTGTAAAACAACATAAATAGATACTAGTAGGAGAAGCAAGTTCTTCAAGATAGAAGTGAGTTCGGATCGTTTTTGTACCACTTTATCGCTCAAATCCTATTTCGCACTTTGGACTTAGCCCACTTATATTGTCTCACAAACTCTAGAACAATATTACCCATTCCTAATTTTTCACGGTGTAACACCTGTGCAATACTTTACATGTGTCCATTCATTTGATAATCAGCATTCAACATCCAGCTCCAGTCTTGATCAATATCCATAGTAAGTGCATCCGGGAGAAGAATATCATCGGGAACTTCCGGTCGGGAAACCGAGCCTGAGTTTTGCAAACCATTGCCGAATGAAAATGCATTGAACACATCGATGTCGATGATCAGATTGTTTGCTTGAGAGCTGGTTGCTGGTGGGTGGTCAATTTCTTGTAGGTGGGGTGCCGTGGCCTGTGCAATCCCATTCATGAAACTGCTCACAGGAGCTACATTTATTATCCCAAAGTACGGAATGAAGATCTTGCGGTCAGATGCCTGTCCGTTGCTTGAGATTTGGCCATCACCAATGGACACAAGTGTTTCCAAAGCTTGAAGACATTGAGCCGCAATCAAGTTCTCCGGCTCGGCAGACACCACTTTCAGAACCGCCATGGTCTGATACACTAGATTCCAGTCTTCCGTCTCTTAGCTATAATTCCGCGGTGCAGACCTAGATCTGTAACCCAATAGCCCAAGAAGCACGATCACAACAGACATGAAAACCTGGAAGTCCACGAGGCGGCAGAGATTGATCCTACCGCCAGCAAGCTCGCGCATTTTGATGTACACCTGCACGACTTTGCGGGACCCTGATATACAGACTGTGCGGTTGCAGTCGAACTCGCCGGAAGAGGGACTTTGCAGCATGAATGGAAGATGCAGCATCGATTGTGCTTGATAATGCCACAAGTTGGTGATGATACTCTCGTAATTTCCGAGAGTATCCTTTCTACTCTCAGTTTGAGATGGCATGGTCGTATTCCAGGATATTGGTTGCAAATGACTGGAAAGCGCATCTAGTTCCTGATTGATTTCCATAGTGGTCGTTAACGTCGTATTTGATGAAATTTGCATGGCTTGGTTTCGGTCACCTATCTTGCTGATCACGGAAAAGAGTTTTTTTCTGTAAAGGTCGAAAGAAATGATGCCAGGGCCGGGAAGAAGCTCGACCTGTGAGTCCAAAAGCAGGGGTCTTGCGAAGCTTTGAAGGCCTAGCATCAGACTAAGATAGGCATCAACTTGTACCATGTGCCACCAAACATTCTCTCGTCGTTGATGATGCGGTGATGGATTGGCTGATACTTGGGTAGTCTTATGAAGTCCCAATAAAACCCCATGACTGAGGGCCTTCCTGATAATTGTCCATGCCTTGCGCGGACGACCAACATCGCCATAAAATTGACCTTGAAGTAGAATGCACTCGATACCCTCCAGCGACAATGAGATTTCATCATCACATACGATCAATTGATCGATACTTGCCACATAATGTTGAGTCAAGTCTTTGAGGGGCATCGGTAGGTTAAGGTGACTAGTGTCGTAGCTCGTAGGAAGACATTGCATGCTTATAACAAGCCAAGATAGTGCAGTTCCAAGAATACAAGGATTATCTTGATCGAGAGCCAGAAACACATAGTTTTGGATCGACATTTTCTCGTCCTCGCAGCACATGTATGGATGCAATGTTCGCAAGAGATTCCACCAAATCCCGCCGATTTCGAGAATCTCACAGATGGAAGACTGAGAAGGCAGTCGATCGGTGAGAGCCTCGCAAATTTTGGCTCTTTTGATCCTCGATGTTCGGAAGTGGGGCGTGCTTTGGTAATTTACTGGCTTGAGGGATCCGTTGCCAAATTCTCGGGAGATGGAGTCATAGATAGCGTTGTTTGTTTCGCTTGTGTTGAGGATAGCATTGTCGAATAGAGAGAGAATAGGAGGGTTGTTGGCCGTGGTGGGTGACAAGGCTGATATTGGTCCTGTTATTTCCGACGAAGTGCTGAAAGCATTCACGACTTGTGATGATGAATCAAAGTTTGTTTTTCCATCAGCGAGGAAAGAATTCTTTCGGGGCGTAAGGTCTTTGTCTGCACGGAGAGCTGCTAGCTCTTTCTCAAGTTGGGCAACTCTTTCACTCAGATTCATCCTCGCATGAGTGGCAGCAACTGGTTCGCTTTCTGCCTGACTCCTGCATCGGATGTTATGTGAGAAGCAAGAAATGCAAGTTGATGGATTGTTTGGGCGATACACGCATCGAATCTTACGGTGTCTACCTAACAGAGCAGGACCGTGAGCATTTAAAGTAATTTCTTTTGATATGGACTGCACTCACATTCGACGCAACTTTTGGTTCCCTTGCGTACAGGCCTCAATGCTGAATGACCCGAGGAGCTCGTCGACGTTTCGGACATCGTGCAGAATCTTCAGATTTGAAAAGGTACTACAAAGGTTTCTACATTGATGAATTTGTGTTGTGGCCAAAGATGCATGATGGGCACCAGTTTTCACGTGATCGGAGCAGGGGTCTCCGGACGAATTTCGACGGACAAAAACTTCTTGCGGTAGTAACAATTACAACTCTTTTTTTATCTTTAACAGGCAGCAGAGGTTTGAAAATTACTGTGTAGTTGATAGCAGTATGTACATTATTTCACCGGGCCTCAATATCTAGGATATTGAGCTAGCAACCTGGTGCGAGCAAAATTTCGGGAAAGGAAGGGGCTTGATTTGATTATTGAATAAGACAATACTTGGACAAGAGCAGATTCTGGCTTATATAAATCGTAGGAGGTCTCTGTATTGGGAAAGTTGCGTGGATTGACCTTTCTATAGTGGACTTCTTCCTTCAATATCTAGATTATGAACAGTATTGATTCTCTTGATCAGAGGCCAAAACTTCACCCGTGATCTCATCATACTATTCAATCTTCCTCCAAGACTAGAAGTCTGTAAATAAGCCTTCTTGAGTTATTCAGGAATGTCAACTTTGTACCTACAACACCTGTGTCATTTCATTGCTCGGAGGCAATTTCGCCGGCTTTCCAGTGTACTCGAAATTGGACTTTGTTGCCATGCAGAGCCTTTTGTTTTGTTGATCCGCCAGAACTTTTCCAGAGTCTCAGAATAAATTTTGGAGTTTGTAGGGGAAAGCCGAACGGGACTGGTACACAATGAAAGAAATCCGAGACTTGGCAGCGATCGTGAAGATGACAACAACTTAGTGACTTAGATATTTCAAACATAAATTCGAAAGCGGGTCTTCAGCTGCGATTGTATTAGGTCTTTGGGTGGGGAAAAGATTTAAAGTGGATCTAGCGAAGTGAAGCTGCCCTTCAACACATATCAACGACTTCTGCTTAAGTAGTTAGGCAACCAAGCTGCACTTGATCATCTTCAGTGTATAATTCACTAACCACTCAATCCACTGAAATGTGGAGTCCAATTTGAACAATTCGAATTAATTTCTATTGTATGTAAACACTAGGCCCATGCGGCTATCATATATAGGAACATCTACTCGGTCCATGCTACCATCAACTCTGCATCAACTCTACTTCGACCATGCTACCTGACTCGTTGCGAAACCACAACTCTAAGATGCCGATGACTATATTCTCAGAAGTCCCATAGAGTACCGAATGCGTGTAATCCAGCTGTAGGTCAAGGTTAGCGCGGTTCCTCGTTCGTGGTGGGTCAGGAAACTAATAAATACCTGCGCGACAGCCTTGCATCATTTCATCATTACCCTGCATGTTTGAGGTGATGAATATGACCTCAGCCCCAAAACTCTCCCATGTGTCCTTGAGTAATTGCACACTATCTGGGCGACCCCCGCGCTTCTTGGAGTCCCAAAGAATCATCCTCTCTGGCTCGATGTGCTTGTGGATCAGGCCCGATATCGTAGGCCCAAAAGTCCTTTCCTGGTCGGAGCCTATCCAAATCAGGAACCTAGCGGAATGTTAGGAAAGTGTCTCCGGAGTGGTGTAGAGTGACGTACCAGTTTGGGCTTTGTATGCAGGTAGATAGTGCTGCTCCAATACCTGTCCCGGTGCAAATGCGGATTCCCCTTTTAAACATCGCAGATGCATGCCCAACGCCAGCTAATTTATATTAGTGGATGCCTAATCGGAATCGAGTAAAGTTTCATACCGAACTTGAGCTCTCTAGTCCATACGGCTTTCGGCGGATCTGCAACAAGACTTGCAGTGAAGTCCCCTTGAACACCGCAGATCATATAATGATATGGAGATTTCCGACCCTCGCTGATGATCCCAAAGGCATGGTACTCCATAATTGAGGTGCGACTAATCCTGCCCAGGAGACCTTGCTGTATTCCGCGGTTAAATCGGAGAATGGCAACCTTGGCCGACGGCTAAAACCACATGTCAGTTGATTTCGGGAAGCAAACCGAGAATTACTCACAATCTCGACTTCTACGGGAACTTCTCGAAGAGTGAACCAAGGGATGAGGATGCTATACTGCATGAGTAATAGTTCCCAAACACTTAGATGAAACGTACAATATCGTCATGAATACCGCAAACCAGAGTTCTTGTGCGCTCAGCAGAGCGTGAGCGTCGGTTCTCCAAACACCGAGTGTGTAGTCGTAAGTATCTCCCAGAATTACAAAGCACCATGTAGCCTGACACGTATTAGTATGGCTTCAAGATTCCAATGGGATGCAATTACCGCCAAGCCAAGCCAGCCGATGAAGCGATGATGCCTCTCAAATATATTGTGATGTTTGCTAATTGAGAGATTAATTTTCGAAAGATGTCGTATTTGATCTGAGCACTTACTTGCGAATCCATGGGAAGGCACTCAGGACGGAGATGATCACAAGTAGATTTGTGATTATGCCAGTGGCAATCACAGCATCATGCTGAGTGTTGCGATGTCTTATAATATTGACAATCTTGAATATCAGCCATCTAGCGATACTGTCAGTTTTGACTGCCGACGAGATGATGCAATGTCTTACGCAGCGCCAGAAAGTGCACATCCTGAATGGATACCTCCGACATGTTGCAGAATCGAAACGACTCCAAGTTTAATACACACTGGAGCCCACTATTCAGATGTTTATCAGCACCAGCCGTATGATTGGTATGGAAAGTAACGTACACTTCGCAGGCCATAGATGGAGATTATGTATAAAAACCGCAGAAACATCTCGTTGCGCATCAAAATTGCACCCAGCAAGTTGCCAAGCACCAAAGCACCTAGGTGATTGTTGGCGTAAGGAAAACGGTTGAGCGATGCCATGATGATCCCGACAAGGTTGAGTAAGATGACAAAAGTAAAGAACTTTTTGTATGTATTGAACCAAAGTTGAAAGAGGATCCATCGTGAAGGTTTAGGTTTGGGCTTGGGTGCGGGAGGTTTAGGCGCCTTCCCTCCTGGCCATGATAGAGACAGGACTGGAACACTTGAGGAGGGTGTTATGCCTTCGTGGATTGGTGAGAATTGGGATCGGAGAGTCTCGATATAGACTTGTGACTTCTCGTCCACATGGGCAAGAGATGGTAACGCTACCAAACTCTCCGTGCTGGCGTATAGACCTTTCTCCGGGTCGTTTTGGGAGCCATTGTGGACTCCTCCGTGAGACCATGATGAAGACATCTCAAAGCTTCGAGGACCGGCTGAGTCGCAAACACTTAGTAGGCAATTCTAGCGAATCCGGAGGAGTTTGAAGATGTCTTCAAGGCTTCGAAGAAAAGAATGTAAAGGGAAGGAGTCCGGTCAGCACTTGATAGTCGTCATGGTGAAAATGATGGTGGGGGAAGTCATTCTAAGAGGCACCTCCCAGATATGTACAACCGTTCCAGGTTCCCGAGCCGCAACTCGAGTTCCAAGAACACGAGAGAAAATAGATTGCTGGAACAAACAATAGTCAAACCGATGCGGAAGTTGGTGTGTGGGGCCCATTTTTGTTAGCCCAGACAGGACGAAACACCCACATATGAGGCCGTTCGAGTAGGTTCACGGCATGATAGAGATGTGGATATACCGGCCTTGGCTGAGGGCGAATAAACATGTGTCGTTAGAACAAGATACGAAGCGAGATTAGGATTTCTCGTGCCGTTCCCCATAGCCTGCATTTGCGTTATATGTGAGGCTGCGGCCAGGTGACTTTTTTCTCTGCCGTTCCAGCAATCCTCCACGAACACCCTGTTTATCCATATTGACCCCGGATTCCAGGACGCGTTCTGCAAGTCCATTCGGTGACACGTGGGGGGCGAAAGATCAGACTTTTCAGCAACCTCCAAAGCCTAATCAAGCCTAACAATCACTCGGGCAAGAGGAGCGATAAAGCTTGTTCTTCTAATGTAAAAGCGACAACGATATCACCTCAGCTGAGTGTCACGCGTTCGTCGCGTGCATCAAGCAGTAAACCCGATGGAAAGGACGATGAAGATTATTTGCAGATATTCTCCGGGGAGGATCTGGGGAAGCTTGTGGGGCTTCCCGACAACCTGATACCATTGCACGTGTGTATGTGAGGTGGCGAGGTTTGCGGACCTTGTTCTTTATCCATCTATATATTATGTTGTCATCTCTGTGTTATAACCATAGATGGTACTCTGCTCGGCTATAAGTACCGACGGCAGTTAAATCGCCGTCGTTTCAGTGCCCAGGTACCTAGGTATTTACTGATGAATTTAGCCAGCTGTCCTTACGAAAACGAGACGGCATTCCATATTTAGCTCCACATCTAGTGGTTCGCGAATACATTACTTCATTCCTTCAGAAACATTAAGGCATACGTTAATAATATTGATCACAATTGCTTCGTCCCATCTTGAGTATTATAATCCAAATTGATATGACACTTACTGGATGCAGCAGCTCAGAATTTTACGCGCTTGTATCATATTTCCATTCATTTTTATTTTATTTTCACACACCATAAGTACTGAACGAGCGACCGGCACACATGCTTGCGATTCCTCTCAAGCCCCATTGGGATAATGTAGCGAGCCCCTAGATTTAGCGAGGCTCTGCGGACTTTCAGCAACACCATATTCATTCCCCAATCTCCCCGTGGCACCCCCCCGGATCAGGTTCGCATCTCTAAACTTTTATGAAAACTGTCAAGCTAGACAGGTATCTCTCCTGCTCTTTTGAATCAGGTGAGAGATTTCGCAAATTTGTCTTTGGCATTATCACACCATTCTAGGCTCGTCTTACTTCAAAAGCATATTAATTTTTGTTATTCTTACTCTTGTTCCTGTCCTTGTGATACCAATCTTTGGGATGGCTGGGAAATAGTCAAGCACTATGAACAAATATATTTCGTGTTGTTTATGGACGACTCAGCGGAAATAGATACTTGGCAATGGTTTAGGTGTACGGCTCCAGGTGATCAATGTTACACAGAAAGAAACGTTCAGTCTAAGGATTCTTTGTGGCCATCAAACGTCCATGCATAATCACAAGTATCTTTGTATTATCCAAGTACTATACCACATCCGGCGCACACGATTCGGACTTCAAAGAAATTCCTTCAAATTTGGGTTGACCCGAGCGCTTTATTGATCTACGCTTGAAGTCTCCGGAAGTAGTTTAGCTGCAATTTTTTATCATGCATCTCAAGATATTCTAATTATTTATATAAATCTTTATTGCAGGCATTCCTAAGAAGCAAAAGCTAGGAACACTTCGAGACCGGCAGACTCATATCTTATAGTGCTTTCATCAACCGAGGGATATCAGTTCAATCCACTCCCAACGATGGCTGACAATAGCGGAGCAGGTCCCAGCACCCGGGCAGAAGATGACTCTGGTAGAAAGGTAAGAAGAGTGGCAAAGGTAAAAAGCTTGAGAATTGCACGTGGAGGAAGTGAACCCGAAAATGTTAGAGACAATGACAGTGGAGAGCCTGAACCGGAAGGTAGTGGAGATGAGGTGGAGGAAGGGGACCAAGATTCAGATGAAGAGAGTCTCGGTTCCAACGATTCGGAAGAAAGCTATGACTCGGAACTAGGTTTACATGACTTCGTCGTTCCGGATGAAGAAGTCGAAAACAGTCAAGGGAGTGGTGGCTCCAGCGATCATACAGAAGTGGTTGATCGTCCTGACCGTGGGATAGAAATGGCGCCACCAGACAACGTCGAGGTGAAGGACTTCAATATCGTTCGCTTGATTCAATTCACCAATAAAGCTGGAAATGACGCTAAGTGCCCCATTGTCTTGAACGCAAATTATTTCAAGGTAGATTATGGAGACTTTCTTCTGCGTCTAAACACCTATTCCTCAGAAAATATAGATCGAATCCATGTTCGCAACTACTCTGGCCAGGAGAGATATATTCCGAGACGCATGTTACAAAGTGTTGAGTTGCCTTGGTCATTTCTAAGCGACATTGAACTAGACGATGAGAATGGTATTGGGCTGCCCTTGGCGTTTGTAGGGGAAATTATACCAGCGGATTTCGGTGGTGGTGTTGACTTTGACGAGAACGAAGCCGTCATGATCAAAGCTAATGGAAACCCAACAAAGGTTGTGGATTTTGAAGGTCGTGTTGGTGAGATACAGATGCGGCAAGACAAAATAAAAAGATTAGCTCAACCCGAAGGGGGTAGGAAAGCATTTGAGGAGGAGGAGGGGGAAGAACAAGAGGAGGAAGATCTCTTATATGCACCATTTGAATTCCCGTGGGAGCTGCGCGTCAATGTAGAATGGTTGGACCAGTGGAATTGGCTGATAAGCAACGAATCCAAGTCATCATCTCAAGGAAGCAACACAGATAAGGACAAAGGTAAAGGCACTAGCGACTCAACCAGAAAGTCAGAGCCGAGAAAAAGAGGACATGACGACGACGAACCAAAACCAAAGCCCAAAAAACGGGCAAAACTTACAACTGTATCCAAACCTAAAAGTGCGTCCAAACCTACCAGCGTGCTCAAACCTACAAGTACGTCCACGCCTAGACCCGGAACCAGCGATCGTGATGCTATTTCTGACAAGGTCAAATTCGTCGTGGAAGTGGGTAAAAGATATAATTTACGACCAAGAAAAGCGGCTCCATACACCAGATAGGTCTATTGAGAATAATAGACCTATGTCATTGAAGATTTGACTTTAATCCCAGTGCGACTGCATTGATCGGATCAAATGGAGGAGAACGTTGTTGGTAAAATTGTCCGATTGTATATTTTCCGAAGGGACCTATATTTCAATGCCACCTCTGCTACGCGCATTATCTTTCCCAGATTGAATAGCAATAGATTTATGAACCTCCCGCTCCCTTGCAGTCATTGTGTCTTCCTCTCCTCCACCTTCCGCTTGCGGAATTAAGCTTCCCTCGCCACCAAGTCTTTTCATTGGTGCGTCGCCATCCGGTCTCACCAGATAAGCTAGACTGTATCGTGGAAGCTTGCTTTGCTCACCTGGAGCAAAAGTCACACGATGCATGTTACTCCTGAGAATCCCGCCACTCCATTCGACCATGGCATCTCCAAGATTGATGATCGCGTATCCGGGTTCAGGCTTGACATACATCCACGCAGAATTATCAGTAGCGTCTCTTCCAGGAAGCAAAATCTGAAAGCCACCAGTGAGATTGAAAAGAATTGTCAACGTTCTAATGTCAGTATGACCGAGCAAGCTGGTCCTTCGATCACTTTCTGGCTGTGGTGGATATTGAAGCAAGCGAAGAGCAGTTCCGGATGGTAAGCTCATTGGCTGCATTGAGGCAAGTGTACCTAGTGGAAGACGCAATTGAGTATCAAGGTGAGAGCAGATAAGTTCGATAATCGAATGTGCTTGATTCATAAAATCCCAGACATCGGCACGATGAGACTCAACACATGGTGGATGGGACATTGGCTTCGCAATTCCTGTCATGTCGTCTTGGCTGATGTTGTAGAATGTCAACCGATCTGGTCTACCGTCTTTAATCTTGATGTCGCCTAGTTTCTTGTACCTGGACTACTTTTAGTCAGCGGGCCTCGATTTTGTTGGCAAGAATCGAAGCGCTGGGAGTTGATACAATGAGGGGTAACTCACCCGAAAAGAGAATGAGGCGGATGATAAGCATATTGCGCTAAGTCACCAATGTCCATCTCACAGATCTTTTTGTTAATCTCGAACATAGTCTCTGATTTCTCAAGGAATGACTGTCCTTCGGCACAGTCCTGGAAGTCAAGCATAAAGAATCCCAATTTTCTAGTAGCGCTAAATAATGCTTCCGACTCTTCTGTCTCATTATCTAGAAGCTTCGCAAAAGAGATGCGGGGAAGTTTAGCAACTGGAACATCATTCGGAAATGGTGGAAGTTTTTCGAAGTAGGATTTCGTAGGCATCTTGAACATGTGAAGAAAATTTGACTTTTTGATTGTAAATTGTTTCAAAGAATTTGCATGGCAAGTTCTCCTCTTATAAGCTGCAGCGCGACTCCATAGGGTGTGGGTGAATCATTATATAATTGGCTTGTCAGCACGAGGGCGCTACTCAAGACTTCCTTGAACCAACGAAGTCCTCTCCACATCCTCATGCATAGCTCTCTTAGACTTGTCTCTCATGCAGCCTAGAGGCTGAGACTACGGTCCCATGTCAAAAGAGGAATTATTCCCGATTCGCATGTAATGTGAATCAGGGCTCGTCAAACTTAAGCGACAATTCAGGGGAGAAGGAAAGCACATATGTAAGCACTGTGACCAAAGGCCTGCGGCTAATTAGAGAAGTGTCGCATAGGATTGTACATTCAAATACATCTGAAGGTCTGTCAAGAAATTACAAATGAGTTTAGCTGAAAGAATCAATCACCTGACATGCAACGCCAATCTCACCAGGGCAATTCACAGGGATACGCGTCAATACCCCGCGTCGCGCTCAACCCCATACTTTGTCTCACAACATCAAGAATCACCACGATGTCCAGCAAAGATGTCTTCCACAGTAATCGATCTCACAGAAGACAGTCCCAGCGGCGAGAACCTGCCATTTCCTCTCAACGCTAAATCTCGAAATGCAACAACTCCTTACACTTCCACCCGCCTGCCACCACTCCGCGAGGTCCTCAATTATGCACAACCCCAAGCTCGAGCTCAGCCCGCGGTCTCGCAAGTACTTGCAGACACGATCAAGTCCATGGATGCAAGCTTGCTTCGGTCGTTGGTCATAAAACATTGTCATTCGAACGCGCCTCTGAAAAATGCTCTGGAGGAGGAGTTGTTGGTGACGGGCAAAGATGTCATCCGATACCACGACGGATCAGAATCTGAGGATGACGCAGAGAGTGAGATCAAGAGTGATGAGGAGGGAAGTGGCGACGAAGAGGAAGGTAGCACCACGAAGCCAATTGCTATCGCGGATCATGAGTACACATCGCGTTACACAGAATGCATCAATTGCAAAGAGACCTTCGATGTCACTGAGAACCTCGTCCGAGCATGTTATTGGCACCCTGGTAAGAGAAACTTCTCTCGGCTTCTGCGACGGGTTCTAATACAGTTGCAGGTGAGAAAGAACTTTATGATGACGACGACTTCTGGGCAGATCACGACGAGGATTGCCATGGAAGGATGGAGGACCTTGATGACGATAGCACATATGCGGGCGGGTTTAAGTGGACATGCTGTGAGAAACTTGGAGACTCTGAGGGATGCAAATTCACAAAGCACCAAGCCCCGATCAACACGATCAAGAGAGTAGCGGCTTCAACGGGACAGAAGAGAAAAGCGGAGGAAGAACTTCCTCGACTTGAAAGGTCGAAGTGGTAAGGGGTATGATCACCCAGTCTGTATCGTTATATTGTCTGCTTGCACAAACTGTAAGACGTTCGATTAGTAAGCAAATTGTCTGTCAATCCATCAATGTTTCTAATATTAATTGCTTCTTTCTTTTCAACACAACAACTTTCCTCGATCTCGACTTGACCCTTTGTCTCACAGTCTAGTCCAACAACCCACTACCCAAAGTCTCCTCTGCAATCATCCCTCAACCGCTACCCAACCCAAAGACTCATGCACAACCTCAAACGCCTCTTCACCGAATAATGCCCATTAATCGTATGTTTACATTAATACTATACCAGCTGTTCTCTGCATCCCGAAACAAGTGCTCTGTATCTAGCAACAGACTACCGCAGCGAGCTTCACCAAGCACAGACGTCCCGACCAGAAGAGGCCAGAAGTGAGACGATGTCGATAGTTCTTTGAGCTGAATTTTCAATATATGTTAGGTTAAGTATAATTCATGCCTCCTTCGTACGAGCTCGAAGATATTGCCCCGCACCACAATGTTCTAGAATAGAATACGACCATTAAGGATACTAGACTTTTCCGTACGACATGCAACAAAACAATCTTTTGATCTCTAATTGGCTAATTGTCTAAAGCCACTGTTTGTACCTGAAGGGGCCATTGACGACCACTTCATAATATAGACGAAAGTCAGACTCAATATTTTATTACCATGTCTAACATTCAATAGATCAGCCTAACAATAGCAGCAGCAGCGGTAGCAGCAATAGCAACAACTATCATCGGTGCGACGTGCAACAAAACATATTCTCTGCTCTAATAGGCTAAGCCTCTAAAGCCAATGTCTGTAGATGAGGGGACATTGACGACCACTTCGTGATATCGACATACCACCCAACAACGCCTCACCACCCAAAAACCTCCTCCACAAACTCCACCCTCCTAGCCCCTCCATTCAAGCACGCACCCACCGCAGCCCTCACCTCATCCGCCATCCCAACCGGACCACAAACCAACACCGCCAAACTCTCATTCCCTTTCTCATCCACCATCTCCTCAATAATCCGCTTCACATCCGGTCTTCCGTACTTTATATTTAGAGCCATCATCTCCTGCCTCACTTCTTTCACAGTCTCCGAGATATCTCCACTAATCTGTTGAGTCAATGCATCTTCTCCCGTCACGAACACACTCAGATTCGCAGTCTCATTCATAGGCAGGTTCTCAAGTTCCCGGTGGAAGATTTCGTGGACCATAGGGACTTGCTTAGCAGCCCACACGAAGCGAAGATTCCGTGTACGATTTGTGGTCCCTGGTTGGAGATGAGACTTGAGGTAAGGAAGTGCGGCAGAGACTCCAGTGCCGCCTGTGATGAGGAGGACGTTGTCGTAGTTGTGAAGAGGAGTGCTGTGCCCGTATGGTCCTTCTAAGAGGATGGTGAGTGGGACGGGTTGATCTGATGATGAGCACAGAGAGCGGAGCTGGGCTGTGAATGAGATGTTGGACGTTGTGGAGGGACGGATGTAGAACGTGAGTGTGGTTCCAGATGGGCGGATAGCAGGAATTGGGGTGGCGACTGGGAAGACAGCAATCTCGCTGTCATCTTTCCCTGTCGTGGGTGAAAGATTGATGCTCTGAATACTATCTACTGGAGATGCCGGATGGGACTCGTCGCCGTTGTTGGTCCAGCTCGCAACAGTGAACGGATGGTTCTCCCATCCACGCCATTTGAAAGGTTGGTAAAGAAAGTAGTGCTGGTTCGGCTTTGGCTTCAATAATTGAGATCCCGCAGTCACGTTGAGGACCAGAAGATCTGCATCTTTGATGTATTCGACTGTGCTCTTGGACGTCGACATGTCTCCAGAGAGACTGACGTGAATGTTACAGTAGACTTGGCGGACAATCCTAGCAAAGCGATCGAAGCACCAAATAGCTACCAGAGGCCAGACATACGGATCGTACTGACTGAGAAAGATCTTGGTATGGCTGAGAAACATTAGTCGTCGAGCAAACAATGTGGGCGAGAACCTTACAAGAACAGTCCAACCATAAGTCACGATTGACAAGACGACGTGCAGCACGAGGAAGATTTCATAGGCTTTCTGACGAACAAGGATAGAAGAGCTTCCTAGAATCAAACTCATCGATATAGTAGCCTGGAATTATCAGCATCAACAAGACTTCAGCAACAGGTAATACGCACAATCGCGCCCATATACCAGTACTGTTCCGTCCAATCAAAATTGTATGACTTCGCTTGAAAGAAAGTCAGTCGCCGCTTATTGATGTACTTGAAGCACTTACATTTCAACTCCATGACCGAGTATCCAACAGAATGAACAATGGCTTGAATTGTGGCGATTCGCGCGATGTGTCGATGAAAGATATTAAAAGTCGAAAATTCCCACCCTGTCGCCCACAAGAAGACGTTGTTTCGTCCAGAGAACATCCACATCACGGGAAGGTTCGCGTATGCCATAGTACCAGTGCGATCTGAGACATACCGCCAGATTTGGTCACTCGGTGTGTAGCTACAAAGTCAGCCCAAGTCTTCATTGAAGATGGACCCGTAAACGTACTAGAGGTTTGGCCAAAATGCTTTGTAACTGACACTACAAATGATAAGTGACCATGTCCAATACGCTGTCAACACGATGGTTTCTATACGAGTTGGAATGGAGCAGCCCCAAAAGAGTCGTCTATGATAAGAGCCTATTATAGGTGGGATGATGAATTTGGTCTGTGTCCAGCCATGGATCTTCTCAAGGACTGTGTAAGGTCTAGATCGGCTCGCTTTTTGCTGCGATTCAACCTCCTGTTCCGACGAACGCTGACTGAGGCTCTTATGTGGAAGGAATTTGATAAATCGAGTGACGATGCCGATCAGGAGAACACCACCCCAGAAGCCATAGACACCCCATCTTGGTCATTCTTAGTGAGTGAAGACTGCATCGGGATAGATGAGATGAGCTACTTACCCGTATTTCTGGTGAAGGGCAGATTCTTCATCGAAACTTGACTATGGAAGAAATCAGTCTCAACATGTCATGATTTGGAACAGACACAGTATCCATACCTCAGTGTCCACGCCAGTCCTGAAAAGCGATGGAGAGATCAAGATGGAGCTATTCCAAACTGCTACCGTACCGATGTCCTCGAAATTGACAACTGGTAGACTAGCAATGAAAGTGTCGGTAAGATTTGGTAGGACAGTCTCGTAAGGAACCAAATGAATCAATCCATACGAGGTGCAAGTCGTGTTAATGGCAGCTTGACCAGCATTGATCTGATCTGGAGAGCAGTATAACTTGGCAGCAGCGTACATTGATTCAAGGAACGTCTCATCTTGGCAAGTATTGTAATAGTAATCGGCAGTGCTTGTGTTGAAGGTAAATTACGAAAGAGCGGTCAAAATGCCATAGAGACAGTCAGACGGGGCTGCAATAATCGGGTAAATGAAGAGCAAAAACCCTAAGAGAATACGGGAATTCATATTGGGAACTTAGAAGATTGGTAATCTAAGACCTGATAATGTTACAAGAGCAGAATTAGGAACTGGCCAGGGATTAAATATGAGCCCAGGATACGGCCGTCCCATATTTGTGAACTTCAACACCAGAAGTAGAAGAAGACAATAAGACGGACTGTCATCAAGCCACCATGGAAATTCGACAGGTGGATGGAAGAAAGAAAAGACGGGAACAATGCCAAGATGTTAGATTCTGCTTCAAGATTCCAGAAGTTGGCGAGGCCATGTAGACCCCACTTCACCGCCTGGATCAACCAACTGATTGGCTATCTGATGACCAAGGTGAATCAAAGCTTCCTTGAAGTCTAACCCCACCGCCCTAGCGTGATCAGATAACGGATTAAGCTTCACGCTAGAAGCAAAGGCTTGCACAAGTGCGATCTGATAACAATCACCCGAGGACCAGAAGACCAATACCCACGGATCTGTCCACCGTGATAGCTGTAGATAGCATCGCGAAACGTAAGATGCATGCAGCACTTGCCGTTCAGGTAGAACTTCTTATGTAATTTGAATGTATGTTTGCCCAACCGCTGTCCTTGTACGTGAAACGCCGGAGAAAAGGAAAGAGTAGAATCAGAAAGGAACTGCATGATGAACGTATTATATCCAGATACCATCTGTACTGGACCATGTCCTGTAGGGTTGGGGGAAATAATTCCACACCACGGAAGTAAATCATCTTGATGCCCCCTCTCGCGACCTTGACGGGACAACCCACACCTCTTGCAATTCAGCAATCTGCCAAGCACTTGCTCATGCAGATCCGTCAAGGTCAAATCGTTTCCACCTCTTTCTTGTTGGCCCGAAGCATGGCTTTCCACACTTGCTTGGGCGTTCCGATGCCGGAACTGACAGCTGTTCGACTAGCGAGTCATGAGCGATCTTACATACAATGAATGAAGGGATCAAGGATGCGGACTTCGTGAGAACAATCTAAGAGAAGAAGAGTAGCAAACATGGCCGCTGACACCTTTTGGGGGTTGGGTTTGAGGACGGCTTTCGTGCATCTGATGAGATGAAGGGAAGGAGACGAAGGAGACGGGAAGATTTTTCGGAGCGGCTTTAAGCTGACTAATCCTCATTGTGACAAACAGATCGGACGGAAAAACTCTTCTGAAGACCTCTGTAGTCAAGTTCTGTTCCTAATCTCTTCTTTAATCTCAGACTTCTCAATATTTTGATGGTATCACCTTCTGGATAATATGATTACATTTTGAGGACAAGTAGTCCCCAATGGATGCCTCTCAGAATCTTCAAGCAAGTCAGCTTGAAGTCATTCCATATTCTGGTCTCCAAAAATGCCACACAAGCATTCTGAACATACGTTGTCTTCCAGTCTCATCTTCCAAGTGGCTGAGATGGCTAGAGTTCTGCGTGTAGTCAATGCTACCCTGCAATTTCCCAGTCAGGAATAGCTATCAGCTGATGCCGCGATTGCAGGGGGGCGATAACATTGAAATTCTTCCATCGTCGCGTCTTCCCTCTTTCCATTGTTTCCTCGACGTTGATTGTGTATTTGCTGTCGAGTACGGCTTCCGAAATAATGCCTCCCAAGAAAACCTCCACTCGTCGAACGCGCGCTGCTCCCAAGCCTACTCCAAAGCCCATCATGTCGGAGGCCTTGAAGGATGCTATCGACACTTTGCCTCAAGAGAAACTACGAAAATATGTCAAACAGTATTGTGAAAGTATGACGGATCTGCGAGAAGCTCTAGAAAAAGAGTTCTTGGTTCAAGGAAAGGACATTGTACGATATCATGCCGACACAGATTCCGAAGACGCAGAGGACGATGAAACCTCATCGCATACTGAAAAGGGCAGCGATAGCGAGGAAGACTTGTCTCGAAACAGGAAGAAGTTGAAACCAATCGCCATCAGAGACGAGGAATATGGACCTCGGATGGCGAAGTGCCAACACTGCAACGAAGACTTCGATGTAACTTACAACGACAAGGGCGATTGCATATGGCACCCTGGTTTGATACCCTAGTGAATGATTTCTCATGGAGATCCGCTAATAGGGAACAGGATCGAAAGAAGTAGACTACGAGGCAGATATATGGGCAGATCATGATCCCAGGTGCCACGGCAACTATAGCGACTTTAAGGACGATGCGGGCATGGCAGAAGGATTCATTTGGGATTGTTGTGACAAGGATGGAGACGACGAGGGCTGCAAGTCGACGAAACACAAAGCCGCAATCAATATCACTGTCAAAGAGCCACCAAAACGAGACCAGAAGCGGAAAGCAGAGGAAACTCTTCGGAAGACAAGACAAATGGCCAGGTGCCAAAGATGCCACACTAGGTTCGATATCTATGACAATAAGCGCAAAGCATGTCTGCATCATCCTGGTATCTCTTCCCCTTTTATTACGTGTGGGACGAAAAGGCTGACAAGTACAGGTACGAAAGAACCAACAGATGAGGATGACTTTTGGTGTGACCACGACGAAGGCATAGGAGGAGCAATCATGACACTCGTCAATGAGCCGGACTACGAAGATGGGTTCGTGTGGTCCTGCTGCGAGAAAGCTATCAGAGAAGACGGGTGCAAGCGGGGAAATCACATGATTGTGAAAAAACGCTGAGGGAAACAGAGAGAAGGAACAGACAACAACGAAAAGGTGGTGAACAGTATGGGTGGCACTTTAGTACTCATTTTGCAAAGTTGTAGAAAGGTGATTCTTTCGGGCACGACTCTTTGAAGGACGAAATCACGAGAGAATTCAGCACTTAATTCGAGGAATCTGTTAAGAGAATGTTGCTGCCTTGAAAGTGTACCCTAAGCTAACTAACATCCTCCCTAAGAAAGAATACACAAAACGAATGGACCATCACCGAGCTTTAGGGCCTCTCCCACAGACAGACTTTGCCAACTGACATACAGAGACCACCAAGAACAGAAGTCTCCAGGACAACTCATAGCCTTCTGCCGAGTGGCTCTCATTCCCAGCTCAATGGGCTCTCTTGACAAAACCCAAGTTAGCATGCTTCTTCCACATATGCTCCGTCAACTTGTCCCTGCGGGTATACCCCGCACCCAGACTCTTGGGGCATCCCAAGACCTGACAGAAATGGAGAGTTCCATTCACGCCATGCTTGGAAGCTTCATGGCGGATGCGATCAGTGTCGCGCTTGAAAGAGGCTTGGCAGCGTGATTGGGTGCAAGCAAAGGTGTTAACGGCTGGAGCTGGAGCAGAGGTCGTGGCCCCTGCTCCAAGAGAGGTGGACGCTGCTTGGCCTTGTGCATGTCCATATCCAAGTGGAATGTTAGAGGCAAATGAGCTCACAGCCGGAGCAGGAGTGGTGGCCGGTGCTACAGGAGCCGTGAATATCGCTTGGCCTTGTTGTACACTGTAATATCCAGGAATTGAACATGCAAATGAATTTACTGCTGGAGTAGGAACCGTGAAGGTTGCTTGGTCCTGTGCATTGCCAAATCCAAGTGGAATGTCAGAAGCAAATGTGTTCCCCACTGGAGCTGGAGCTGTGGCTGCCGCGGTGGGAGCCTTCAATGCTGCTTGGCTTTGTGCATCGCCAAATCCAAGTGGGATGGGAGAGGCGAGAGTTGCGAAGTCATTTCTCTCGGCTGGATGCACCATGCAGCCAGCTGAAAGGTTGAAGTACGGCGCTCCCGTTGTTTCAGGGGTTGGATACATCCAGCCAGTGTAAAGACTGAGTCCGATGTGCTCTGATTTACTGGCCGACGGTTAGCAGGATATCAAAAAAAAAAACTCACCGCCCAGCCTCAGCGCCAACAAAACCCCAATTGGGGTCATATTGTGGGTCTGAGGTAGGGATATCCATCCTTCCATTCGTCAAGTTTTCGTTGTTGCTGAAGTCTTGCATGATGAGGGTGAGAGGGCGTCGGGGTTTGAGGGTGTGAGGGCGAGAGGGCGTTGACAAGGATGTTCAAAATTGAGGCTGTCGAGGTTACACACTGCGAAAAGGTGTGCTTTGGGGGCGGAAATCTTCTCCTCGCGAGCGTGGGAAGTTGCTCTGCTTTATCATTTTGAGATGCGGAGGGTAATTCGCGTTGTGTGGCTTACGCCCTTGTTGGGAGTTGTTGTGGAGTTGCATGATGAGCGGATTCACACCAGGCTCACGAGGCTCACCAGCCCATTGAAACTATTGAAAGGAATTTTGTAGCTGTTAGTGCATCACGACCAAGCTTCCAAAACAGAGAGCATTGAAGCCATCTCATTTCATGTCTTCATCTCTGTCTCGACGCTCCAACGTCGGCTTCCGCGTCTGACGAGACACGCGCAATTGCAGCTATTCTGGCTTCGAAAGACATGATCACTTTGATTGGGATCACTGTGAGGCATGCATATGATTGAGTCATTTCTTTCCATACGCTTGAAGGACATTATACATTGTTGCCGCTCGTGCAGGAAAAGGCTGTCAAGAGAAGAAATCACCCCGAGAGATACCAATAGCAATACTTGCATCACCAACCATCTGCTTTCCAGCTCTTCCTTTCTCAAATCCCCACCACGAATCTCCTAGTCTCTCGTTATTGGTTCAATAGCTCCTAGCATTCTGACTGTAGCTCGGTGGTGCCGCAGTCCTCGCTTGCTCCAAGCCCTTCTGCCTCTTCGTCTCCTCTCCATCCACCGCCACCTCCTTCTCCGCATTCTTAGCTTTCAAAGCTCTGTGCACTCTTCCGGATCCCAGACCATGATCGTCCGCTCGCTCTCGCCAACAACTCCTCCGATCCACTTCTTCCTTCACAGCCTTTGAGGCTGAGAATTCTATATGCAAGTGGTTGAGTCCCCCTCCAAGAAGATTTACAACAACACCAGCCAGACAGTCGGACCACTTAGATATTCACGTGTCATCACGCATCTGCATAATTTAAGACATAAGAAACGAGAGAATAGAAAGAGTTGACCTTCGTTCTGCTGTAAGTCAAAATCCAAAGGTGCTTTGTCAGGGTGCCGAATTAGGGAGTCGCGTGGGCATGGCGGCATGACATCAGGAAGCCAGAAAAACCAAATTCCAATTCAAGTGTTGAGTTTTCGAGACATGGATAGTTGAAAAACTGAGACTGACTATAACTTTGCGAATGAACCCATATTTGAAATGTCTCTAGAGTGTGCCGTCTGAAAACAGCAAGAGGGCAAAGAAGTATCCGCACTGGGCTTTATGCTCGTAGAGATTAGGCGAAAAACAATACTGAGAAGCCCTTTGAACGTTGTTTCAACTTGCCCCCAGGTCTTTCTTCACACGTTTTCCCAACCATCTTGCTTTTTGTACTCCTCCAAGGCTTCCACAATGATTGTTGCTAATGAAATCAATTTCTCTTCATCCAGTCTTCTGCCTAAAAGTTGAAAGGATGCTGGGGCACCGTTGTACTTCTCGGGGTCATCTGTTGTGAATAGCAAATGGATGTCAGTCATGGGAGTCATATGATAGCAGATCACTGCATTGTCTAGATCTTCGGGATGATAAGTGAAAGATTGACTTACACGCAAGCCAATTCTTCTTGTCCACGTCATTTAGTGGCTTGTAGTCCTTATCAAAAATATCAATTGTCTTATTGGCATTGGTGACAGGGATGACCATGGTGGTGTAGTCGAGAACGTTGGGGAAGTTGCTGTACACTTTTACGCCTCTCAGCAGGCCGCCTCATGCACAAGCGAATGGATCAGACAACGTACAGTAGTGGTAATATTTTCCTGGAATTACTCCTGCGTGGGGTGATGCTGGCAATATTACGGCATCGACGGGAAGGCCTATAGTACAAGTCCATCATTTCAATGCACCTCTCTTGATTTGGAAAGACGATAACTTACCCGTCGAAGATTTCGTGGCTGTTGAGTTCCAATACGCTTGATATTTTTCACGACATTCTTTGAGATGCAAGTACTGCTTATAAAAATCCAGTAATAGAGCTGGGGGCTTGGGCTTCTCCCCAAACTGTGCTTGTATCTCTGGAATAAAGGGCTCGCCAGACAAATTGATTTGCTCAAAGACATCCGCGTTTCCATCAGCGCGCAGGAAGAAGCTCTGTAGCATGTGTCAGCTGTCATACATATTCAAGCTTATGCAGCTGCATACATGCATAGTTGCTGCCTCTCGATGAGATGGTGGGTCCCATGTCACGAACTAACGCTCTCGTTAGCAGGGCTCAGAGTACGCATGGGATAGCACACACTTTATATCCCTTGAGATCTAGAGCCTTTTGGACTATTCGCAAAGCCCGTTGGATTGGAGGGTGTGGAACAACCATCCCATCATTTTCATATAGCCCGAACGATACTTTATCGCTGCCTTCTAGTGCTATAGAGTTGGGTTCCGTTTCCAGTCTGCTCGAGAAATTGATGACCTCTGGATCGTCAAGCCAAGGTTTCGTCGATTGCAAAGATTTAAACATCAGTCGCAGGGATGGAAGCGATATGGCCATGATACCAATGACCGAGGGAATTACTGGCTGGCCAGGAACCTGCACCAAATATTAGTGGATGATCATCGCGTAGCAAAGCTCGACCTGAGAATAACCTACACTATTCGCCACGTCTTTGTAAGAGATGCGGCCATGAGACGGCTTGAGGCTGTAAAGTCCGGCAAATGCACTCGGCATTATGACTGAGCCACCTGAAGCATACTGTGAGCGCTCTATGCTTTTCCAATTTCAAGGCGGAGCGCACTCACCAATATCCGTCCCAAATCCAATCCCGCTGCCTCGCAGTGCTTGAAATGCTCCTTCACCTTGATCAATGCTGATAAGCTTGGTGGGAGTGGTAATCTAATATGATGCGTGCTCACCTCCAGAGGATCCTCCAGTGGACAGAGCCTGATTGAAAGGATTCTTCGTGTACCCAAGGATGTTATTGTTCGTCTCTCCAAACTATGACGTGTAAGCTTGAAAGTGCGAGCCTGTTTGGGAGTAAATGAGCCCAGGCTTGGCTTACAAACAAAGTTTGCACGCATGTAGTCTGCGAAGACTTGTTAGCAGGATATCTATTATAGACCATGGCAGGTAAGAGGGACTACTTTGGCAATTGGGATTGCTCCTAAGCTCTTCAGCTCTTTCACTAAAAGGCTCTCCACGGGTCTCTCCTTGTTGATCCAACCCACGTATCCCATCGAAGTATTAACACTGTTGACGTGAAATTGATTTTTCATGCTGACAGGAAGACCATGCAGCGGACCAGCAGTCTCGTTATGTTGTTCGAGGTATTGGTCAAGCTCTTTCGCCTGCTCGAGAGCTGCTTCGAAGATGAACTCGAGGACATTGTTATTCTGGAAACAGTTAGCGTGATGAAGATGTGACTGAAATGAGTGGAGCAATACAAGCTGGTGGGCGTATGGTGCTCTCTTGCAGAATGCTGTAGTGACCTTTACTGCTGTGTATGTACCTTCACGAACACGTGCCAGGATATCGACTGGATCCAAGGCTGTGATCTCACGGGTTTCTGGGTCCAGCAGAGATTCGATGAAGTCCCCCACTAGTTTTGGCGTGTTTTCCGCTCGAGTCAATACATCTGTAGGGAGCAGCCAGTCTTGTGGAATGAGTTGATGAAGTGCCCTTCACTTCTCTGCTACAATTTCTTGCCATGGGCGATCAAGGTGGGCCGGGAGCTGCATGTCGAATAGAGACTCCTGGACGCTGCTTCGAGCGCGCAGCCAGAGCGAGAACAGACAGATGGACAAGAACAAGATGGAGATCTTGTATCTCATATCCATGACCGATGTTGATAGTCATCACATATTTATTGCATTACGTTTGGAAGAGAAGAGCGCGAACGAATCGGGTGAAAACGAAGAAGGGAAGCGCGAACCAATCACGATGCACCCTTTGTTGACAGACCGGTGAGCGCCTCACTTTCCCTGAACCACAAAACCATCCAGCCACAGATTCAACTTTAATAATTCTACAGGGCCAACACTTCACCAGTCCAAAGTTCTAATGGTCGTAATTGGGCTGCAAAAGTCAGTCGGGACAAACTCAAGCCACGCATTTTCTGTGACCGGTTGGTCTTCCTTTCAAAGATTCTCATTCATGGCCTCGAGCAGATAACTTGGCAACTCATCCCGGAGACAGCATTCATCTTATCGCCTGGCTTGATATCTGTCCCTTGCCATCCATGAAGCTACTCATCGTTGGCCTGATGAGTGCCCAGGCATTCGAGGTAATGTGAGCAGACCAGTGAGCTTCCGTGAACCATCGTGCGACCGGTGGGCATGTCTTCTACTAAATCCGAATCCATTCCCACCATCGCAACTCGATACAGAGTGACAAAGTACCTAGTCTGGGCTATCCGACGAGCATTACCATTTTGAGCCTCAAATCTAGAATTTGCCGTCGAGATGTCACGCAAGCCAGGCGAGACCGGCAGAGGCATCAGCGATATGCAAGACCACACGAAAATGCTCGCCGGGGTTGAGGGGTATTTGCAGATGATGCAGCTCAACGTTAATCGAGGTTTCAGCGGGGCAACATGATCCCTAATCAGAACGCAGGCCACTTTGATGTAGCCGACATAGCTGCAGCACGATGGAGAGGACGGCAAGCCTCAACGAATGCACATGGATCATATCCATTCTTTGACGAAGACGACATCAATCTTTCATTGGCCGGAAACAGTGGCGACACAACCTTGGACTTGAATTGGACTCCTGTCGGCGAGAATCTTCAAGGCATTGGCGGTTGGATCGAGAGCACCCTAGTTACAGCGAAAAGAGAATCCAACGTGCAGTGGCATTAGAAACTGCACGCAAGATTCTCTTTTCGCTGCAACTAGGGTATTCGGGTGTTGGCTTGGTATTGGGCTCAGGGAAATGGACCCTGGGAACTGGGAGCTGTAGCAAGGTGTTGGGCCTGGAAATGAGGATCGGGCAGCAAATTTCTTTCCTATGTATTTTGACGTGTGCGGCATATTGTATGGTGTGCGGGCGGGATCATCTCCTGTGCTCAGGTGGATGGTTTTACAGTAAAATGAAAAAGTGGTAAACAATTTTCGACTCGCTGCACAATGATATACAAATATTTTAGCGCAAAACACTGCTGTTTATTGGAGCCTAAAGATGCATATCTTGGCGGGTCATTTGATTGACGAAGAGTGAGTGGTACCACACTCGTCCAATCCCGCATGACTGAAGTTGGAAGCTGGAAGTATAACCATACCTCGCTTACTTCTTGTGGGCCTTTCTCGTCCGCAGGGTTTGTTACGGGGAAAGAATTCGCCAGACGGCGCTCCGTTTGCCACTCACCATTTTACAGTCTCAGTCGTGTCTCGTTACTCTCCATCGCCTCGGGTTTAAAGAAGTCAGCATACTCGTAGGTCATACTTCATTCTTCTTCTCTTCTGTCCCATGTTTGATCTTTGATCATGATTTCATCCATTATGATAGAAAATCTATTTTCGCCTCGTATTTGAACAGTGCTTATACTCAACACTAATATATCTCCGTTTGTAGGCTGCCATGGATGTCAATCAGCTTCTCCAAGACAGCAAATCCGAAGACTGGATTCTGATTAAGGCCGACGAAGTTGATCTGACTACTTTAGTTCAACAGCCAAAGCTTTCTACTATGCCTCTAGACAGAAGACTGGTTTCAGAGACATTGCATGTTTCCAAGACAGAAGACTCCACTTTACAATATTGTAACCTCGTCACTTCCTCGAATGCAGTTTAAGGATTAGACTCCATGAGGACGAAGTTGCTCTTGATGACGCTATTCCACTCGGTAACAGCAATTATAGCCAAGGGGGTCGAAAGAGGTCCCCGACTCGATTTTACAGCCCCTTTTCATGATTAATCACCCTATAAGGACTAGAAAGTGATCGCCCTGAGCACGACTGGGACTCAGCCTGAGCATGCTCAGGGCTCAGGGCTCGGCTCTGGTTAGAGCAACGATTGCTCAGGCCCAAGACGGAAATAGACTTTGGTATCTTGAAATAAATCCATTTTGGGATACATGCTAACCTACCTAAGACTACGCCCGCTTTAGCTAGAGGGAATTGTATATTTCCCGATCAAACTAACGCGAAACGAAACCCCTCAGAAAACAGAGGTCAAAACCTCAAGTTTTCGAGGTATTTTATTTAGTATCAATCGACTTATAGATATATTGTATTATACTAGCGGAATACAACCAACAAGTCACACCCCTGGCATCCTCGAGTCACCAAGATTAATTCTATTAGTCTATTCTAAAAACCCTTACTCTCTCGTCCCAAACAATTGTATTAAGATACACTTACGTCCTTTATCCACATAATAATATACTCAAATTATTTAAAAAGAGGGTAATAGCCTATATTTTAATATAAAACTTTGACGTGCTCTAATCTCTAGCAGGCTAAATTTGCGTACTACAAGTCGGAACACTCCAAATTATAACACTACAAATAAGAATACTCCATTCTATAATACGAATAAAACACGTACACTACTCTATAATAACCTAAAACAAGATGCTTTAAGGGCGATTAGTTTAAAGTATAGCTTACAAACAAACGTGCTACCGCTTTAGTGCACTTATAGGGCTAGAGGCATACCTTTAATTCGGGGTTCAGAATCGGCCCCTTCTATTAATAGTACGGCTTTTCCTAAACGCCAAAGGGGGAGCCAGATTTAGCACCCTAATACTACGATATCTGCAATAGAATTTACTTGGAAATTACGTTTATACTTCTCGATAAAAGGAACGAGTATAGAGAAATAGCCCTTCCCCTTTACTTTATTAAAAAGAAAACCTCGAGTAAAGAGCATGTGAGGAGAAAACACATCACGTGTGTATAGAAGCCCCGTAACATACAAAGTCACAAATACCTATACTCTAAGTAGAATATATCCTATGTGTTAAGATATAATCTTCTCTTTAATTAATTGTTCCAAACCAGAGCGGTTACCGCTTTGCCTAAGCCAAGCGGCGAGCCTAAGCGGCGTTTTCAGCGTCCCGAGTGCTGCCTGAGTCTGGCCTAAGCGCGACCATAACGTCAGCAGCTTCGATGTTATGTTGGTTCAATGCCTAAGACTGCGTAAGCACCATAATGTGACAATAAGCGAGCAAGCTAGAGTGCACAAATATACTATCCCCCTGGCGCAAAGGAAGGTGGAGGCTTCTTGCGTGTGTGCAGTGGCAAAGGGGGTGCGCGAGTAGGAATCTCGAAGATTCTCTGGTGGAGATCACGCTTTTTATCTTATTGGCAGACACCCCATCGCTGCTAATCAGCCCTATAATTCTCCAACTTCCTACTTTCTCTGCCACGGCAGAATCGGACCATGTGACAGCTCCTAGCGGTAGCGAGGCAAATCCTCGGGTAATTACTTTTGAAATACTAACATTGATATTTTTAATTAACCACTTTTCAACCAAATAACAGGACAGATGGCCGAGCTGGTAAATCAATTCTTTCTGAAGTTAGTTGTTGAATATTAACAGTTTACAGGTTATGGCGGTATGTACAAATTAAATTCAATAGGTTATTAATTATGCTAAATAAATGCTAGCCAGGTTAAGGTCTCCTTAGCACAATTTCCTGGTCACGAAAGTGGCGCGAGTTCGAGTCTCGCTCTGTTCAATAATTTTTTCGACTCTTTTTTTTTTTTTTGTTGGAATGAATGAGAAAGAGTTTTTAATTGATATTGATATTGATATTCAAGCATAACTACAATAGGTTTAATAAGCGAGCTTACCGTAGCAGGGCGAAGTGGACAGGTGTTGTCATGACGGATTGGGACAGTGCGGCGGCACGTTATCGCGGCTGAGGGTATAAACTCTCAGACTCTATATTTTAGCTCTGCAGGCAGCTTCGACTCCGATATCATTCTTTTGGCTTCGGCCCCTTTAGGTTACTTTGAAAAAAAAAAAACTCTGAAACAAAATTTATAAAATATATGATTAAATCACGTGATTCGGTCGCGAAGGAAGAACTGGAGCACAAAAAAGCTCCGATTTAAAGAACAACGGCGACGGATCAAATACATTTCCTAAACCCAAGCCGTAGTGATATCGATTGATATTCTCATTACGCATATTGAACCGCTATGAAGGCTCCAACACTTAGCAACGTGTCTCGGGATTGTGAAGCTCTCACTAAAGAGAGCAAATTGATATGAGCCATTAGTGATTGATCTTCTTCTGGGATGGAATCCAACACGCATCGGTCCGGAATTAAGACAGTTGTCTAATGTTCGTAATCTTCGATATGAAGCTGCATCGAGTTGCAATAGCAGGCGACGGAGAAGGTTCTTCTACAAAGGGGCTTTTGTAAATGACAAGGAGGAAGAATTACCACACACTTAGGAGCGCAAAGCCGAAGCGGCATCAGTGGACAAACTAAAACGTACGTACGTACGGCCATTGTCGACGCATTGTATCGAGGATCGGATGAACATCAAAGAAGACAGTTTTCATTTGGGCGGCAAGGCACCTGGGAGACATTGTACCCGAACCCTATACTGAACTATCTGGCTAAGGAATGAATTCAATTCCTGTAAACAACTGCTTCGTCAAAAGGGAGCGACCTTCCATGATTGAGACCCGTCGTCGGCGATGGCGTTCGTTGATATGAAAGATTGAGACAGCCATCGCTGGCAATCGTTGGGTCCGATATAGAGTTTAAGAACGAGAGCTGCTATCACCGGCAGCAGCCTGCTTAGGAGTCAGTATCTGAATTGCATGCCCTGCTGGCTCCTGTAATCACAAACCTCTCTCTCCCTCCTCTCTCTCTCCTCCTTCTCCTTCTTGATGTCGTCCCTCTTCTTCTGGGACGATGTGCCTGCGTCCATCATACGGTTCATGTCGCTGCTTTTGGTGTCTGCGATACGATCATTGACAGCTTCGCGTGCCTTGTGTTCTTCCTCGGTCTCGGAATTCTTGATCTCAGTTGGTCGGTAGATAGATTCGGTGCACGATTAGAGGAGGTTGAATGGGGTTCTCGGTGAAGCAATGGGTGTAGGGTGTGGGATGTGGACGTGGACAATTCACGATGCTGCTTAGGAGCATCTTTCTAGGTGGTGGCCATTGCTATTTAAGTGCATCATATATTGCAGATTAACAAAGGCTCTCGCCTTACTCTGTTGTGTACATGAAATACGGCAATGCATTCGCCCTGCTCCGCTGTGTATGTTGGCTTTCTCCCTACATTTTCACTTCGAACACGTCACCGCCGCCCGGGATGTAGGCAAGTCCTCTGCAGCGGCCCGACACTCGACCAGCTCTACCCTTCGTCCGCTATCTCCTGTAAGATCCAGTGAATTATGGGCTGGAGATTTGGGATAGGCGATGTTGACTCATGTATGGAGTGATTCACTTACCGCATCTAGAAAAGACTACAGCAAGAGCAGTGTTTGTGCAACGAAATCGATCTGCATGGAATCAGTCTGCAAAGAAATCAGCCTTTCATCAATCGGCGTCCAACCCGATTTGTGCAATCCCTTAACACCTGTTCTGCATCCAACTCCATATTGCGTCAATGTGGCATAAACCCTGCATGCCACCGCACCAAACCGGCGTTCAATCTCTACCGTTAGTGACTCATGCATGGAATGACTCACCGATGTGATTTGTCTGATTCCAAGCCTTCGACCAATTACTACTCTACTGTAATGAAGCTTGAGGCTATAATATCCACGTGATGGGGTTGAGAGGAAATGCTGCTATTTGACTAATTGGATGGGATACGAAGAGTGCATACCAAAGGGGTTGGTTAGTGGAACAGCACATCACGAGATGGTATTTAAGATGCAGAACCCCATCTAACGAGCACCTTGCAGATGCGTGTAAGCAGTATACCCCAACCTTGGAGGGGCTGTATGTTGCTCTCTATTCAAATAATTGATCGTAATAAAGCGGCTACACTAACCCTGACTTGCCGTGCACATGACCTGATCGAACCAATCTCGCTTCTTATCCCTTTTCAGCCTGTACTTGGCTAAGGCAACCATCTTCTCCTTGACGAACGCAGTGATTTTCTCCTCCGAGACTGCTTCAACAAGCCGATCAAAGTCTGGTGTTGCAGCTCGGAGCCGTTCCCAGACTAACATATCGGGGCCGTTAAATCCCTGGCGAATGATGCAGTGAAACCACATTCGCCCATCTTCTTTGCATTCTCTCATGAGCGCTGAAGGCCTCTCATCCAAAGGAACATCCCTAAGTATAGCTCCCTCCTCTTCTTCCAGGATCCTCAGGAACATTTCCAAAAACTTCTCGTACCTGGTAGCAACGCTATTATCGTCTTTGAACCAATAGTTTGGCGAATCGAGTAAAAGCCAGTGCGGTGGAGAGCAGAAAAGCTGGCAGGGCCCAGCATATGACCATTCCCAATCAATGACACCGACGATCTTCAAATCCCGCTCGTTATTGACAATCATATTTGCTGGGCCAAAATCATCGCAGATAAGCTTAAATGGCCCCTTGTCATACTTGGCTAAAACATAACGTGGGGTAACGAACATGGGGACAAAAGTCCGTGCGTTCAGGCTGTAGAATCTCGAAATTAAAACTCTTTACATTAGGACTAAACTATCAACAACTCCACCATTATGGATCCTTTTACCACTCCACCTATGTCTCCACGTCTCCCAGGTGCAGAGATCAGAACCAAGCACAAAGAGGGCATAC